GCAGTTTACGCGAGGAGAGTGCTTGTGCATTTCTTTCCCTTGTGTGTGTGTGTGTTGCCGTTTCTTCGTTACACACGTGCAGGTTTAGTTGTGCAAAAGCCGCATGACTGTGTGATGGAACATTGCGCAAAGGATTTTATGCTTGAATAAGTGATACAAATAGTACGTATGCAGACCTGCCTCGTTATAAATATTGATACCCATTTTTGATTACAGTTAAGTATTCACATTATGTTTCACTATGATTATGACCTGGAATGCGCCAGATCTAAAAAGCTAAGCTGGGGTTGAGATTGGATCGTGCTTGGATTGGTGAGGGCAGTGGTCTCCACCTTCACTGATAACCATGGTCATTTTTCGTTAATTCACCGACGCAATCCACACGCCGTGGGGAAGGCCCTTATCCAGCAGTGGATTGACAGAAGGGCTGTACATGTACATATTTTATAAATGTTTGCCTTATGATATGACACTGGTTACGTGCAAAGCATAAAATAGTTTAATTCTGAATCTTAAGTGAATATGGCAGCTAAACTGGTGAACTAAACTGGTGGACTAAACTGATTTATTATTTTGTTGGCTGCTGTCATTCGTCACTTGATTCCTATTTTAAAGCAATCACAGTCCTTGTGAAGAGCTGACACTAAAGAGCCACCCCGAATTCTTACATTGCTAAATAAAGCCATTGCATAATGTTTACGTCTGTACTTTATCTTTATTGTGAGAAGAAACTTGCCTGTATTCTGGCGTGTCGTGCGTTTTGGGGGAAATGCATTTGACACAGTATATCTTGTGAACGGCCTTGGTTTGAGCGATTTATTTCCCTTTTGTTTGATTTGCTATCCTAAAAAATGACGTATGCATAGCCTAAAACACTGCATGGAACGTCGAATGATTGGCTTTCTTGTGCACCTCCTTAATAAGCTTGTGTCTATGGTGCAGCTCTACATAAGCCATCGTCGTCAATGCACTGCTAATGGAAGTCCTCCCATTGCCGTTAAAGGCGCTGCGGTGGTGATATGTTAGCTACCTCTCCTGTTATAAGAGAGGTCGTGAGTTGGATCCTGACGCCTGTATTTGGTGTTCGCATGGTCTCCCCGTGGCCGCGTGGATTTTTCTCCAGGTGCTCCGGTTTTCCCCCTCCACATTTAGAATCAACATGTGTTTTAGAGTATTGGGCTGCAATACATTACCACAATACGCCACTTCGTTGGGCTATAATGTGTGGCCAGGTCGCTTATGAAAACGCTTTATAGCTCAGTGGGCCTTACCGGGTAAAATAAAAAAAAAACTTTAATAGCTTTTAATAGCCATCTCACGGTCCTGTGATGCAGCAACACTTTGCACGCGAGTTTATTTATTTAATCGCTCCATCTACTGTGGACGTGCGCTCTGGCACGTTCCAATTGCTGCCACTGTCCTTGGCCTCGACCGCCGGCCAAATATAAAATCCCTCTTTAAAAATGTGTCCTGCCCCCAGTCCACTTCTTGAAGTCGCAATTATTTTCTCTATTCCTCGGCCCGCCGCTCGGTGTCATTTCGAGCACAAGCCTCTTGCGCCCTTTATGGCACTTTAGCGGAAGGCGCCTGACAAATCTAAATTTATTCTCCGTATGCTCGCGGCATTGAAAACGCAGACGAATAGCGGCCTTTAGGGACCGTCCATAAATGACGTTACGCACCTGGAGTGGGGGGGGGGGGTGAGAAATGTGACGTCACATCAAAATGCGCAACTTTAATTATAGACAACGTTCTAAATGAAATAGACTTTGTAATTCATGTTTTCTCTTACATCAGAGTGCAGCGCTACATTAAATACGCACGACAATGACAATAGTTTAAAGCGATTCGAATCATGTTTTATTTTCAAAATGGAAATATGGTTTTGGGGGGGGGGGCAGAGCTTTGTGACGTCATTTGAGGGGGGTGCTGACTTTTTGTGACGCCGTGTGACGATAGGGGGGGGGGGTCAAAAATCGTCCAAAATCGCGTGACGTCATTTATGGACGACCCCTTAAGGCAAATTGGTGTCGTAACCCGACGCGTTTTTAATTACCGTACGGGGTAATGTTTAGCCCCGCTTGAACACTCCGCGTGTGTGTGTGTACCGTATGTTGAACTTCTTTCGCACCGTACGCAGCCAACTGTTGTAATCGGAGGTTGCGAGGGAAGGACACCAAACTAAAACACAAAACAAGTTTAACAAGTCGACTTTCGCGACTAATATAATAACGGGTTTTGGGTTAGATCGCGATGTGACTAACTGTAGACCAGTGTTCCACGTTAAACTAGTATGGAGGACCCTTAAATTAGAAACCGATTTTGTTTTAATCGGGCCACAGCTAGGTTATTAAAACTATTAAAACACCATGTGTCGCGGGAGTAACGGACGAATTAGCTCGAGTTTTTGGAAAAGCAAAGATTTGGCACGGTACAAAAAATTATAAAACTAGTATCTTGTACTAAAGATGAATTGCCTAATTTATCAACAGAAGGTGTGTATCGGATTAACTGCTTATGTGTGCAGATGCTATATTAGACAGACGGGAATCTAACAGCGTAAGAATTAAAAAAAAACACCAAATATTAAATACTCAAACACAACTGTCGGCATTTGCAGAACATGCTTGCCAACAAGGACACTAAATTGCTTTTGATAACGCTGAAGTGTTGTGTAAAACTAATTATTACTGGCCAAGACTAATTTGAGAATCCATTAAAATTAAGAGAAATCTCCATATATATAAAAGGCAAAGTTGTGAATGTGTGTCTGTTCAAAATGTTTAGCCTACTTCCCGACATGCAACAAACTGGAAATTTGTCATGTGGGTACTTTCCAGACTGCACACCATGCAAAAATTATAAAAAATACACTTTTGTATTTTTTTAGGGGGGGAGCTCAATAATGATCTTTTTTTGCACGGCAAGTGAGCTGTGACGTCAAATCACGTGACCCGCGCACGTGGACGCGTAACGTGACCCGCGCACGTGGACGCGTAACGCATTGTAGTGTAGTGGTTAGCGCGCCGCGCTACGAACCCGGCGACCCCAGTTCGATTCCCGCTCACGGCCACCACCGGTGACGATTATTTTAACCGCTCCTGGGCCTCCCCTAGGTCGACTCAGCCTCAAACGAGTAACTGCTGTGGTGTGTGAACATCGCCACTGGGGAGACAAAGGCGGCCGCGCGTGGTGGATCCAATTCCCGGGTAGTACAGCTAAGTACTATATATTTTTAACAGCTCTGACAGCTACAGACTTAGTGAGGCCCTGGAAGCGTATGATTGAGTAATTTTAAGATGGGGAGCTCAAGAGGAAGGCAGAAGCAGAGGTTGGAGCGATGTGGTGCGGTGGCTTGAGGACCAGAAACAGAGAGATGACGCAGGGTAGCGTGGATAAGGTTGGCAAGGACATCAGACAAACGCGTGGAAGAAGAAATCTTACAATTACAATTCCCTATAGAGGAAACATACTAATTAAATCATTACTCATCTAATTTTCCTTTCTTACCAATATAACCTCTTGCCAGGGCAGCTCTCTCGCTTACTTCAGGATTTTTTTATTGCTTTGGTTGTTCCACCTGATGAAGAGTGCTTGTGTTGCGGTCGAAACGTCGTGATTTGTTTTTATTTTATTTCTACCTACGTGACTTTACCTAAAGAACCGAAGAGTATCATTACTAATCTATCATATAATTACAATAACCCTCCCCACCTTCCCCCGCCTCTTGATTTCAGCGACGACAACGTCGTCCTGATTGCTGCTCTCTTTAAGACTGGGGGTGCAGGTGGATGGCTTCACTCTTCTGGCAAATCGCCCGATGATGCTGAATGTAATTACCATCGAAACGTCGTACTACTCAAATCGTAAGTGTTGTGGATTTACTCTCCAACACACCGGTGGGCTGTAGTAATAGCTAATTTGTGCGTTGTTTACGTGACCAACCTTACTGGCCGTGTCGGGTGGTGGCAGGTTTGACGACACATTTATATATTTACGCGATCTAACCCATAAAACCTGGATTATGGATAACAACTTCGCTCTCAGTCACCGGCGTCTTGGCACACATCTACCAACAACTCCACTCAGTGTTAAATCACCGGCGTCTTGGCGTGCATCTACCAACAACTCCACTCTCAGTGTTAAGTCACCGGCGTCTTGGCGTGCATCTACCAACAACTCCACTCTCAGTGTTAAATCACCAGCGTCTTGGCGTGCATCTACCAACAACTCCACTCAGTGTTAAGTCGCCGGCGTCTTGGCGTGCATCTACCAACAACTCCACTCTCAGTGTTAAGTTGCCGGCGTCTTGGCGCGCATCTACCAACAACTCCACTCTCAGTGTTAAGTCGCCGGCGTCTTGGCGTGCATCTACCAACAACTCCACTCTCAGTGTTAAATCACCGGCGTCTTGGCGCACAACTACCAACAACTCCACTCTCGGTGTTAAATCTCCGGCGTCTTGGCGTGCATCTACCTACAACTCCACTCTCAGTGCTCAGTTGCCCGCGTCTTGGCACGCATCTACCAACAACTCCACTCTCGGTGTTAAATCTCCGGCGTCTTGGCGTGCATCTACCAACAACTCCACTCTCAGTGTTAAGTCGCCGGCGTCTTGGCGTGCATCTACCAACAACTCCACTCTCAGTGTTAAGTCGCCGGCGTCTTGGCGCGCATCTACCAACAACTCCACTCTCAGTGTTAAATCACCGGCGTCTTGGCGTGCATCTACCAACAACTCCACTCGGCGTCTTGGCGCGCATCTACCAACAACGCCACTCTTGGTGTTAAATCACCGGCGTCTTGGCACGCATCTACCAACAACTCCTCTCGGTGTTAAATCGCCGGCGTCTTGGCGCGCATCTACCAACAACTCCACTCTCAGTTGCCCGCGTCTTGGCACGCATCTACCAACAACTCTACTCTCAGTGTTAAGTCGCCGGCGTCTTGGCGTGCATCTCGACGTTGTTGGGCGCCGCCACCGCCAGGGGGGGGGGGGGAGGCCGCGATTTGGCGGGAAAAGTGCGGCCGAGTCCGGGCGGTGCGAGCGAGTTTTTAACCTCCTCCTCGTCCACTACGCGCGGCACCACCATACCCCCTCGTGAAGGGTGTCGCCCATCGCCTATTAAACCCCTCTCTCGCCGCCGGTGTTAGGGAGCGCAGAGGCTGAGCTTCGAGATGCCGTTCGACGCGCAGAAGTTGGCGGAGGAGCTGGACACGTTCGGGATCACCGTGGACGACTCGGACCTCCTGGACAAACGTGAGTGAGGGGCCCTCGCACGGCACGGTCTCCGCGCTCCAAGCCCGACCCTGACACAGCGAGGTCTGCTGGCCCCAACTCTGAAACAGCGAGGTCTGCTGGCCCCAACCCTGACACAGCGGGATCTCTTGGCCCCAACCCTGACACAGCGGGGACTGCTGGCCTCAACCCTGACACAGCGGGATCTCTTGGCCCCAACCCTGACACAGCGGGATCTCTTGGCCCCAACCCTGACACAGCGGGATCTCTTGGCTCCAACCCTGACACAGCGGGATCTCTTGGCTCCAACCCTGACACAACGAGGTCTGCTGGCCCCAACCCTGACACAGCGGGATCTCTTGGCCCCAACCCTGACACAGCGGGATCTCTTGGCCCCAACCCTGACACAGCGGGATCTCTTGGCTCCAACCCTGACACAGCGGGGTCTGCTGGCCCCAACCCTGACACAGCGGGGACTGCTGGCCCCAACCCTGACACAGCGGGGACTGCTGGCCCCAACCCTGACACAGCGGGGACTGCTGGCCCCAACCCTGACACAGCGGGGACTGCTGGCCCCAACCCTGACACAGCGTGGTCTGCTGGCCCCAACCCTGACACAGCGAGGCCCTTGCCCTAACCTCAACCCTGACGTAGTGGGGCCCAGATGTTTCACGCGAGTAGCACTGCTAACCCCAAGCCCTTAACCCCAACCTAATCTTTACCTTAACACCCTATCCATAACCCCCCTTTTTTTACTCCCAGCATTACCCCAGCCCTAACCCAAATCCCTTTTGTCATTATACAGCGGGCCTTATTCTTTTATTCCACAACTGGTGGCCCCAAGTCTCTCCTACGGCTCCCGCCGTCAGGCTTGGCGGAGCATGCCGGGCAGTGTAGGATGTGGGTGCGCATTGAGCCGAACGAAAGCAATGTGTACTACAAGTACACTCATTAACCGTGTCCTTTGTAAGCCACTACGGTATGCTGTAATGTGTTGGTTTAGCACTGAGGTTCACTGTGACCACCTGTTTTTTTTCTGGTGGGATTTTCACCTCTGGCTCAGTGCCATAAACAGGTGAGCAATTGTGATATGGAAGTTACTTTTGTTTAAATTCTCAACCTATATCCATGAGTGTGGTTATTGGCAGCTTGCAAAGTTTAATTATTTTTTGTTACCGATGCCCAGTACTTCAATATGTTAGCCCTTCGGGGTTAAGTAAAATAGCTTCTACTTTGTGGAAGTCAACAGAGGATATGTAATGCGTAGACTGATCCCTTGCCATATGAACGTTACATCTACACTCGGAGCTCTGTAAGGCCACTAACGAGTGAGACAATGCAAAAGTAGCCACGTCCAGTGTAGCCTTTGTAAATGATAGGTGCAATTGATGTCCGTGAGCACCAAATATCTCCGTAAACGCACAGAAGAGGGTGACGGTGGTTACGAGCCACACCACGCCTGGCCGCCTTTGTCTCCCCCCCCCCCCCCCCCCCCCCCCGGTGCTGATATTTACACGGTGGCATCACTACAGGACTTGTGCCAGGCTTCAGTGCACATTGAAGCCATGTGAAGTGTTGAAGGCTCCCTTGGCGTGAGGTCACGAGACAGACCCAAATGTTACGGAGACGCATTGTCACACGTACAGTGCTCAATTGACCGCAGGTCTCTGCTTGTTGTCCAATGCATGCAGTTCAGGAGCTGTGCATTGTGCATGGGCTGACCGAGGAGAAGATGGCAGAAGAGTGGATGGCCTTTTCATACAACAAGGGCCTGGAGCTGTGCGTGGACACCCTGGAACGCTTCGACCACGAGGTCAGCATGCTCAGGGTCTCTCCATGGTCTGGTAGCCTGCACTGCCGCTAGTTACTCTGTGCCAGGGCCTCTCCGTGGTTTGTAGCGTGCACTGCTGTGGTGACACTGGGCCATCTTCGGCTTTTCATGAGATCCAACAATGGCCCAAAGCAGCGCATCGGCTTTGACCACTGTTTCCCAAGACTGCTGGAGTGTTTGGGCATTGTAACGGTAATAGTGGTCATGTCACCTCATTTAATTCAATCTCCGATTCAAGGATAAATCACTGAACCATGGCAATTTTGGCAGCTACATTATACCAAGTCTAGATTTGTGAATAATCTGAATTAATGATCATCTATTGATTATTTTGCTCGAGAAATCACTTGATGTAATCATTAACATATGGGACCAACTGCTGCTTAAAAGTGATCTCGCACCTCACTTCGCAGTGTTGTGGTTGAGCCAACGATGTTGCAGTCACGAAGCTCGTGGAGATAAACGCCTGCTGTGTTGTTCTCCGACCCCTTTTCCTTGCAGCACCTTACAAAACGGTCCAACTCGCGCACGCCCACACAGAACAAGGTCTTTCAAGACGCCAACACGCTCAGCGACTTGTATCCTTGTGTGCGAGAGTTGGCCACTTTTCATGCCAGGGTGAGTTACATCATGCATCAAGGACCCAATGAGAGTGCTGCCAGTTTTTTTTCACTCTTTCCAACAAGGTTGAAATTGTTTATGCATTAGCCATGTCAGTCTGCCCGTCAATAACAGGGAGGGGGGGGGGGGGGAGCTTGAACAAAATGTATACATACCAGTTGGCTGATACAACTTGCTGCACTTTACAATGCAGTTTGATTCTGGATGACTGTCTGGATTTGAACCTAGGATCTCATCGGTGTTGGCCCATGGTATTTTAGTCCTCCGAAACAGCCTTTTAAGAGCACGTTTTTCTGCTCTGCATGTTGAGTTTCTAATCTTGCATTCTCCACTGATGGCGCACTCGGCACATGAGTGTGCGTTAGTGCTGTACTGACGTGTTGTTTTTATGCGAGGCGGTGTTTTGTCGAAACGGAAGACCTTGACGCGCTTGCACAGCATCGCTGCCGAGGACGAAGAGGATGACCTTATGGAGTCCTACACGACGCCTGCCAAGGTAAGCGCACGTGGTAATTGAGCCATTCCCCCCTGTCATTGTTTCAATACGATTACAGTGCAATTGGACCATATTTAAAGATTCTGAACAGAAACAAAAACCGTTTTTGGTTCCTGTTGAATCGCCGGACAGGGTAGATCAGGTAGTGGGGAACCTTTGTATTGTTACTTTATTTCATACAGCCCGTGGCCACTTGAGACCAACCACTTCGAAATGGCCCACAAATTATATTTATCCATCACTACAAGCATTTTAGCTGGGCTTATCGAGTACTCGAGCAAAATATTTTCAACCTGGCTTTGACAGAAGTGACTTGAGTATGATCAAATTCTAAACACAGTGTTGTCAATTCAGAAATATTCCCTTAAGCACCCGATTAGCACGGCCATGATGCTTGCACTGATGGGTAAATGTTGTTTGTGGGCCCTTTGCCATTTAGAAGTGGTAGGTAGGCCCCAAGTTGCCGCAGGCCATATAACAATAAGCTGTGAGCTGGCTATGCCTATGTTCTGTAGTATTCTCACCCATGGCATATTTCATTTTAAATGTGTGCAATGTATGTACTTGTGTTCTACGGGTCTGTCCTTGTGTGTGTGTATGTGCGCACTGGTGACTGCAACACCAGGCTTCTCAGAAGAGACGGCTGACGACCCCGGAGAACCCTCACTCGAAACGCATTCTGTCCCAGAGTTCCCACCTCTCCCCATCCAGCTTCTCTCCCAGGTGCATCTCAACGCTGATAGCGTAGTTTGCCTATGCAGAAAATCAAATGAAAACATGTATTCGCGCCGTTCTTATAGTGCAAGGCTATGTCGCAGCTGCTATGTTTCACAGCTATGTATAGTATGCCAGTAGGGGGCAGAGTTACTATGTCAATTTCGCAATTAAGTAATTTGCAAGTAATTTAAAATTTGGTGAAATTGGACCACGACACCATCAAACGTGTCCTACTCTTGACGATTGTTTTTTAAGTGCGTGTAATATCACCTCCTCGCGTGTTATCCCCCCCTTGCTCGCCGCAGCACCACGCCGTCACAAAAGTACAGCTCCCGCAAAAACCCCGGCGAGGTCGTGGCGACATTCGGCTCGGAGCCGAGCGGTACGAGCGGGCAAGCGCCCGTGCGCGTCCACGTGTTCTCCCGGCCCGGCGAAGAGCCGCTGAGCCAGACCTACCTACACATGTTCCAGAAGCTGCACGACATGCGCGAGGGTACGGGCTTGCCTAGGATCGTTCATCTGGAGAGTGAGACTGGGTTAGAGATGATGGAGATTCTGCCACGGGTTGCCGGTTAAATTCGGTCTCCCGGTGCGGCACTTGAAAGAACGGTGCGAGCTTCTTTAATCTTCCCCCGCCGCCTCTGTCTGCCCATCAGCATTAATGTGTACACCACAGTTAGTTGCGCGTCAGTCATGTATGTATGTATTTTTTTACTTCTTTCGTACAGTACGTAGCCAGTCGTGCTAATTGGAGGTGCGGGGGAAGGACAGCAAACTAAACACAAAAAGCAGTTCTAAAGAAATTAGTTTTCAATCTAGATTTAAAAGTGCATAAGGTAAGCATTACGATCAGTAGGCGTCAAATTAAAGCGTCGTGGTTTGTGTCTGGATTAGGGTCAGGGTTATATTTGTGGGTGATATATGGGAAACTAACATTTTATTAAACCAAATAAATTAACATATGGCCTCGATGTTGAACGATCTGTGTGGAGCACACTGGCCTCTCACACCGACCCATCACATCGTGTGCTGTCTCGGAGATGTGAGGTTTGCAAATCTCATTGAACTGCTCTTATTTTTTCTTGTCTCTGGCAGTTTTTAGCCAACAAATAGAAGACCTGGGGCAGCAGCTGCAGGCGCACTACAACGTGGAGGAGCTTACATCGGTCACTAACTCAGTGCAGGTGGGAGCTACGCTCTTCGCCACACAAAGACAAAGATCCTCCCCGTATAGCCTTTTCAGGCTGTTTGGGGCAAGTGCTGTCAGCAAGCACCTATAAAGGCCAACACGGCACACGAGGGGGTGGGTGGCCAGCACCACGCCCGACCGCCTTTGTCGCCCCCATTGCTGATGTGTACACACCGCACGGGGTATTCATTTGAGGCTGAGTCAACCAAGGGGAGGCCCAGGACCGTTCAGATAATCGTCACCGATGTTGGCCATGAGTGGGAAATGAACTCGGGTCAACGGGTTCGTAGCACAGTGTGCTAACCACTGCAGCACAGCTCTCTACACACACACACACAATGTCATTGGATTGTCATATTAGGATCCTTGTGCTTACACCATTTACCTGCTACCATTGTCTCACTGGTTTTAGAGGTAATGCGTGTATATGTGTGTCAATAGGGATACCATGTGGATTTAAGGAAAAAAACACTTAATATAATGGGTGTTTGTCTTATCACCGATGATTGGGTTCAGACCATCAGCTTTCTACACTTGAAGACTTAAGTTTAGTCATCATTGTCATATTGAACGAAATTGTATCACCACTTGTTAAGTACCTGCCTGGTATGGGTGCCTCTATCCAGTATAGCTACTCGGGTCTACTAGCCACTAGAGTCTCCTTGCCCCGTCAAGGCAGTAGTGTCCCTTCAGGACAATAACACACACGAGGATCGTTTGTGATGAAAGGCTGCTTTCTGTCTGGGCGGTGACTGTGCTGTGGTCACGCAGAGCACAGTAACGGTCGTCGGCCGCGTTTGCTGCGACTGCAATGGGAAACTCAACGCCAAGTCGGTGCTGCTCCAGGGAGACCTGGACATATCGGCCGGCCTGGCGACGCCCCTTGACCTCTCCCAGATCCCCGAATTCTCACTCTTCCCTGGACAGGTAGGTGCCTTAGGATCCCGGTGTTGTGAACACCAAAAGTGAAACGCAAAGGAAATTTTTCGATGCGGGCTGAAGCAATGGAAATGCGATGGTGAAAATGAGACAAAACGATCAATCGCTTGGTGAAGAGTATCGCTCTAATACTTTTTCTAAGGCCTACAATTAAGCTTTAATGTGTGTGGTTGGCTTCTTTTGTTGTACGAAAATAGCAACAATCACAACGTTAAATTGAGTTCAGGTATCCAGTTTGAGCACATCGTCGAATGCCGAATTAACTTTTGTTGTCATTTTGGGATGGACGTGAATGGGCGACCTTTCACGACGTTGTGTTCCGCTGTTTAAAAGTTCGCCCGCACAGTTGCACCCGGGATTGGGGTTTGTTCATTGGCATTTAAAAACACGACAGAAAAAAGTTAAATTGTGAACTCAGGTCAAGTAGAACACCGCCGTATTAAGAAAACGTACTTGCCGCTCTGTCTCAATCTGTGCACGTGTAAAAGGTGGCGATGCTCGACGGACTGAACCCGACCGGGAAGAAGTTTGTGGCGTCAAAGCTGTACGAGGTACGTGCCGGCTGGGAATGTTGCATTGAACGTCTGTACACATGGGCACGCGTGTTCGCATGCACTTGTGTGCCCATGTGTACAGCCCTCTTGTCAGTCCACTGCTGTACAAGTACCTGCCCATGCCGTGTGGGTCATGGGGGGTTATTTGATCATACTTCACCGCGCTTAGTCGGCACGGGTTGGTGAAGGTGGGGAGCAAAGGTGTTGAAGTATGGTACCGTACAACAATGGAATGCTCTGCATTGTTTTCACTGTTTCTGGGACAGGCTGTGCCTCTGCCCTTTTACTGTCCCGAGCCTGAGGAGGAAGAGAATATCAGTGATGGTAAGGAAGACTTTGACATTGTGACTGTGCAGCGGATGAGTGAATGACGATGAGAGTTGGTGAAGAGGATTATGGTTATTCTGCTCAGGGCTTAATTTCAGGTGGGTACATATTCTTAGCTCTTTCAGTAAAGTCACGTTGAAGGGAAACAATAAAATAATAAAATATATATAAAACACAATATATATTTTATTGTTTCCCTTCAACGTGACTTTACCGAAAGAGCTAAGAATATGAATTACTGCAGTCACGAAAGCTTTAAATCAAAATTTCAGGTCGGTACGTTTGGAACAGTGACCCAGACAGTATTTCTGCACCTGGCACACCACATTCAGTATTCCTCTCTCTGGCTGTGGCTACCAGTGACGTCTGCCGATTCCAATCTACCAGCGACCCAGAATACTTTTAGTGAGAAATTACATTTTTGACTACGCTCAGTGCGGTTACAGTGGGTAACAGAGATTACTGTGGTGTTGATTATGGTGAAGACGTCATTGTGGTCATCGTTATGGTGTTTGTAGGTCATCTGTTTTGATAATATTGATTATGACAATTGCAAAAAACAATGCCATTATTTAAATTGAGGTCATTAAGTTACTGGTCAGAATCCTGATGGTGTTAGTGATGGCAATGATGATCATGAATTATAATCACTAGAAAGATGGTGTGGTAGTGTCTGTGCACTTGTGTGTGTGCGCATTTATGTTGTACCTGTGTGATTGAGGGAGCAGTTACGCACTGCACAAAGAACCTGGCGACCCGAGTTCAATTCCCGGCCATGGCTAATGTCAGCGGCAAGTAATATCTAAACTAGACTAGGGCCTGCTCTATGTCATCTTAGCCTCAAATTATTACCTGGAGCACATCATCCCCTTTTGCGCGATGCCAGTACTCATTATGTTAATACAAAACCACTCTTTGTATTTATAGCAGTCATGTAGATGTTAATTTGGAGAAAGTAGTAGCCATTATGATGGTTTTCATATTCTTTGGTTCTTTCAGTAAAGTCACGTAGATAGAAAAATAATAATAAAGTTAATACAAATAAAAACCACGATGTTTCAATCGCAACACAAGCGGTCGTCACTTTATTATGATTTTTTTTATCTACGTGACTTTACCGAAAGAATCAAATAATATAAATTCCTGCAGCCACGAAAGTTTTAAGTGAAAATTATGATGGTTTGTTTGGCATTTAACTTTGTCTGAGTGGGAAATGGTGGTACAGTGGTTTGCACACTGTGCTGCAAATCCTGACACCCTGGGTTTAATTCCTGGTGATGCACATCAGTGCACCGGTCGTGGGCCTCTAACCTTAAGCAGCCTGCTTGCTCTTACCTTAAACATCACGGCTGGCGAGACAAAGGTGACCGGGCATGGTACTGGCCACGATTGCTAACGGCACCTGCTCTTATAGTCTTAATATAGGATATATGTTGGATATTTTTGTCTGTTTCCACGTGTCTGCGTGCATCACAGGCAGCGTGACGATGCTGGTGGCGTGCGGACCGTTCAGCACGTCGGACAGCATCAACTACGAGCCTCTGTGCGACCTCATCACTGTCATCAACCGCGAACGCCCGCAAGTCTGCCTGCTGGTGTGTCGCACCGCGTGGTCACAATGCGCCGTCACAATTTCAAAGGAACATTCTGTTGCTGCTTGTCGGGTGTTTTGAGTTCACTCCTCTAACCGTCGCTCTTGTGAAATCTCACGCTGTGGTCAGATGGGACCGTTTGTTGATGCCAAGCACGAGCATGTGGAGGTACGAACACCGCTGTCGACACTTCATCTCGCGCGTCGCCCTCCCCTCGTAACACGCAAACACGTTCAGTATTTCCTCTATCTCAAGACCGATTCTGCATTTACTAAGCTTTCTTAAAGATGCACCTCTGTTTGTTTTTATTTTTTTTTATAGAAATGCCAGCTAAAGGAGACCTTTGCAGAGCTCTTTGCGAACACAATCAGGCTCCTTGTGGAGCGGACACAGAGGTACGCGTGAGATCAGATTGTCACCCTCGCCTTAACCCTTCCCCTCGAACACCAACCTAACCTTCACAAACTCCTGCAGCCAGTGTGGCTTCACACAGTGTCAGCGAAAAATCCCTGCCCGTGAAACCGCAGAACTTCAAAATGCATCTACGGCTCAACACTCAATCAGTGGCATAGCTAGAGTGTGCAGGGGGTGCAACTGCACCAGGATCCGCAGGCCGAAGGGTCCCAGGTGCTGGGCTACGAAGATGCGGGGGCAGGGGGGGAATCAGACAAGGGGAAGGGCCCGGGAGGGACTCCCCCCATTTATTTACCTGCACCAGCCCAAGCTACGCCACCGCACGAGATGGTGCTCCGTCACACTCTGTCAAGGGTAGTTCGTGTAAAGTCAATAGTGTGCAATGTACGCATTTTAACCCCCAGTGGCAGGCAAAGCAGAATTAATGTAATACTAAATATACGTGTTTATTTTGCTGTCCTAGGTTTCAGAGTGTTAAGATGTTAACACTTTTTAGAAAATATTTTTTTTCAAAAGTGGATGAGACCCAGATTTCAACCCAGGGTCGCAGTGGTTTCAACAAAGTTTGGCCTCCCCTCGGTCGACTCAAATGAGTGCCTGTTGTGGTGTGTAAACATCGCCACTGGGGAGACAAAGGTGGCCGGCCGAGGTGCGAGCCACCCGCCCTGCTTGTGTACCATGTCGGGCTTCATCGGTGCTCGCTCAACAGCATTTGCCCCAATGCTCTGTTCAGGCTCTACAGGGGATCCTTTGGCTTTGTTGTTTACTGAACTTGCTGTTTGTCATTGTAGCTCGGGCTCGCGGCTGGTGATCGTGCCATCGCTTAGGGACGTGCATCATTGCTGCATCTACCCTCAGCCTCCGTTCACCCGCCCGGATTTTCTCAAAGACTTACAGGTTCGCCACAAAAGATAAAGATCCCCCATATAGCCTACACAGACTTTTGGGGGAAGTGCAGTTTGCGGGAACATATTAAGGCCAGCATGGCACGCAAAAAGTGTTGATTATGGCCAACACCGTGCCGGGACCGCCATTGTGTCCCGAGTGCTGATGGTTTACACACCACACCACATACTCATTTCATGCCAATTCGAAATAACAAAGTCCCCGGACCGGTTCACATATCACTCGCCAGTGGAGTTTGCCACGGCCGGGAATCAGACTCAAGAAACAACCCGCAAACGATAATTCTCCATCTCTCGCAAGCAACTTGGGAACACTAGCCGGATACCAGCGAGAGGGATATTCAACCTGACAACACCTTGCCACTAAATTTAGTAGCGCCACGCTTAGCCACCTGCTGTTATCTTTCAGGTATTTACGAGCACACGGTCGATAGGTACAGTCCTGGGATGATCAGACTTTGACAATGTGTGTGGTTACCTGCCGTGGTTCCCCCACAGAGGGTGACGTTTGTGTCGGAGCCGTGCACGCTCAATGTGAACGGCGTCGTGGTCGGCGTCACGTCCACCGACATCCTCTTCCACATGAGCTCCGAGGAGATCAGGTGAGTGTTTGTCGTCCTGCTAAAACCAGGGCGGAATGATTGGGCTCTCCCTCCACACCCTGCAGTTCGATGAGACGTTGTAATACAGGGTCGGGGTTTCAACTCGAGGATAGAAACTTTAACATTTCAGGGCAAATGATAGCGCCGCCTCTTAGTGTCTGCAAGGGTGACGTGAACCCCATTGTGCACAGCATATAGTCAAATCGAAAAATAGTTTCTTACACGCGTCATTTGTATGTATGTTGAACTTCTTTTGCATCATACGTGGTCAACCTTGCTAATCGCAGGTGCGATTTGGTGTGTGTATTGTCGAGCTGATGAAGCATTATTATTGGTCGCCGAATCAATGCGTCCCGCCTAAGGTTAACAAAATTAACGATGAAAGCGGGAGCGTTATACGCACAGGCACTGCGGCCGTTTGTCGAGTAGAGATGTAATGATTCACCCCTTCCACATTTCGTGGAGTTGTCATGATTTGGAGACTGGGTCCCTTGTCGTCGTTGTCAGCATGTAATTTCCCACTGCTGGCCAAAGGCCTCGCCGTTCCTCTAATATTTCCAGTCGCTCCTGTTGAGTATTGGCTTCCAAACTCTTTGAATTCATCTAGCCGCCATCTCTTCCACTGTCTTCCTCTGCTTCTCTTCCCTTCTCTCAGTATCCACTCGAGTTAATTTTGTCCCTTATCTCTCGTCAGTTTTTCCGACTTGGCCCGCCCATTTCCACTTGATTTCCCTTTGCTTTGATCCAGGATAATTATGCGTGGCAAAATCTTGAGAGAAGATTGCTAAACATTGTGGCCTAACCCATAAGATTAGGCGAGGGTTTCTACCATTCGTAGGTTTGTGACGCGCGTTGCGTTGTTTTGACCCGCAGCCCTCCTGGTGGTGTGGACAGGTTCACACGACTCGTCAAGCACTTGCTGACACAGAGAAGGTGAGTGATGCCTCCACCGCTGTCATTTAAACTCCTCGAGCCAGCAGTGGCCACACTCCAGATGATCACGCGCGAGGTTGTCACGATATGATTTTAATGATACGATATCAATTTTTACAAAGATTGAGATGTCACCGTGGCTAAAGCTATTGATGCCACCGCCACATCCCGCCAGGGCTTTCTGTCCTCTGCCAGGTCCCGCAGCTGCTGCACATTAGACACACATCGACCTCCAAGATATACCCTTACAGCATACAACCATCTGGTTTAAGATTTGACATTCATGGTGATATCAGTTTCCCATAACTATTATTTCGCATGTTTATTGTATTGTGTTGTGGTTTTCTATACTCCCAATATTAATGAGGATTGGACGTTCTTCAGCTCCAGTTCACTCAACAAAAGCCTGCCATAAGTCTTCTAATTATTGCAACTTTAAATACCTATGTGTATAATGCACGTGATGTTAGCTACACAATTCATTTTAAACGGACTACGGAAATTATGGTGTCGCATTACCGCTGTACTTGTCAACTACAGAAAACTTTTTTTGCAAATCACGAACTTACTGGAAATTATCTCTTTATTTCGATCATAAATTATTGCTTTTGTTGTTTGATAAATACCTTGTCAGGCCCTAACGCAATAAAAAAAGGGAGCAATGATAAAAAATATTTTCTACAAACGACGATGCGAGTATCACGGAATTTACATCGTACGATGTCGTATTTCCGTGTCGTGGTGACCATTCTACTGCACTCCCCCTACTACAAAGAAGGTTTCCTCTTTCGCCAGTTGCCAGGTTCGTGCGATGACTTAATCTACGTTAATCTGCTGAAAATAATATACATAGGTTGATGAGAATGGAAATTGCCACTGCGTGAAGCGTAGGATTTGGGGGATATTTTTGTTACTTCATTTACAGGAGCACTGCTGGTAATGTGAGAGGTCGTACAGGGATAGAGAATTATGAGAGAACTAACAATGACCTTCGAGGTGAAACAATGTCCTCTACTGACTAGTAATGCCGATAAGATGAGCATATCTCCTAGTTTTCCATTACATACTGCCAGGCATGGTGATGCACGCCAGTAATCGAGCACTAAAGGGGGTTGGTGGATCATTTAGATGCGTGACACTTCAAAAAGCCACTGACATGTAAGGTGGCCAAGGAGTTGGCAAATGAGTTTGTGAATCTGTAAATGTGCGGGGGGTTTTTCTTCTTCTACGTACTCTTGTCTTTGTTCTTAAATGCAAAACCATTCTTTTAAAATGAAATTGATTGGCCAAATGGCCCAATGCAGGATTCTCCTGAAATATCCTTATATTCACCAAGACCTTTAATGAATAAATATATACGTCGTTATATCGAATCATCATTGCAGCCGTGAGCAATCCACTGCTGGATGAAGGCCGCCCTATCCCCCCCACAAAGTTGCCACCATCCTTCCGGGTTCTGAGATGCAAACACTCCGCTGAGCACCAGTACACGAGCCGATCTCGTCGGGGTAGACGTTCTCTTGGGTGCTGCGTTTCCCCCCTTTACATGTCACTTGGTGGTTATTCTCGCCACGTGGCCTGCCAAAGCCCACTTACTTTTTATTTCCAGAAGCGTATACAGCACAACAAAATAAGTACGCGTGTGTTAAATTGACAACATTAAATGGCATTTAATCCACAAGGATTGTGTATGTTGAACTTCTTCCATACCATACGCAGCCAACCGTGCTAATCGGAGGTGCGGAGTAAGGACGACAAACTAAGGGAGGGTGGCGTTCCCATATGAGTGCTTCCCAATAGCATACGTTTAAACAGAGGCAACTGCGCACATGCTCCCTTCCGTCTTCGCCCGGACTCATCAGTTAAATGTGGCTTCGTTACTCTTACGCTGTGCAGTTATTACCCGCTCTACCCGCCGGCCGAGGAGATGAACGTGAACTACGAGACCGCGCAGGTGCACGCGCGCTTTCCCGTCACGCCCGACGTCCTGATCATCCCTTCGGATCTCCGCTACTTCGTCAAGGTGCGGTGCCGTGGTGTTGTAACATCCTGTGGTTATGATCTCGTTGGGTGTTGCTTAACTGCTCTTTCCCCCGGATGTGTGATTGTGTGTATGTAGGCGTGGTAACCACACCCACGGGAGCGGGAGTGTAGCGCTTAGCGCGCTGCTCTACGAACCCAGTTACCCGTGTTCGATTCCCGCTCACGGCCAACACCAGTGACGATTATCTGAATCGGTCCTGGGCCCTCCCCTAGGTTGACTCAGCCTAAAATGAGCACCTGGTGCGGTGTGTAAATACATCGCTACTGGGGAGACAAAGGCGGTCGGGTGTGGTGCTGGCCACCTTTACCCTCTCGTGTGCCATTCTGGGCTTCATAGGTGATACTCGGTAACAGCCTTTGCTTCAACAGTCACGGCTAGACGGTGAGTCGCCGTGTGTCTTTGTGAGTAGGGGAGCTTTATGTTACAGTCACCTCTGGGGTAACGGTGGTGGACAAGGTGGCCCAGATTTTTGTTTAAAAACACATGACGTGGAACGTGCGTGAATTAGACTATACAAAGTGTATATTGTTTTATTGCATCTTAGAGTAATACGTTTGCTTGCTAACTGTTCATTCAGGATGACACAGCAACATTAGTCCCTACTTCAGGTACCCTTCTGAAAAAGTGTCTTGAGACTCGAGGCTTTTCTGGGTACCTCCGATTAGCAAGGTTAGCTACGTAAAAAAGAAAGCAGTTCTACATACAAACAAGCGTAACAATAACATGTTTGCCATCACCGGGCGTCTTACTCTTAAAGAGGAGATCATTAAACCAATGCACACTTAAATATATTTTCTTGTACAGCATGGGTAATCTGCAAACCGAATAATCTGCCCATGGATACGGGAGAGTAAACTATGTTATTGTCTTTGTGCAAAAGGACTCTTTACTATGTAAATAGGCGTAGCATAAATACTGTTTGGTGAAAGCTTTAACCATTAAGATAGTTTGTTTTGCATTTTACTTTGTACCTGTGTGTGCAAGTGGGGAGTGGAGATGCAGCGGTTTGCACGCTGCTCTACGATCCTGACAATCTGTCTTTTCCCCGGTGTTCGCTAACATAATGTGCCTTTGCTGTCTATAAAATTAGAGGTTAATTTAGAATAATTACAGGATTTCAAAACCATCACTGAGAGGAGGAAGAATGCCATTTAGCCAAAACATCAATATCTTCCTCTCATTTCAGGCACAGTATAAATTATCCTTTTATTATTTTTAAGTAACCTCTTATTTTACGTACAAGCCCACCGAAGCATCAACTGTATAATTTACAGTCTATAAAGGCCACTTCGAAAAATTTAGGGCAATTGTCATGGCAATCTCTACCGGCACTGTTTGCTGCTGCACCATCTCCTCTTGTATTCCAGACATAACTGGGTCACTGCCATTGCTGTGCAACTTGGCATAGCTCACTGTCAATGTGCCAGTGAATATTATTGGCAATGATTTGCCTAAAATATCCTTTGTGTGTCATGATCTTTACGCTAAATTGTAATTGACTTTCCATGTACTGTATGTGTGGCATTTATATTTTTAGTGGGATTGCCGAACACCAAGTCAAAGGGCCAATAAAAGCCAAAGAGCCAGAAACAAACAGCACGGTTGAAGTTGTATTAGATAAGAGCAAGTTTATAACATCTTGTGAAAAGAGACGATGGGAGGGAAGTCCAAAGTCGATTTGTGCGAGGAAGTGTTCTGACCTCTTACAGTACGTTGGTTGAACACAGTGGATATAAACCAGTCGGCTCATCTGGTCGCCGACAAGTCCTGAACATGGTCACCACTGTGTTTTAGGCTCCTGTGTGGGTGTTGCGGATGCGTCGGAGCACACACACATGCGCATGCAATCATCGCACTCCTTTGTCATTGTCTAATCCTCAGACCGCGTGCGGCTGCGTCTGCATCAACCCCGGCCGCCTCACCAAGGGTCACGTGGGCGGCACGTTCGCGCGTATCGCTCTGGGTCGCGTGCCGAGCACCGGGCCAAACAGGGTGTCACCATGCCTCTCTGCACAGATTATTAAAATATAAACGCATCACCCAGGGAACGTTGTCCCACCCACCTATCACCCCTAAGCCCTGTCCCGTCAATGAACTTTTTAGAGTGCCGTCCTCGAAATACCAGGATCATTCAGGTGTGGGGTACCCCTGATATATCCATTTTCTTAACAAAAAAACTACTTCCATGAACACCGATTGAGGCTGATTTTTTTGCCCCTAATTTTGAGTGCTCAAAAATGTCAAATTGTGGTAAAATACAAATAGTGTATGACATGTTGTCAAGTCACTTGAAAAAAGGTTTAACTTTATCAAAACTTACTTGCTCCCCGAGGTGTGTGTGTGTGGAGGAGCGGGGGACCGCGTAGTCCAGTCCCAAAAACTGGTACCGCCAGACTCCGTCACGTTTCTGTGCAGCATGGCGACACAGTCGGCAAAGATTCAGCATGGCTCTACACACCGTTCAAATTGCCAACGTTTTCAAATTTTTACCTTTTTTTTTACATGAGGACCCCAAAAAATCCACGTCATATGCAGGTCACAGTGTTTTGAGGATGCACACTGCACTAGTGTATTTTAAAAAGCTGTATTGTTTGACTTGCCCCGTCATAAAAACAATGTGGAATTTCTTCTGCCTTCTCACGGCCTGTCAACAGATGTACAACTCAGCACACTTGTCTTTGCAGGGACTCATTTTGGACTGATATTTTGTGGTCCAGTGCAGTTTATACTTTGTGATTGTGGTGTGATATTTTGAATCGGGGAGTAAACTGAGACGCAGTGACTTCACTTATTCACGCTGCCTTGGTTGAGCTATCAAAACAACAGCTGTGTTCAAGGTTGCCGTGTGAATGCGTTGTCTCTAATTGGATTTGTTGATACTGTATATATGCTTCCACCGCCCCACAGCGAAACGTGAATATCGCAAGTATTCGTGTTCGAAATAAAATTATTTTTTACGCTGAGTCTATTGTGTTTTTAAAGTTCTTATCCGGACAAATCAAATGATGTGAACGTAAAAAGAATTACATTTGGTAAAATACACATTTTAAATATATACACTAAAGTAATGAATACCAGGTTTGTAATCTAGACTTAAAGCTACCCTGGCATTCTAACGCAATTATTAACCCGTGTCCAAAAGCTGAAACGTAATTCTTTAATACCACCCACACTCCAGGGACCTTAATGAATCACCGAAGAATAAGGCAAGGGGTTTAAATTCTGTTATCTTTCCAAAGATTACTGTGCTCTTTAGACAGAAGGTTATTGTGGATTGTGCCTATATGCTTTTATTGTCCCCTCGTCCACTTCATTTGCAGGATTTTAGGGATAGGTGGTGGCACCGTGTGTTACCAAACATTGTGATCTTTTTTTCTGCCCACTAAGCCTTTGATGCAGATAATTTACCGTGTGTGTGTGTGGTCTGAAATGTTAGCTGTGCATTTCCAAATGTGCCTTGCAATAAAAATACAAACGACCCATAATCCAGGACTATACTTGATAGTTATGCAATAAATGGGGAAGTACTGTTTCAGCATGACATCAACAAATCTTGAGATGCAGTGAAATAAATAGTACCTTTCTGAAAACACATTTAACATTGATACTATTTTTATTATCTTTACACTTCGATTTAAAGCTTTCGTGACTGCAGGGATCTTTACACTGTCAAATATTAAATTTACCGACCTAAATTCGGAAATATTTATCCATAATGTTCCACGGCATCACATGGGGTGTGTACAATATTGCGTTACGCATTGAACGGAAGGATCCCACAGTTTATGGGTAAGTAGCTCTTGCCAGGAAACGCCGTGGGTAATCCTGCGCACATTCGTTTCACAGGCATGTGACTTGGGAGTGTTTCGATTATTTTGCGGCTATACATTTCCACGTGATAAGCCACTTCGTTTAGCTATCATTTGTGGCCGGGTTGCTTCTGAACAGGAAGCTAATAGCTCGATGGGCCTTACCTGGTAGGATTAGAATAGTTTATTTCTATTTGTCTGGGGTGGTGTGTATGCCTTTGCTTCGCACTCCTCTCGAGTGTTGTAAAGTTCTGACCCCGTGCCCCTAATGTACATCTGTGGGGGGAAAAAAGCTTCATAGCTCATCGGATTCCTCCAGGGTAAATAAATATTCTGATTCTGACCCAGAACGTCTAAGCCCCGTCCGGAGTTTTGCCCGCCGAAATAAACATGCGGCAGGATAATTATGGTCTGGAAAGTCATTCAATCGGCTGTGGGATTATAAATATGTAATGAGTTTACAAGTGGAGACTGGGAGGAGGGGAGGGGGCAGGAGGAGGGGGGGACAGGAGGAGGGGGGGACATGAGGAGGGGGGGGGGACATGAGGAGGGGGGGGGGACAGGAGATGGGGGGGGGGGGACAGGAGATGGGGGGGGGGGGGACAGGAGGAGGGGGGGACAGTACATGGGGGGGGGGGGACAGGAGATGGGGGGAGGACAGGAGGGGGGGGAACAGGAGGGGGAGGGACAGGAGGGGGGGGGACAGGAGATGGGGGGGGGGACAGGAGATGGGGGGGGACAGGAGGGGGGGGGACAGGAGGAGGGGGGGACAGGAGATGGAGGGGGGGCAGGAGGAGGGGGGGGGGACAGGAGGGGGAGGGACAGGAGATGCGAGGGGGACAGGAGGGGGAGGGGCATCGGGAGCAAGGCGTGTCGACGAGAACCCGGAGAAACGCGACGTAATCACTTCCTCTTTGAGCGGGCTCACAATGCGCAGTGCACATAAGAGAGGCCGTCTCAATGTCACGGAATTCAAATTGACACAGCGCACCGGCATAGCGCGGGGGGTGCTTACGGCTTGTGTGGGTGGAGCGGGAGCCTCACTGCGGCCAGGAGGAGGAGGAGGAAGCAGCAACAGGAGCAGCAGCAGGAGCAGCAGCAGGAGACGACTGCGAGAAAGATGGACCACGTAGAGGCAATCATATTCGACCTGGACAACACTCTGGTGGACACGCAGGGAGCGGATGTCAAGGCGTACGAAAAGGTGAAGGAGGGTGACTTTTCTGTTGTTGTTTGTTAGCGGGAGCCGGTGTCGCGTTGTGTGTTGTTGTTGTGTGTTGTTGTTGTTGTGTTGTTGTGTGTGGCTGAGTTGACGGGGGGAGGGGGAGTTGGCGCTACGCTGCGCTGTGAACCCGGCGACCCGGGTTCGATTCCCGCTCACGGCCAACACCCGTGCTGGGCCTCCCCTAGGTCGACTCAGCCTCAAACGAGTACCCGGTGCGGTGTGTAGTGAACATCGTCACTGGGGGAGACAAAGGCGGTCGGGCGCGGTGCTGGCCACCCACCCCCTCGTGTGCCGTTCCCGGCCTTCATAGATGCTCGCTAACAGCACTTGCCCCTACAGTCTGTTAAGGCTACACGGGGGACCTTTGTCGCGTGGTTGAGGTGGGGAGCGGTGGTGCAGCGGTTAGCGCCGCGCTGCGCTACGAAACCCCGGCGCGACCCGAGTTCGATTCAAGCTCACGGCCAACACAAACAACGCCGGCGCCACCCCTAGGTCTGCTCGGCCTCAAACGAGTACCTGGTTACGGCGTGTAATAAAACAAACAAACAAACCATCGTCGCTGGGGGGAGACAAAGGCGGCCGGGCGTGGGGGGGTTTGTCAGGCCACCCCACAGCGCCGGCCTTCGTGGGTGTTGCTCGCCAACAGCACTTGTCAGAGGCTACACACACACACGTGGCGGTGGGGAATCTTTGTCTTTGTGACCGGGTTCGTTGTTGCGGTGCCACAGGAATAAGAGTTGCAGTGCCACGTGTCCCAGGTGGCTTTGGGTGGGTGGGGGGTGTTGGATAGCGTAAATGTATAGATGTGTCATTAAACCCCGCCACCACGTAAACAGAACACGCGCCAATTCGTTACAACTTGCAGCAGCAGCACGCACCGGTTGTGTGTGTTGGCGAGAAAAGCCACGACAACATTTACACTCCGAGGACGACGTTTCGCCGGTAATTACAGCAGGCATCATCAGGCGGACAGCCAGATGTGTGGAGACATGGTCCTGTTTCGTTCCTTAAATAGGGGGTGGAGGGGGGGGTAGATGTGATGATGATTGGATTCGTGCTGACGGAGAGATTCCCCCCCCCCCCCGTGTCTCCGTCTGTGATGGTCTATGGGGTTGGGACCGCACGCGGAGGTCCATTGTGATATTTGTTATGACTTAATTGTGATATTTGTTATGATTTAATTGTGATACTTGTTGTGACTTAATTTGAAACAACAAAGCCTTGTGCTGTGTAACGTCATTTGCAACATTGAGCTGTGTGTATAGTGTTGTGTGGTGGTGTGTTACCGTATTCCGTTATTGCTGGTACACAATGCGGGAACTGCCCATTGTTGGACTGCACTTGTACGCGCCTCGCCGCCTTCACCATATGAACCCGCACTGACCAGCGTGGTGAAGTATGGTCAAGTAACGTCCCGCCGCCGCCCCTATCCAGCAGTGGAATTGATCCCCACTCCTTGACAACAGTTCAACTACAAACCTGTCAACCCCTTGTCAGTGCCCCTACGTTATTACAGACAAATTCAGACCTTATTGGTCACCCCCCCCATGCCATTATCAATCTCAACGCTCATCCTACAAAGTCCCATAACAGGGAGAGAAGACACACAACAAAAAATAGCCAACATTTTTTTAATTGGTACTCCGATTCCCTGCACAAGAATACGGCTAAACCGCATGGGTTGGCTGGTATGAAACTTTGCCATCCTATTTAAGGCACAAAGAGGCCTACCTCCACCTCCCCTCCCCTTACAATCAAGCAATGATGACTCACAATCTCGCCGCGGCCACGTGTGTGATTCACATCCCGCATTCCGTAGACACAAAGACAAAGATCCCCCGCGTAGCCTGTTGGGGCAAGTGCTGTCAGAGAGCAGCACCTATTAAGGCCGGCACTGTGGCACACGAAGGGGTGGGTGACCAACACCACGCCCGGTCAACCTTTGTGTCCCCAGTGGCGATGTTCTCACACCGCACCGGGTTACTCATTTGAGGTTGAGTCGACCTAGGGGAGGCCCGGGACTGGTTCAGATAATCGTCACTGGTGTTGGCCGTGAGCGGGAATCGAACTCGGGCCACCGGGTTCATAGAGCAGCGTGCTAACCGCTTCACCACCGCTCCCCGTGTGTGTGATTCACATCCTGTATTCCGTAGACACACACACCGGCAGATTATTGTATGCTTGGCACCGTGCTATTATTTATTACAAGGCACGGTGCTTAAAGCACGTCATTCGTTTGAATCGAGAGCCACCCGCGTGCTCCTCCTGATATTTGTGGCACAATCAAACGGGGCACCAACGCCGAATCACCCCGGATGCCCTTCCCCACCGAGCTCGTCAGGTGTCAGAAGCTAAGCAGGGTTGTTAGCCTGAATATACAAACAGGTAAAACTTAACTATGAACTAAGCTATTTTAATTTGTTTTACCAGTTAAGCCCCACTGAACTATATAGCTCTTTTTCAGAAGCGGCCTGGCCACAATCGATAGCTCAACGAAGTGGCTTATCACGTGGAAATGCAAAGCAGCTGAATACTCTAAAACGCGTGATATTGATTTTAATAGTGGCCATATAATCTAAACACATGTTGAGTCTAAATTTGGAGATAAACAACTGGAGGACCCCGGAGAAAAATCCACGCGACCACAGTGAGAGACACCGCAAACTCCAAATATACAGTGAGGCATAAGGGTCGGGACGGAACCCATGACCTCCTGCATACCAGGCGAGGTGGTTAACATCTCGCCACCGTGGCACCCAGGTCAATGTCATCGGCGCTATTGGGGCTTCGGTAATGGGCAGCAGAGGTCACTGCAGCAAAATCTATCATTGGACTATGGTACTACTACTACTGTAGGGTATAACGTCTATGCTCCCACGTCTTATGCTCCATACCAACCTCCACCAACAAGTCCTGACCAGCATAGTCAAGTATTGTCAAATAACCCCCAAAAATGGCTGTTACTTGTGCATAGACATTGTGATAGCTTTGTACAGTAGTGTAAATGTACTGTACAAACTTTGGACATGTTTGGTATGGGGTGTATTTGCGTTGCTCTTCTGTCGTGTGTCTCTCCTCTCCACGCTGGTTTGGTCCGTTACAATGCATCCAGTATGTGACAAAGTACAATAGGTATGTGCGTGTGTGTGAACTCCATAATATGCTTATGTGATGCCTATCTGTACAACACGTAATGTGAGAGAGTGCTGCACTCAATGCAATGCACACCATTGTGTATGAGTGTTGTTAAAGCCGTCTACAGCCTGCATACAAATTTCTGTTTGTAGTGGAGTTTGGGGTCATTTACAGATTCTAATTATTGTTGCCTTTAAGACGACTGCTCATATGCCCCTCCTCCCCCCCCCCCCCCCCCCCCCGTAGCCATCAAAAACGTAAAGGTGAAAACCCTCTCCATGTTTGGGGCTCCATGAGGCATATGGCAGCGGCGAAGATTGACGGCTGTACCGTGCTGATGAATCTTAATGATGTCGAAACCGGTCTACGGTTGTCTTGTTTCACTGCAGCCTGGTGTTTATGTTTTGCTTGGCCACATTTTCTCAACTCTTGTGAGTTGCGGTTGTGTAAATGGCAAATTTGGCCACACATTCAGTTCTTCAGAGCTGGTGGTCTAGATAAGGCTCGGAGGTTTTATCCATGCAATGCTGCACACCTGTGTGTGTGTGTGCGCGCACGTTGTTAAATCTATTGTTTCTGGCCTGCAGTTAATTTTTGTGCTGGTATGGCTTTTCTCATCATTTACATATTTGAATTACTTCTACAGTACTGCATAGAGCACTGTACATTTATTCTATTGTTTCTCAAACAAAAACGCATTACTCCGTTATTTTAAAAGTTTATTAGTTTTATGATGTAGACATTCAGTTTTGGTCAGTTTTTATAAGAAACAATAAACCGATACAATTATAATAATTTTAAATGGGACCCAATTCTTGGAAATATTTTGGAAAGCAGTCTGCCACCTTGAGAGTCGTATGAGTTTTTTGCAATAGTAAAATAAATACAACACGTTTGTCTCTTGTATGGGAAAAAAACACAGAATTATTTACATTTCTATTATTATAAACATTACGTATAGGACCCCCCCCCCCCCGTCGGTCTGTCATCCTCAGTGAACGTGGACAAAGAGTCATGATGCCTATTGATTGAGCATACCCCCCTGGGTGTTGTGTAAAGAATATACCCCATCTCCACCCGGGCATCCTGGTGTCAACAATAGAGAAGGGAATTAAAGAAGAGATGTCTGTACATTTGCAATGACAGAAGAGACAAACAGCAGAATTCCCCGTCACCAGGAACAAAACATGGTCCCTTATTTATGCCGAAACGTCTTAGCTGAGTCTCGAGACTCCCGTTGGCATGTTGAGCTAATTCCATGTTAAGGGAGTGTATTGCTTGTGGTGGGAAACTGTAGTGGCTATAAATAAACTCTGTCTTCAAGGTTGTAAAAAAAGTCGGTGATTTCCTGCTCAATGAACATTGACGCAGCGGCCATCTCGTTTTAACGGCCTTGAGCCAGTGGCGGACATTCTACATTCCTATGGGTGGGTGCAAGGATATCCGCAGAACAACCATTTTATTGGGCCGAGTCAACACCCGACCAGAATCTAAACAACCTCTCACAATTGCGAGCCGCTCGCTCGATTGCCGAGCCACCAGGCTTAATTTTCAAGTGAATATTTCCTCGGCTGCTTGGTGGACTGGAGTAGGTGGTACATGACTTGTAACCACAGCCATAGTGATAGGCGTATACTGGATGTACTGTGCCGGGTGTGGAAATATTTTCTGGGTCACTGACCAGGACCGACCTGGCTGAAATTTAAGCCTTGTGCGTAACACTGAAAAGGCTCCACATAGTGATGAACTTACTTGCTCTACAGACATACAACAGGTTTATAGTTTAATAACAACACGTCACTAAAGTCCGCATGATCTGCTCATCCCGTCTTCCAAAGCAGTCGATGGATCAGAGGCGTGCATCACCACTAGCCACATAATGATACCCCCTGTCAGCAATTAGAATAATTATGATGTTTCGTGTTGCAATTCAACTCTTAAATCGATTCTTTCTGATCATTTTCACTGTTTGGATTTGTATGTTTTTTTGTTCCCTGTCTCGTTTGCACAGTCTTGTAACACTTGCATGTTCTTTACATGACCTTTTTTTACATGAATAGCAAAGGGACGATTTTGTACACGTGCATATTCATGCTCGTGTCGTGAGCAAAGTAATTGTTGTCGGCTCAAAGGTCAGAGCGCTGAGCTGGCACCTCTTGAGATCATCAGTTGAATCGAGGCGTTCTGTGATTAAGCCAGGTTTTCAGGTGTAGCGAATTGATGGTGACAGCCTGGTCACCAATGATTTTCCTCTAGAAATCATAACGTTGTTTTTTTATGCGACACACACTGTCGACGACAAGGGGAATGGAATAATGCTGCTTCTTACAGTGTGGACCATAGGTCACTTGAAGGGATCCCAGAGGTAGCTCTGTGATAGCTGCTTCCATAGGGCATGCGCTGAACACGAAGGGTTGCACTGCTGTGTGAGGGATCTGAATGATGTGATGCCTTACAGCACAGTCGGGATTAAATTGCAGAAAAAAGTTCAACGAATTAATAATGCTTTTAATCAAATAATCTGTGCACCACTACAAGCCTGGTGACTACCACCCCCACAGCTGAACTAACACCGCACATCCCCTTGCTCTTCCTCCACCAAGATCCGCAAGTTGCTGCAGTCGGAGCGTCCGGGCCGTGACCCGGAGCCGGTGGTGTCTCACTTCCGCCGCGCACTGGCGCTCATGCCCAGCGACCCCAACGCGTCCTTCCCGTCCACGGACGCGTGGCGCAGGGAGTTGTGGGCCCGCGCCCTGCTCGCCGACCTGCCCTCCGACCCCGTGGCCGCCGCCGCACTGGCGCCCGCCTGCTTCGCGCTGTGGAACACGACGCGCCTGCAGAACATGCGACTGAGCGAGGCGGCGCACGCCATGCTGCTGAGGCTGCGCGCGAGCGGCCGCTACCGCCTGGCGCTGCTCACCAACGGCGACGGCGCCACGCAGCGCGCCAAGGTCGAGGCCTGCGGCTGCGCGGAGCTCGTGGATGTCGTGGTGTTCGCCGGCGAGCTGCCCGAGGAGAAGCCGGCGCCCTCGGCGTTCCACGCGTGCTGCGGGCTGTTGGGCGCCAGCCCCTGCCGCTGCGTCATGGTGGGAGACAGCCTGGAGTGCGACGTCCGCGGGGCGCAGGCGGCCGGATTCGCCGCCGCCGTGTGGGTGCGCGGCTCGGTGGCCCGAGAGACGATCGTCGACAGGGACGGCGGCGAGGGAGATGGAACGCGCTGCCGCAGGTTCCCGGTGCGCTCCGTCGTGGAGCTGGAGGACGTCCTGCGGGAGTTGGAAGCGGGGACGCCGCGGCCGTGAGCTGTCGCCGGAGGTCATGGGTCTCGGTTTGCCGACCCGCGAGCTGCGACGGACGGTGCGTGTGTCACAGTTTGCGGTGTTGAGTCGTTATGGGGCAGACAAAGCGGTCATGCGTTCTAATTCCGCTGACTTGTTTTTTTTTATCCTCACCATTGAGCTTGCATAGGTGCGACCACCACCAGCATTAAACAGGTTCATTAGGGCTGCGGTGCTACACTGTGGGCAGCAGAGGGCGGCGCGACGATAGCCATTGCTGTATTGTACTCCCACGTGTGTGTTCCTCACGTTCTATCAACTCGCATTGACCAGCTTGGTGACGTGGGGTCAAGTAATAAGCCACATGACCCGCTTGCTGTGGGGAGTCCCTCTTATTTCGTTTTGGAGCTGGCCGGATTGGTGGTGTGGTTGAACGTGGTGGTGTGGTTGGACGTTGTGGGTCAATTCAAATCGTGGCCTGGGGCCAACTCAGCCCATCGTTGCATCACGGCCGATACTTTGTGTGGTAATTCAAGTGGCCATGGAGAGACTGTGACCCCCCTCCATAGGAATATGGAATTTCTACCACTGGCTCAGGGTTTTTAATGGACATGACTACTGACTGTCCCTAGGCTCATTCAAAGCGAACCGAGGATCTCGATGGTGCTGGCTCAAGACTGTGGCACGGGCTTTCGCAACGGCACCCTCAGCCACCCAGCCATGTCCACATACAAAGCAATAATGCGCCTCCTCCCGACCCAGTCACCCAGCAACCGAGCTGATTTGTTTCTCTTAACGTGTAACGTAGCCGTTGGTTGAATAGTTTTCAACCGTAGTCTTTGTGTGTGTTCATGTTTGTGTGCTCATCGGTACGTGTTTGTGCATCTGCTTCAGAGCTAAGCTATCCGATTACATAAATTAATGATTACGACACCTTTTATCGATTTAATTACTAATTGGATGGCACGAAACTATTTTGGGGGGCGGTGGTTGAAAGTTTCAACTCTTACTATCAAGTGCTGTTGGACGGGAGGTGATGGATGGGCTTTGGTGATGGCATTGGCACCATCAACCGCGCCACGCTAAGCGTGGCCTGGAGGGGGTTTCCTGCCTTCAGTCGGTACGTCGTTGGGGAGGTGCAGGTAATGAACCACGTATAAAGTAGTCGATGGAAATGTTACATTCGCCATGACCGACTTAATCGAATGGCCCATCCCACGTAGAGCTTTTATTGTACACTGGTGTCGATCACAAATTAAATTGTTCTGAAGCATCAAGCCACTCCTAAACTGTCACGTGACCCACTGCTTGCTCTTCTGCTCTAGCGTTCAAAAGGCCACGTGAAGGTTTTGCAGAGCCCTCACTGTTGTAAAGATTTACTCGAGAAACCACTTGCACAATGTGGCTTTTGTCTCGGAGGAGGAGGAGGTAGTTACCCATTCACAATTTGGGAGATTTTACCATTTTAGTAGTAGCTGATTTTTAGGTGCTTAATTATAGATATTTTTTTTTTCACAGAGCTTCCAATTTGTATTATGAATAAACACGAATTGTGTGGGTGGTTTTTGTAGCAAGTGGGGGGAGTGGGGATACTCTTTCACCAAGTGTTGTAACATTTAGAATGGGCGACTACCTCCTACTTCCCTGCAAGTGTGTCCATGTTGATCGCTATCCTATAGGCCTACCATATATATACACACAATCGAGGCACATATACCGTGGTTAATGTACATGTAGCAACTAAAATGGCATTCTTAATTGTATTGAAGATTTTGGGCTATAAAAATTTATGGTGTAAAAAAAATTTGGTACTTTTAATATAATTCCGTGGTTTCGTACCACAATCGATTTTAAAGTATTTTGCTATTGTCGTTGGGGAAAGTCCCGTGCATGAACTTGTAACATAAAACACGGCCGTAATGAAAACTGCGACGGTAGAATACCGGACATTCGTGAATAAAAACACAGTTTGTATTTTGCACATGATATCTGCGGTGTATCTTATTTATTATAAAGTGAAAGGGGTGCATCGCTGAAGTTTTGGTGTCATTTTGGTGGGAGGTGGAATGGGGGGAGGGACGCACGGCTAATGACGAACGTGTCGAGTTTATTTTTGCTCACATTGTGGGTTGGACGTGGACGTTAAAACATCTCGCTGTTTTCTTTCCTTGAGGAAAGCTCTGTTGTGTGTGTGTGTGTGCGGGTAGCAACGGTAATACAAGCCAATGGGAGGATGGCCTGTAGGCCACAGCACACGAAGTGACCCGACCGAACGGCAGCAGCACGACGGTTCTCTCCAAACCATGCGGGCCTGGGAGCCTCGACAAAACCCGTGAGCCAGAGCATGGCCCCGCTACTTCATTTCCTACAGCCTGCTGCTACTGCCACAGCCACATAGGCCTATACCCACGTGACGGATTTTTATCCCGTCACCACGTCTTCGTCACACTAATCGGGTACCGGAGGGAGAATGTTTTCTACCTGGCAACGCTGCGTTTCTAATTTTAGAGCGTCACTGTAAAGGTGATGAGCATAGTAAATGAGCCCCCCGGTGGTGAGATGTTAACTTCGTCACCTGGTATACAGGAGGTTGTGGGTTTGATCCTGATGCCTGTATATTGGGAGTTTGCAAGCTCTCCCTGTGGTCGCGTGGATTTTCCTTTGGGTCCTCCGGTTTTCCCTCCACATTTAGAAACATGAGTTTAGAGTATTTGGCTGCAAAACATTTCCACGTGATAAGCCGCGAAGTTGCGCAATCATTTGTGGCCAGGTCGCTTCTGAAAAAGAGCTGTGTAGCTCGGTGGGCCTTACCTGGTAAAATAAAAAGTTTAGTTTTATAATTTCAATGCATAGTTCTAAAATAAAAAGTTTAGTTTTATTATTTCAATCTGTAGTTCTATCGCGTGATCAAAGGTTTAGTGGGCACTAAAGTTTCGTTGCCGGCCAAATATTGTGGAAATTTCTAGTCGGCTCACAGAAAGGAATAGTTACCCCACCCCTGCCATAAACGTTTGCAAAGACACGTGCTCGTGCATAACGATTATTTCCTTCCATTGAGTTTATTTGTTCCTGCGTTTAAAAAGGCATTGTTTTACATGCGTTCACAACAGCATTTTTCAGATGAAGCTTCAATGGATCGTCACGTCAGATGGTTTAAAATATTTGTAGTTGTGGAGCCACCATCAAATGTACAGCCCTGTGTTAAATCACCCACTGGACAAAGGCCTCCACACATCGTGTCCGTCGTGGTGGTTTCACCATACTTCACCATGACGGTCAGGGTGGATTGGCAAAGTGGGGGTGAGGGGGGTGCACAGGGCCATGTAAGATTTCAGATGCCACCGATGTGAGCTGCGACCTGGGATCGAACGTGGACAAACAGGTTCGCGGCACTGTGCACGAACAACTCTGCCACCGTTCCACCCAACCTCGGGTCGTGTAAAACGAGATATAAGACGGCTTTACATTTTCCAAAAAGGGATTGATTTCATTCTGCACTCTTCAACAGGAAATCAAATGTAAGGATAATAGTAATAAGTTAAAACACAAACAATAACTTATGAGTTCCACACATGTTCAAAAGACAATGGGGAAAAAAAACACAAATGGCTCTTGTTCCACGTTCCTCTACCCCAATGTTGTGGACAGTCCGAGACTGGGGCTGGGCGTTTGTTAAATGACGACGTTCACTTTGGACACACACTGGAGCGACATCACTGCAGTGAAGTTATAATACAAAATTACATACATCACACCGCTGTCACGTCACAAGCGCTATGGAGTCAAGCTTAAACCGTTGTGCCAGACAGCCCGGGACATACGGCTTTGTTGCATTCCCGCAGGAGCTGTTCGCTTTGCTGGGTTGCATATCCTTATCGCGCTAGTTTACTCGGCCAAGTTTCAGCGAGTCTCGACTCTTTATTTTCTTTTCCAGAAGGGTCCTGCCAAGTTTTTGGCTGTCGGGGGCCGACAACCTCAAAAGCGATCGCTGCATTATCGACGTCTTTGCACGACGCTGAAAGGAAGATGCAACCCAAGGAAGCAGCTCTTGTGGACGCATCCTGCTCAGGCGCTGCAAGAGTGGATATCGAGCCAGAAATTGATAGACGAGGAAGAAGGCAAGAGCGATACCCCATGTCAGAACAATCTGACAAAAAGTCGACTCCGACGGCTAGGATGTATGTACGATTTCCCGCACTTCTGATTAGCACGGTTGGCTACGTTTGGTGCGAAAAGTTAAAAAAAACATGTATGTATGTTCAATACATATATGTGTGTATGTTGGAACTTTTTTTTGCCGACCATGCTAATCCGAGGTGCGGGATGTGACGTAAAACAAAAATTGGGGAGGAAAACCACGGTGGAAGCAGAAAGGTGGTGGAGCATGGATGCACCGAGGTGGAGGAGAGCTGAGAGGCAGCACGAGAGGTGTTTCAAACTGGTGCCTTCCCGGTTCTCTTCCCAGCGGAAGAGGACAAGGAAGGCAGCCGATCCCACGAGTGGGGGGAAAAATAGCCAGGGCAGGTCAGGCGCCCCCCCCCCCGTGGTGTTGCCGCATTGACGTAGAAAAAGAGGCATGGCAGTGCCGTCGGCGAAGTCGAGCGATTACAACGATGCACAATTTTTTTAACCATTCACAAAACCCATGGCGGGCAGTCCAGGGCACAGGGGTCGGCAGGTAAAATAACAAGAACATATTTTTTTCGAATTCGGTAAAAAAAACATTTCAAGAGCAGTCAATGCACATGAATACGAGACGGCCCTTAATAAATAACCTCACGAAGCAGTCCTTAGAGCCACAGGTTGCCCACCCCTGACCCTTAAGGGTGCCTAACTACCTAACCGGCTGTTTGTTTAGTGGGTGGCGTCCCCGTTTCACGAGTTGGCGATTCGTTGCCTGGCTTGCAAATAGCGACCCTTGGCGGTAGCTTTAGCAGAGAAAATTCACAAACTCGGCAGAGAGTCCACTTACCCCAACTCCCTTAACTCTGGAAGCTTAGCAATACGACCACTACTATTAACCCTTGATATTATCGACTTTGGTGTGGGTCACTTTCGGGCACAACGATAATTCACTATTTTCGATTTGTGCATGTTACTTTATGTTGTCCTTAGTTTATTGTCCTTTCCCCACACCTCCGATTAGCACGGTTGGCTAAGTACGGTGCGAAAAAAGTATTTTCTTTGTATGGCTGTTGTTATCGAGCAACAACTATAATTTTACATCTAAGTAGCCGAGCCAGATAATTGCGCCTGGTGGAGTGGCGCATCACTGCGATGACCATGATGCCACCCTTCGTGTTTGCGGATCGGACATCGAGTCGTTACGTGGTCCTGCGGCGGGTGTGAGACTCGTTCATTCTAAAAATGCTGCAGCCAAAGGGGGCCACAAAGCGTCGATGCGTGAACCGAATCGTGATGGTTCGCGAACCGTCACGTGCGGTTTAAAAAAATTCCTTTAAAACCCGGCGAGCCAAATCCACGTTGTCGCCCCTCTGCTTTTCGGAAACGATGCACCGCGCAGGGTCTTCAAGGAGCGCGTCGTTAGAGCGGACGGCCACGCTTGGAGAGCCGCCGAAAAACCCTCCAAAACTGACGTCTCCAATACACGAAGCACTCGACGCGAGCGGCTCTTCACTGCCCGGTTATGCGAAATTGAAATGTACACAAAAAAAATATGGGTAACACTAAAAAAAACGTGAAATTTGTGTGAACTAAGTTACTTTTTTTTTTTTAAAACACGATTGCTCAGAAGCGCAGCGACTTCTTGGGCGCATTTACAGCGTCAGCCCAATTTCCTCTTGCCGTGTAAATTCAACGTGCAAAACGTCACCACCGGAAGGCTTAACACGGTGGCATTAAAGGATTTAGCCACAGCCCTTTTGACAGAAAGCACTCGGGCTGCAGCGCACATTGCATGCAGCAGTAACAGCAGTAACAGCAACAGCGAGGAAGATTGCAACACTCGCATATCCGCCCCCGACCCATCAGCTGCCCCTCGCCCAGCGCCAGTATTTGTGCGTCGCCTGTCGTCCTTCTCCTCTCCCTCCTCTGAAGGTGTTCGCACAATCGGAAATGGCCAGGCGCGGACGTGGATACAGCCGCGCGCACGTTTTTGGACAAACCCTGTTCACGCGGCCGGACCTGAGCGACTACCTTGCCCGAGTTCGCACGTAGGAGTATAAATAAAGTTCGGCGTCAAACGTTGCACACTGCAAAGCGTTGCACTCCACGTGCAAGTTGAGCGGACAGCACCGTTTCTCCACTCGTGGCCCCCAGTATTTGTAGCGTGCGCGTTGTCTCGGAAGGGTGCGACCCTGGGAAGTGGCGGGGGGGGGTTTGCGAGTCGCTCAGTGAAAGTGTTCGCGCGACTTGGAAGAGGAATGTTTACTACTGTGACTGCTAGTACGAGTCTTTGGGGGGGGGGGGGGGGCTAGGCAGCATGTTGGCTACCAAGCCTAGCCAATTGTGACTTAAGGCATTGGATGAAAAGGAAAACTTCTCTCTACTCGACCACGCACGGTCTACCCCTCCACCATCAGCCACGTCCACCACATCGTTCATTGCTCTCCTCGTCAAAACAGGTCAACTCGTTCGGCGATCTTTAGGAAACTTGTACGTGACCGTTGCCTTGCTCACGTTCATCCCGAGCCTAGCCTTGCAGCCTTCCACTCTCTTTATTCTGCTCTAACATTTCCCGCAGTTCATTCCCTTCGGACGGTACAACGACCGTGTCGTCGCCAAATCTGAGCTAGTTTATCAATCGCGTGCGCGCTCGTGTTAGTCGTGGCCCGGGAATCAAACTCAAGATTACCGTTGTTCGTAAGTGCAGCGAGGTAACCATTCCACCACCACTATGCTCATTCACCCCAAAGACAAAGGTTAGTGTTCTAACCTACAAAGGCCGATGGGGCAAGTGAAGGGCATTACGGCGCACGAGATGGTGTGACCAGCACCACGCCCATCCACCGTTGTCTCCCCAGCGCTGATGTTCACACATCGCACCAGATACCCACGTAAGGCCGAGTCAATCGGGGTTCAAATAATACCAATGTTAGCCATGGTTTAAGAATCGAACATGGGGCGCCAGGTTCATAGGGAGGCGCGTTAACAGCTTCCCGCACCAGACACTCGCGCGCGTCCAGACGCTGTTATATTTCGCAATAGTATAGTGATGATGTTGCGTAACTCTGGGGGGGGGTGTGGGGGGGGGGTGCCGCCTGTGCATGTAAATCTGCACTCGCTGCAGGTAAGTAGCCGGGTGTGGAGGCAGACGGGCGTCATCTGGGGCTTTGGAGGCGAGGGTTGGCGACCCGCGCAGAGATTATCTCGTGCTCTAACACTTTAACTCCGGAGTGACACGAGGTGGCACGTAGAAGGCAGTGCAAGCAGGTAGGTTGTCCAACTTAGTTGTGCGGATTTTTTTTAAAGGCTACCCTTCACGCACACGAGGTTCCACCACCCCCCGACACTCCACAAGGAATTCGTCAAACATCCCCGAGTGCAGCGACTCCTCAACAGGGATTCTGAGAGGTCGTGCATCGAGACCTTCGTTGTGACGACGACGAGGATGATGGTGGTGATGACGGCGATGGAGAAAGGACAGGACAGGGGCGTGCAATTTGCGGAGAAGTAGTTTGATAGGGAAGAGGCTTGCTTACGACTGGATCATTACAATAGTGCTTAATGGAACGGTGAGATGAAATGAAGCTGTGGGGAGGTGGGCGGAGGGCGGAAGGGAGGGACCGCGTGCTTTGAGTCCGTCGGCTAGAGCTGCACAAACACGGAGGCGCCGGACACCGCCGCGGTGAGCGGGAACGTGGGCGAGATGGCCACGTCAATGATGCCCTGACAGAGCTCGTCGTACAGCTTCCTGCTCACGCACACACGCGCACACACACGCGTGTTGTGTAACAGGCACAAAGGCAAAGATCCCTCTTATAACCAGCTAGGCTGTTGCGCTGTATACGAGCACCGATTAAGGCCGGCACGGCACACACGACAGGGGAGGTGTGACCGGCAGTTGACAAGACAGCATTTGCTTTGTAAACCGTTTTGACTTGAGGAATGTGATTTCAAGCAAAATGTTCCAAAAAATGTATCTAAAACTGTTAAGATTACAGCTTTGTAACCTTTGAACATTCTTCAATTTTATTGTTGTGTCAATTCAATCAGGGCTCATGGTCGAGAATTTAATAGATAATAACAGATAAAATATTAACTTATATAATAAACAGTTACATGTTTTACTGCCAGCGTTAAAATACATTAAGAAACCCTGTGTCCATGCACAAAGACTAAGACAAAGATCCCCCGTATAGACTTTACAAACTGTTGGGGCAAGTATTGTTAGCACGCACCTATGAAGGCCGGCACAGCACACGAGGGGGTGGTTGGCCAATACCACGCCCGGCCGCCTTTGTCTCCCCAGTGGCAAAGTTTACACACCTCACCAGGTACTAATTTGAGGCAGAGTCGAGCTAAAGGAGGCCCAGGACTGGTTCAGATAATCGTCACTGGTGTTGGCCATGAGCGGGAATCGAACCCGGGTCGCCATGATGATAGCACAGAGTGCTAACCGCTTCACTACCCCTCCCCCAATATACACACACACAAATATACACATGTACCAGGACTCCTCTATTTATGAACGAGTTAGATTCCAGAGGTCTGTTCGTAAGTCTATTTTTTACGGCATGTACACTAAACACGGGGAATGGCTTTGCAAGTTTTATCATCTCCTATAGATGTAGATACCACTGGTTCTTCACGTTCTGCAGGTGTAGATGCCACTGATTCTTCATGTTCTGCAGATGTAGATGCCACTGGTTCTTAACGTTCTGCAGATGTCCATGCCACTGGTTCTTAACGTTCTGCAGCTGTAGATGTCACTGGTTCTTCACGTTCTGCAGATGTAGATGCCACTGGTTCTTCACGTTCTGCAGCTGTAGATGTCACTGGTTCTTCACGTTCTGCAGATGTAGATGCCACTGGTTCTTCACGTTCTGCAGATGTATATGCCACTGGTTCTTCACCTTCTGCAGATGCCACTGGTTCTTCACGTTCTGCAGCTGTAGATGTCACTGGTTCTTCACGTTCTGCAAATGTAGATGCCACTGGTTCTTCACCTTCTGCAGATGCCACTGGTTCTTCACGTTCTGCAGCTGTAGATGTCACTGGTTCTTCACGTTCTGCAGATGTAGATGCCACTGGTTCTTCACCTTCTGTAGATGCCACTGGTTCTTCACGTTCTGCAGATGTAGATATCACTGGTTCTTCACATTCTGCAGATGTAGATGCCACTGCTTCTTCATGTTCTGCAGATGTAGATGCCACTGGTTCTTCATGTGGCATCAGCATGAAATACGGACAGGTTTGTTCGTATCTCCGAGAGTTCACAAGTCGAATGTTCGTAAGTAGAGGAGTCCCTGTATTAAACATCAACAAGGCACGTGCGACCCAAGGCGCCCTGCAGGACTCACTGTGCGCAGGCAGGGGCCCCGTTCACCTCAACGAGCCACACGCGCCACGCGGCGTCCACCATGAAGTCGAAGCCGAAGAGTTGGAAGCTGCGGTAGGAGAGGTCGTGCGTGCTCACCTCCGCCTCCACGCTCAGCAGACACTCCCTGCGAGGGGGCGCCACCATTTAGACACCGCCGTTAAGACGCCGCCGTTGCCAGCCGTACGGTATGGCACCCACCCAAGCCCAATCAAGGCCAGCGCGCCTCCCGTCATCCCATGCAGCCGACCACGTACTACCCCCCACCCACCACCCCACCGCCGTTAGGACACTGCCGTAAGACACTGCCTCCCATATACCAGGCGAGGTAGTTAACATCTCGCCACCGTGGTGCCCTACTACCGCGGTGGCCGCCGCACCTGATGATGTGCTTGATCTGAGGCAGGATGGAGTCCTCTAGGCCGACGGCGTGCGTGCTGCGCAGGTAGTCCTCAAAGGCTGGGAAGAACATCTCGTTCCCTTCCTCGTAGCGCCCGTAGTTCCCCGACAGAGCCTCCTGGCGGCGGCGATGCGGTGAAAAAGCGGATGAAATAATAACTCCACACATTCTCAATCCACCAATGGATTAAGGTTTCACCTGGCCATGATAATCATGGGGGATTTTTGTTTTTAACCATATTTCACCAGGTTGGTCAGTGTAGGATGGTGAATTTGTGGGGGGGGGGGGGGGTGGGGGCAGGGGAGGGTGGTGGGCTAGGACCGATTGTGATAGCAATCGCTACGAGGTGGGTTCATCACGCAAGCGCAATAACCACTATGCCACCGCTCCGCCCAAGGTTGGGGGGGGGAATCAAAATGAAACGAGTACCGCTTAAGAGGGTCGCTAACTGCATCTGTCCCTATGGAGAGACTGGCCCGTGTCATAGGAATGTGGAATTTACACCACTGGCTTCAGGATCATCCAAGGGAAGAAAAGTGCAGCCCCCACGGGTGTTGGGCAGTGGTGGTGCCGACCCATCGGGGGTCCGAAGCAACAAATAACTTTTTGGAGCCACCCCCCCCCGCCCCCCCTTTTCAATTTACAAGCTTCCTGTGAGAGGCACCAGACGAGATCTAGGCCAGAGAGAGAGAGAGATGTATAGTTACAGACAAGATAGAAATGAGACTCATGAAGTAGCTCTTTAAAGTGGCTCTTCATGTCAACCCTTTCCCGTTCCAAGGCATCTGCAAGTTGCAGGGTGGGGTCCCATTCACCGGTGAATCTCGGAACGCGCAAGCGGTTAGCGTTGATTTTATTTAGAGAGGCATAGTTTGTAAAGACATTGTACTCATCGCAGAGAACTGGAACGACACGACCGCACTCCATGACACGCCTTCCCGCATAGCCTTGTGGGAGGCTCGGTACCGATATTTTATTTTACATTTGATTTTGGTTCCATTCCGATGACGTATACGCACATCATCGGAACGTACATGTATGTCAACGGAAAGGGTTAATTGGATTGTATGTTCATTACAATATTTGAGCTGTTATTTTATTATCCCTATTTTTTCCATTAATCCTGGGCCTCTAGTGCGACTTGGGACCATAAGCTTTTGCTTTTTTTGCCGAGTTTTCTATTTGACATTTGCCCAAGTCCTTTTGACTATGCCTGTTGTAGGCCCAGGCTGCGGGTGTCTCGCTGCACGCATCCTCGCCTGCAGGCAGTGGTTGGTCAGGTGGCTGGTCGTGTGGCCGAGGTCACTGGGGTCGTAGGGGTCGGATGAGGTGCGAAGAACGCCTTCACGGTAGAGGTGGATGCGGTACTGAGGGTCAAGAAGCACCCAGCACCTAGCGGGCAAATACGCACACAAAGACAGATAGCCTTTAACAGACTGTTAGGGCAACTGACGTTAGCGAGACCCTATCAAGGCATGCACGATGCGTAAAAGCTTAGTGTAGTGGTATACAGGAGGTCGTGGATTTGATCCCGACCCTGAACTCTGTATATGTATATTTGGAATGTGCACGTTCTCTCTCCCCGTGGTAATGTGGATTTTTTTTCTCTGGGTCCTCCAGTTTTTCTTGGTACATTTGGACTCAACATGTGTTTAGATTATATGGCCACTATAAATTTTCACGTGATGATAGGCCACTTCGTTGAGCTAATATTTTGTGGCCAGGTCACTTCGGAAAAATAGCTATAATGTTTAACTTAAATAAAAATAATTTAGGATATTTTAGACACGATCACGGATCAGGATTCTAAATGAGAAAATATTCTTGTCTCTCTGGTTCGCATTGCCTTTTGTACGGTCCGTTTCATATGTTCTCTCTATTCGTTTGTGTTTGCCATCCCATTTGCCCCACATTTGTACAGAATTCGAACGAAGTTGAAGATAATTGTGAGGTTTATTTATTTAGCACCTACGTAAACGTGAAGGTTGTGGGCCTTGGCAGCTCCCACGGTGATTACCCTGCAGGCAACCTCACCTCTACTCACACCAATAAGGATTTGCATGTGTAGGGTGCAGCTTAGCTGCCTCCGCATCTCCCAAGAGCCTTGCATCAACATCTCATCTCGCATCCCATTGCCCTGCTGCGGCCTAGCCAAGGGAACCCCCCCCCCGTGGCAAATGCTCCTGTGCGGCACAAAGGGGCAGGCAGCACCAGCCTCCATGCCGGCATTAGTCTGCCAAGAGGGGCAGTGTGACTTTGCTATGTGGTTTTCACTATCAAGTAATTTGCGAGTATTTTATAAATTTAGGAAAATTTGGACCGTGACATCATATTAAACACTGTCCATAACGACACGAGATCTTTCAACGTCCACTGTGAGGCAGAATTACAGTACCTATTAACGGCTAACGCACACCGCAGTATTAATCGGGACGGCCGCTGGGCTCGAACCGCGAATCTCTGCAACGTGCTATCAAAGTAACCGCTAACCACATGCACCGTTATTAACTTAGCACGATGATTAATTTGGTACAAACGAATCGGCGAATTGCTCCGAGCGGTCAGAGCGGGCGCGTGGAGGCTGTGGCTGTCGCACCGGATGTCGAACTTGCGGTGGCCAGGTTCGAGCAGCATGGGCTCCTCGATGTATTTCTGCAGCACGTGCACCTGGCTCTGCTCATCCACAAACGTCAGCAGCTCGTCCGCATCTGACGAGATGAAGATACCTTCGCCTACGAGCAAAGACAAAGATCCCCCGTGTAGCCTTTACCAGACCGTTGGGACAAGTAATAATAACCGAGTACATCCGGAATTCACGCCATTCCTCTAGCACAAGGTTATCGTGAAAGCGCAGTGTTTCACAGACAGGTATAGCCTGTCAATAGAAGGCAATGTTGTGATGTGTTAACAAGTAGTCTGCGAGTAATTCGGAAAATTTGGACCGTGACGCTGGCACACAGGCTCTTTAACGTCCAGTGTTGATAAACCCCACGGCATTCACCATGGCAGAAGCAGAGATCAAACCATGAACACGAACAAGCAAAAAATGCGTTACCACTCGGCCACATCACCGCTGTTAGCGGGCACCTTTTAAGGCTGACACGGCGCATGTGGTGGTGGTGCGGCCAGCATGAAACCAACTCACTCTCGTGTCCTCAGTGCGGATGTTCAGAGATGGCACCCCAGGCACTCTTATTCAAGGCCGTGTCAATCCAGCGAGGGGTCGCTCATCTAGCCGCACGTCCGCCCATTCGAACTGTCCATCCCTCCATCTGTCCATCTATCTCAGTGTTCTTCATTGTACAGCCCGCAGGCCACGAGTGGCCCCTGGTGGCCTTTAGTGTGGCCCCCGACAATTCACAAATTTGAAAACACCCGATCGTGTTGTCAAACTCAATTGATTCAAATGTGTGGCGGTCTTCACACTGATGTCTTTTTGGCAATAGCGGCCCCCCCTCTGAAAATTAGTGAAGAACACCGATCCGTCCATCCCTCTGTCCGCCCCGTACCCTTGGCTCCGGCAGATGACTTGGCGATCCACACGTTGCCCTGCTGATTCTGCGCTCGCTGGCGGAAGCAGACGAGGAAGGCCTCGCGCTCATCCGCCTGCCGCTCGGCGTGCCGCCTGCGCGCCTCTGCCAGCTCCCGAAAGCCACCGCCACTCCCACCGCCACGGCCAGAACCTGGCCCGGGTGCCTGTGGCTTTGTCCTGCCTGGGCTTAGACCCGGGCTGGACCTGGGGCTGGACCCGGGACTCGAACCGGGACTAAGCCGTCGGCTGGGCCTGGGACTCAGCGGGAAGATGACGTAGGACTCTGGGAGCCACGACGCCGGCTTGCAGGAGGGCGACGAGGACGCCTTCATCAGCCTGTCCCACCCGGGGTTGCCAAGCGTTAGTTAATTGCGAAATAAAAATGATCAAATTAACTTCCAGTAATTGAACTGGAAGTTTTCTGGCATGACTGCTGCCATCCATAGGAATGTGAATTGTCCACCATTTGCATTTGCCCAAATAGGACTTTTAAAAACCCTTGGCCGACCAAAAGATGGCATTTTTGTAGTGACAGCAGTGATTGGACGTGCTAAAATTTGAAACTCAGTGTTGCCAGGTCGAAAATATTCCCCCCTCTAGTGCCCGATTAGTGCAGCCAAGATGCTTGCAGTGACACAGTTGATTTGTGGCTGCCGGACGAATGAAACAAAGTCGCGGGCCGCATTAATTTAAGTCTTGGGCTGGATGTAGCCCACAGGCTGCAAGCCACCCACCTGTGAAATAGGCAACTGGGATCGTGAGCATGGATAGAAATGGAATCGTGTGTGTGTCGCACAAATCAAGCTCACTTGACAAGGGATGCCTTGCGACACAATTTGTCGGAGCCTCGGTAGTAATTAACAAGCTGCATCAACCCTGGCTCATGCCCTGCACACGCACGCACACACAATGAGAAAGATGACCCATATAGCCTTCGTTGTTGGGGGGGGGGCAAGTGCTGATAGCGAGCACCTATGAAGGCTACACGGCATACGAGGTGCGTGGCCAACACCACGCCTAGCCGCCTTTGTCTCCCCAGTGCTGATGTTTACACAGCACTGAGTACATATCACACCAGGTACTCATTTGAGGCTGAGTCAATCTAAAGGAGGCCCAGAACCAGTTCAAATATTCGTCGCCGTTAGCCGTGGCCAGGAATCAAAGTCGGGTAGCTGGATTCATAATGCAGTGCCACCCTTCCACAAAGACACACACACACGAATGCAGCACTTCAATTAAATGTGCTTTACATAACAAGATGAGAGGTCGTGGAAATTCATTACTCATTTCACCAGGGAGAATCTGGGATAGTGAATGTACACAGGGAATGTTTATAAATGTTTACAAATTATATCAGGGGGCTTGAACATAAACTTTGCCAGCGAAAAGGTATTTGTTTTTATAAACGATTGAAGGACAATCTTTTCTGGGCGGCCGATGTGCATAACCTATCAAAAGACCATGTAAAATATCAGAACCGCACTGTATATATTGAAAATGTATGTACGTATGTTGAACTTCTTTCGCACCATACGTAGCCAACCGTGCGAATCGGAGGTACGAAAATAACCAAGATGACAATACACGTCCTTCCCACAACTGTCCCTCCACACAAAACTTGAAAGCGTGCTTTTTAATAATACATATCCCAGCATCGGCCACATGGCTTTCTGAGAGTGATTTTTTTTTCTTATTCACATCAGCATCGTTTCGACGCAAGCAAAAACAAAGACCGGTTTCGACATTCGGCGCCCCAACAGCGCAGCCAGAATTGCCAAGACCAATCCAATGCTGGTGGTGCATTGCCAGATACCCATCGGGCAATGACCTTCTCTCTACAGGCAAGGACCTTCTCCTCTCGGCATATATTGATATTGTTTATTGAAAATACGAGCCGAGCGCGCTAGGATCAATGTGGACGTGTTGACGACGGTTGTCCAAGCGTACTGTGTAGAGCGGATTGAGTCAAAGCAAATGCTGTGCAGTTCGTGATAATTCCCTGCACAGTCAAGGGGATGTGTATTCCTGGGTAATCATGATATCAGATCCATCCAGCAGTATATACACATGTCCCAGGCAGTGTCATCACACCCATGACATCACTTCATTACTTTTCCCGCCGCCAAAAGTGACGTCACGTGACATTAGCTTACATTGTTAACATATTAAGATGTTGGCATTCAAATGACTGATTTGCTGACGGAACTTTACGTCAAGGATTAAACCGATTCGTATTAAAATAATTAAAATTATCGCTATTTCGTGAAAAAACAATATCTGTTAGCATGTAAGAAATCTCAAAATGTGAAGGAAAAAAATATCTGTAACTCTGACTGAAAAGGCAATATCCCCAAAAAAGATCATCCAAAACGCAGACCGAGTACAGACGTTGAGTTCCTGACAATTCGCTACCACCTTGTACACACTGGGACCATGTTGATCACATTACCAGGATGAATGAACGGACGCCATCATCCAACCCAATGACCCTAAATTCTAACCCCACCATTAACCCTAACTGCAGCACAATGCCCACAATGCATACAGTATATATAATATACAGCACATTCACTATTGCTATGATATGTGAAGTTTCCTCATCATTGGATTAAAATAATTATCGCTGTCTAGTGCTAGAGACCCGCCCTACTATGATCAAGATACGACACGAATCTAAATTTACTCTATTTTGGGATGAAAGGCGCAACAGCCACACCCCTGAACGAGGAGGTGCACCGCAGAACGAGGCGGGAGCCTGGCAGGGCTGTGCCCCATCAGCCGGTTGGGCACGGCAGACAACAAATCAATTTCGCGCATGGTGGGAAAGGTGGCCCAACAATTTCATTTGTCTGCGAGCCAAGGCCACCCTTGGCAACGGGAGCGACGGGGTCAGGATTTCTACGCTGTTCTCATCCACCCACCCCACTCGCACCCAAGGTGCCAGCAGCCGCCCCAAGCGGGGCCCACGACATTTGATTCCGCAGCGGCGTGGCTGTCGGATGTGCGGGCCACGGCACTGGCACCGAGGGCCACGGGCCGGATGAGGGGGGGACCAAGCCCCAGGCTATAAAGAATGGGGGGGGGGGGAGGAAAGGTGGACAGGTATGTAGCTAACCGTGCAAATCGGAGGTCATGAAAATCAATTTCGTGCCAAATTTTTGGCAAATCAATTACGTGCCTGGGATGTTCAAAATATCCATGAGCAATTATACGACAACAGAGTTGTATGACCGATGCAGGCATCGTAGACATGGAGATGAAACAGGCTGCGTTATCGATCCCGCCAATCTGATGTGAAAGGATATTTAGAAAGTTCAAACGCCAAGTGTACGCCATAGAATACCAAACATGGGTACAGGCACTTTTCAGAATGGATACTGTTCCTATACAGTACCGTATGCTGACGTTTCCGCACAAGGGGAAACGGCAGTGAATGTGGGCTGCAGGACGAATAGATTTCATACCAGGAATTCTACATTTCCATTGAAACCCCTGGAGACAAGTCCCATGAGATACAGGTCATACGAGTCGTGAATAAATCATAGCAATGAATAGACACGCTCCATAACATAAAAGCCATGCAAAGAGCGAATAAATAAATGGGATGTACTATCCCATCGCAAACATGTTTGTCCGCATTCAACCGACGAATGGACACGCGAACAAACAAGCCACTCTCAACGCTGAATAAATTCATGAACAAATGAATGAATGGACACGCACACCACTGGGCACACACGCACACCACTTGGCACACACGCACACCACTGGGCACACACGCACACCACTGGGCACACACGCACACCACTGGGCACACACGCACACCACTGGGCGGACACACGCACACCACTGGGCACACACGCACACCACTGGGCACACACACGCACACCACTGGGCACACACGCACACCACTGGGCACACACGCACACCACTGGGCGGACACACGCACACCACTGGGCACACACGCACACCACTGGGCACACACACGCACACCACTGGGCGGACACACGCACACCACTGGGCACACACGCACACCACTGGGCACACACACGCACACCACTGGGCACACACGCACACCACTGGGCACACACGCACACCACTGGGCGGACACCCGCACACCACTGGGCACACACGCACACCACTGGGCACACACGCACACCACTGGGCACACACGCACACCACTGGGCACACACACGCACACCACTGGGCACACACGCACACCACTGGGCACACACGCACACCACTGGGCGGACACACGCACACCACTGGGCACACACGCACACCACTGGGCACACACGCACACCACTGGGCACACACGCACACCACTGGGCACACACGCACACCACTTGGCACACACGCACACCACTGGGCACACACGCACACCACTGGGCGGACACGCACACCACTGGGTGGACACACGCTCACCACTGGGTGGACACACGCACACCACTGGGTGGACACACGCACACCACTGGGTGGACACACGCACACCACTGGGCACACACGCACACCACTGGGCGGACACACGCACACCACTGGGCACGCACACGCACCCAGGCGGCCGTAGGGCAGGCGGTTGCGCTCTCCCAGCATGAGATTGAAGCGCGGACTGTCCCGATGCAGCCGCTTCCAGTGGCCCGACTTCTGCAGCAGCTTGGCCACGGCTGCGTAGACGGTGCTGTTCTCATCCCGCAGCACAAACGTGTACATGGTGCCCTCGCTCCTCGTCTTCCCAGCCCAGGGATGGAGCCTCAGGAATTTAGCTCAGTCCAGCTCAACCTCGGTTGAGGGTCCAGCCCGGTTGAACTTAGTCCGGCTCGGCAAAGTTCAGTTAAACCCAGCTCAAGTTTATCTCAGCCAAGCTAAACCTAAACTCAAGTCCAGCCAAGCTGAATTTAGCCCAGCTCAGCAAAGTTAAGCTGAGCCCAGGCAAAAGTAGCATAACCCAGCCCAGCCAACGTTAATGCCACATCAGCTCGATTTAAACTCAGCCCAGGTAAGCTAAGCCCAACACCATTTAGCCCGGATTACCCAAACTCTGCCCAGCTAAATCCAGCACAAGTCTGAACCAGCCCCTCTAAAACAGCTAAGCTTAGCTCAGTTTTTTAAAAAAGCATGGATTTAGCTCAACACAGTCCAGCTTTGTCTGAACTCAGCTTAACTCAATACCACCCAACTTTGGTGGGGTTAAGCAAAATCCATCCGCCGCAAAAGCATGACACTGCTTAACCAAACTGGATCCACATTTAACCACAGATTCACCCACAGCACTGCAAAATAATATAATTCGTCGAGGCCGGCTTTGAGACCAGAGCCACCCAAAACGTAAAAAAGTCCTCTCGTGCCAAACGCCCAAACGAGGCTTTTTACACTGCGGTATTTTCAGGGAGAAATCTGCGCACAGAACAGCACAGCTCTTAGAGGATTAATCGCAGCTGTTTTCAGACCGAGGCGGTGGGGGGAGGGTTATAATCGGATACATTTCACAACACTGCCCTAAATGGGTTGGCGGTTGCACTCTTTGTTTAAAAGGGGACACATTATTGCTGCTATCGTTGTCCCACTCCATCCGTTATCAATTGCCCCACGCCTTCACGATGTTAAGAGTTATTAAATGAGACATCGGCACACACACACAACAAAAACAATACAAAACGCACAAGAAGAGCCGTTGGTTTTTTTAAAACAAAAAACTAGACGTACATTCATCAACACACCCCACCCGATTAAACGGCGATGCTATACGGCCGTACCCGTGCAGCATTACCCATCCCAACTATAAGATAAGCAAGCCTACTCAAGAACAAATACTGCAAGCCAGTGAGTGCCCGGGTAGCAGCCAGCAGCAGCAGCTGTCAGTGTGGACCACCACACCCAGTCGGTGAACGCCAAGAGCGGCACAAGACCGCAAAGCGAGGAGACAAACACTTGGGAGGGTGGATAGCGGGTGTGGGTAGGAGAGAGAGAGACTATGGGGGGGGGGGCAGGGGTAGGAGAGGTTGTCGAGGGCAGAAAGCAAGGGACGGGGCACAAGAGGGCTGGCTGCAGCGACCGGATAGCAGCGGAGGGGAGGCGAGAATGAGAAGAGGGGACAAGGAGGAGTGGATGGAGGAGGAGGCGAAGGGGAGATGGAGGAGGGGTCAGCTTTCACACCGGACGCTATCCGATACCGATGTTTCAACTCTGCAGGACTTTGTGGTTTCCGCTTCCGAAGCCAAAGATGATGGTGGTGGTGCTGGTGATGTCACCTCCTGCTGCAGCACGCTCGTTTTAACACTAGGGGGGGTGTTAAACGTACAACACTCCCACCACCACCGATACCAACGCCCCCGTCATTCGCCGCTAAGTGACGGCGATGTCCCCACGGCACCTGTGCCAGGCTAGGTGCGCTTTGAAGCTACCCACGTGAAAGTGTCGAAGGCTCGCTCGCTGACAGGAGGAGGTCTCGGGACAGACCCGGCAGGTGCCATGGGTTGGCTGACTGAGATGACCAGCAGATGCATCACCAGCTGTACCCCCATACTGTGCCAGGCTAGGTGCAGGAGGTCTCGGGACAGACCCAGCAGGTGCCATGGGTTGGCTGACTGATGTGACCGTAGATGCATCACAAGCTGTACCCCATACTGTGCCAGGCTAGGTGCAGGAGGTCTCGGGACAGACCCAGCAGGTGCCATGGGTTGGCTGACTGATGTGACCGGCAGATGCACCACTAGCTGTACCCCATACTGTGCCAGGTTAGGTGCAAGAGGTCTCGGGACAGACCCAGCAGGTGCCATTGGTTGGCTGACTGAGATGACCAGCAGATGCATCACCAGCTGTACCCCCTACTGTGCCAGGCTAGGTGCAGGAGGTCTTAGGACAGACCCAGCAGGTGCCATGGATTGGCTGACTGAGATGACCAGCAGATGCATCACCAGCTGTATCCCCGACTGTGCCAGGCTAGGTGCAGGAGGTCTCGGGACAGACCCAGCAGGTGCCATGGGTTGGCTGACTGATGTGACCGGTAGATGCATCACCAGCTGTATCCCCCTACTGTGCCAGGCTAGGTGCAGGATGTCTCGGGACAGACCCAGCAGATGCCATGGGTTGGCTGACTGATGTGACCGGTAGATGCATCACCAGCTGTACCCCCATACTGTGCCAGGCTAGGTGCAGGAGGTCTCGGGACAGACCCAGCAGGTGCCATGGGTTGGCTGACTGATGTGACCGGCAGATGCACCACCAGCTGTACCCCCATACTGTGCCAGGCTAGGTGCAGGAGGTCTCGGGACAGACCCAGCAGGTGCCATGGGTTGGCTGACTGAGATGACCGGCAGATGCATCACCAGCTGTATCCCCGACTGTGCCAGGCTAGGTGCAGGAGGTCTCGGGACAGACCCAGCAGATGCCATGGGTTAGCTGACTCACACCACCACCATCTCAACTACCGACCTTTGGCGCCGAAGAGATTGTATCGCGTTTCGCGGATTCGTGAATGTGTGGCCGGCTCCAGTGGCTGCACAGAGACAGAGAGAGACATTACGTGGAAGGAAATAAGCATACAGGACAATCGAAAATCATAAATTGTGATCCCACGCGGGTGGGAAAAAACTACGCACAGCACACGCGCATTAATTACGCGGTCCGGATTGCAAGACGCTCCGCAAAGTTACAGACGCATCCTCCCAAACGCGTGCCCTGCGTGAGTAAAGTCACGCACACTGGTGCCTCTCGGATTAAAGGACGCACGGGCCAGCGTTTGCTTTAAATCCATGGGGAGGCGTGCGACTAATAGTCCCTTTTGTCGATCCACTGCATGAATGAGGGCCGCATCCAACGTTTTTACACGATTGCTACGTGTTGCTGTCACAGCGGTGGGGTTGTCTCCCTCTTTCCAAGAGCATCGAAGCAAGTGTTGTACGAAGAACAGCTGCATCGGGGTTCAACTTGTCCCACAAATCGCTCAATTAGGATCCTGCACACAGCAATCATCGTTTCCTACTGGCAGACTAAATACCGCCGCCCCCCAGGTGACTTCTTGCAAACTGAGACATCCTGGAAGTCTCTCGCAAAGGGTTATCACCTCGGTTAAAACAACGTGAACTCGACTGGGACGAGATATGTCTAGTAGAAGGAAGGAAGTGATGGCGAGGTGTGGTGGCATTCACTCCATTTGGCCCTGATTACATTTTTTAGGAATGGTCAATAACCATAAGAGATTGGTTGCCAGAGAGATGTGGCACTACTTGAGCATATTGGCACGAGACAGATAATACAAGTGGAAACAAAATAATGAAGAAATGCAGTGGACCACCTATGGACTATCTGCCCCATGGATCATGATGATTGTGGTATTTATTTGTTTACCCAAGAACGGCTAAATTCAGATGACCAAGATTATTTTCAGAGAGACTGCAGATGGAGATCGCCGGTTCGATCTCCTGGCACGGAAGTTTAAAGCAATGTTGCAAGATTCCACACGTCCACGCAGCAATATTAATGGGTTTTCCTTCCAGTAATTCGATCGGCAGGCCGCGTGTGGTGGGGTAAAGTGCGAGAGTAGGCCAAAACACCGTCTAGAGTATCGAGAGAGTCTTCAGTTGAGGCCCTCGTGCCAGCACCCCACCTTTAACCAAGCCACACTAACCAGCTTGGTGAAGTATGGTCAGGTAATCTCCCATCACCGGCACTCATGTCGCCCGGCTTTCAACCACGCAGTGTCATAACCACTGCGCCACCGCTCCCTGCCATGCGTTCTGCCTTTCGGTCGACAAAATCATATTTGTTAACCCCTTATCAGTGCCCTACCTTATTACAGACCAATTCAGACCCTATTGGTCATCCCCCCGTGTGCTTATAAATGTCAACGTTCATCCTAAAACGTCCCATGGCAAGGGAGAAACACAAAAATTCGACAATTACCACGAGTGCACTCACCACTGCACTCACCACTACAAACCTGTCAACCCCTTATCAGTGCCCTACCTTATTACAGACCGATTCAGACATTATTGGTCACCCCGTGCCCCTTATAAATCCTCAACGTTTATCCTACAAAGTCCCATCACAAGGGAGAAACACAAACAAACGGACACAAATTATGTTACTAAACAGAAACTGGCTTATGCATTTATTTTGATAATTGGTGTGAATGATGCTTTTTATCATGCTATACTGTCTGTGATCTTGCATGCTGATGCTTCCCTATTATTTAGCTGTTGTTGTTGTTGCCCCGTATTGGACTCGGCTGTATACTTCGCATGGACCTGACAACTGAAATTTTCCTGTACAAGAATACGGGTTGACGGCTGTGCAGAAGCAAACATTTAAAAACAAATGTGTGACCTGGAATCAAACCGCAGCAGCCGAATCGGGTGACACACAACTCAACAAATTCCGTCGACGTTTCGGCCAGTGGCCCACCTGCACTCCCACGTGGTTGCAGCAGCCCCTGGCACCACGTTGCTGGCTCACGCCACAGCCCGGTGGAATTGGCGGAGCTCCCGTGGCGAGAGGGACATTTGGCGCTCTGTTCTTGGCCTACTCTTCCACTCAAGTGGCTGGCATTGGTAAGAGCCCGGTCAGACGGCACTGGTGGTGGGGTGGGGTGGCGGTGCCAATTTAACAATTCGATTTTGTTGGTATTTTTTTGTTGTTGTTGTTTTAAAACCTTGACAACAGCTGCTTGGGTAACCAGGGACAACGGCGAGACGCCGTCGTCAAACCAGCAGGGGGTGGAATGTTCCTCTCGTCGTGCTCCGCGTTGCCTCTCGGTACGTGACGATTCGACGTCGATCACCATCATCATCTGCAGCATCATCACCCCATCACGACCATCGCTGTCGCCACCATCCGCAACCGCTGGGCCCTGCTTACGCGTTGCAATTTGAGCCATCGTCAGGAGCAGTCGTGGTCAGACCACTGCTGCTCCTGACGAAGGCCTCCGCTAAGCCTGCCCCGCGAGCTCTCACGAATCCTGCGATATTATTGTAAATCAACCTTATCAGCAGTACAGTAGCTCCATCTCCCTTGACAAACACGAAAGTATTTCATCGCTCCGTCTCCACGGTCATGAGTCCCAACACTCGCCCCCCCCCCTCCTCCTCCACCCCATTCGGACAACAACCATCACCACCACCATCACCAACAGCAACAACAACCATCATCACCATCATCACCATCACCACCACCAATAACCATCATCATCAACAACAACCATCACCACCACCATCACCAACAACAACCATCATCACCACCACCACCAACAACCATCATCACCAACAACAACCATCACCAACAACAACAACCATCACCACCACCATCACCAACAACAACCATCTCACCATCATCACCACCACCACCACCAATAACCATCATCATCAACAACAACAACCATCACCACCACCATCACCAACAACCATCATCACCACCACCAACAACAACCATCATCACCAACAAGAACCATCACCATCACCAACAACAACAACCATCACCACCAACAACAACAACCATCATCACCACCAACAACAACAACCATCATCACCATCACCAACAACCATCACCACCAACAACAACAACCATCATCACCACCATCACCAACAACAACCATCATCACCATCATCACCAACAGCAACAACAACCACCATAACCATCACCACCATCACCAACAACAACCATCACCACCATCACCAACAACAACCATCACCACCACCATCAACAACAACAACAACCATCATCACCACCACCAACAACAACAACCATCATCACCACCACCACCACCAACAACAACCATCATCACCATCACCAACAGCAACAACAACCATCACCAACAACAACCACCACCATCACCAACAACAACCATCATCACCATCATCACCAACAGCAACAACAACCATCATCACCAACAACAACCATCATCACCATCACCACCAACAACAACAACCATGATCACCATCACCACCAACAACAACAACCATCACCACCACCAACAACAACCATCACCACCACTACCAACAACAACAACCATCATCACCAACAACAACCATCATCACCACCAACAACAACAACCATCATCACCAACAGCAACAACCATCACCACCACCAACAACAACAACAACCATCATCACCACCAACAACAACAACCATCACCACCACCATCACCAACAACAACAACCATCACCACCACTAACAACAACAACCATCATCACCAACAACCATCATCACCATCACCAACAACAACCATCATCACCACCACCAACAACAACAACCATCATCACCAACAACAACAACCATCATCACCATCACCAACAACAACAGCCACCGCCATCGTCATTCATGAGCACTGTGCTAATTGTCGTCGCCGTAGTTACATCATCACTATCATCACCTTTAGCATCATCATCATGGCCATCATCAGTTTACCTGCCAGGCTGATTGTGATTTTTTTATTCGCTCATCATCAGCATCATCAAGTATTGCACCTCCGGATTTGTGGTTATACCTTGTTAATCATCGCTATCACCATCATCACCACCATCATCATCATCTCCACCACCATCACCGCGCTGCTATCATGTACAGCATATGCACTGTGCATAAAGTGCACACACGTGGTATACTGTATATATAAAATACAGAATATATAATACAGTATATATAGTATACAGTATATACAGGGTGGGCGGGAACTCTCTATACGCCCTTACCTATGCCAGTCCGTAATAGCCTTGATGGCAAGGGTATGGCGACTTACCGCCCACTCTACGTGCAATACAAATTGCACGTGTAACGTAAACAATTGCGTATGCCCTTGTACTATATAGTGCACGCAAATATACATTCGGCACATATCATTTCAATTGTGTGCATAATACTACCGCGCCGTGTGTACGCAATTCTGTATGGTTGAGATGTTTCCTAGCTTTATCCAGCAGTGGATTGACCATGGCTGATGATTGCGATTAAATGTAGCCTATGAACTAATCGCTTCGAATGCGCCCGATCTCGTCAGATCTCGAAAGCTCATGCAGGATTGAGCCTGGACAGTACTTGGATGGGCGACAACCGTGCACAAAGGAACAAACCCAGGTGCTATAGGCAGTAGAGGACAGTAGGAATAGTAAAACCCACCACAGTCCTGCATGTGGTTCCCTTCATCATCAATTTACCCACATTGACCAGCGTGGTGAAGTACGGTCAAATATCCAGCATGGTGTGCGGGGTGGCCCTCATCCAGCAGTGGATTTACAAACGGGTTGTACATGTACGGTGTGTATATTTAAGGGCGCCTTATGAATCTAAATTATTATTTCAATTCAAATTCCACAACATAAAGTGAGACGAATGTGGCGTGCGCCAAAGTAATTCCTGAAAACGGCGTTCCGGTCTGCTCTGGCTGACATTGAGTGCTGTGGTCTCTTGTGCTGGTAGATCAGGAGAAGGAAGAGAAAGACTCTGGGCGAATGAACGATGGAGGTCCTAGCCCTGGCGGGGCTGGCAGGGAGCGGACTTGGCTTGAGCTCGCTAGCTCCGAGCCTCAGCGCCCAGCGTGTACTCGCGCCCATCTCCGCCCAGCTCGTCCACCTCGCTCTGCTATGCGACTCGGCCCTCCACCACGAACAACATCATCATCATCGCCACCATCATCATCCTCATCCTTGCCCTAGCCATCCACGCCAAAGCCATCAACACGAGCGGCAACAGTGTCACCGCTGCGATGTCCTTCTCAACCTGGAGCCACAGGCACAAGCGCTTGCGGAGGCAGCGGAGGCGCTGGCTGTCTCCAGCAGGAGGTAATCGGGAGGCAGTCTTCGCTTACTTTCTAGTGCAGGGGTCGGCAGCCTGCGGCTCCGCAGCCGCACGAGTCTCTTTAAGGACTGTTTCATGACATGCGTAGCGGCTCCTGAAGTATTTTCTTGCGCATTCTAACCAAAAGTTTTTTTTTTCTGGTTGGCGACCCGTGTCCTAGTGATTTTAGTGCCACGCGACACGGCACACAACAACTGACTTGGTTCGCCGATGGTGGGGCTCGTTTATATTTTCGTGTTTGTAGTGCCATTGTCACTCCTGGGGGGACCTGGTAAAAGGACCTGATGGTGAGGTGCTACCATGTAGGTCTTTATGTCTGCGCCATTTTCGGGTTGTACCACGCGTGCTGTTCGCCACGATGCCACCATGTTTTGCTCCATGTGCTCGGAGCTTCTTCGGGCGAGGAATCCGGTTCCACGAAGAAGCGCGCGGAGCAAAACGTCGGGACACCGTGCCGAACGACACTCGACGGTGGGCCTGCCCAACTGGGACCTTTGCACCTTGCAGGCTGTCGGCGGAGAGCGAGGATGAGACGACGCGAAGGGAGATGCCGGCCGCCGCGGAGCGGTTGCTGGTGGCCGGGCACTCCGTGCTCCTTGCCGCCCTTGACCTGCGGGTGGAGCGGCGGCGCCGGCGCCGCGTCGCCGTTGGCCGTCTGCTGTCGTCGGCCGCGGCGCTCGTGGCAGCCATGCTCGAGGTGCCGCAGAACCCCGAGGTGTTTTCGGGTTCGTGCCACGTGCCGTCCGGCACGATATCCGACGTTACGCTCCGTTTGCCGAGAACCTCTTTGGGGAAACTGAATATCTAGCACGTGGAGCGAAGCGTCGGACATCGTGCCGAACATAACGCGGTCCGACCCGGATACACGTCGGAGAACTTACACGGCACAACCGCGAATACCTACATAGCTGAGATTTCACGTTTCAAATCCGTGTTAAACTTACAGTGCGGGAAAAAAGTATTTGATCCCCTGCTGATTTTGTACGTTTGCCCACTGACAAAGAAATGATCAGTCTATAATTTTAATGGTAGGTTTATTTGAACAGTGAGAGACAGAATAACAACATAAAAATCCAAAAAAACGCATGTCAAAAATGTTATACATTGATTTGCATAAGATTACCTAAGAATTTCTACCCACGGCTCAGGGCAACCAATGGATATGCGCTCAGTTCCCAGAGACACGTTCACTTAAAATTCCATGAACTTAAAAAAATCAACCACTTTGTGCACCCGGCCAACAAATCGAGCACAAGCTCAAGGCACGAATCCGTCATTCATGACTGGCGCGCAGGTGCTGACGATCTCGGACGACACTGAGGTGCGCAGGGTGGAGCGAGCCGCCGAGTGGCTGCACGAGCGAGCGTCGGCCCTGGGCTCGGTGCAGTCGGCCGCGGAGTTTGCGACGGAGGCGCGCGGCTTCTCCGAGTCGCTGCTGCTGCTCACGGCGCTCGGCGAATCCCGGGCGGCCGAGATGCAGGCCGGGGGGCGCCGGCGCCGCCGCCTGGACCGCGCCCTCCAAACGACCCGCCGCTGCGTGCCGCTCATCCACACGGCCGTGCGCACCAGCCTCGAGTGCCCGGGCAGCGAGCGGGCGGCCGCGGGCAGGGACCGTGCCGTGCGCAGGTTTTCCCGTGCCGTCTCCGGCGTTGCGGCCGCTGCCCTGAAAGGACGGCGGCGGAGGAGCGAGGGCGGTGACGGAGAGGTCATCCCCGCGGACGAGGGGTCACCGCGCGACACGACGGGGGCCTTCGCCGACAACATCTCTCGTCTTGTCGCCATGCTGCGTCGGATGAACCCCGGCGCGAAGCAGGAGGAGGAGCAGGAGAACGCCAGCGAGCAAACGGTAACACTGGACTGTCTGGTGGAGGCCGTGGCGGCCCATGCCGTGACAGTGATGGGCGAGACCGAGCACGAGGGTACGCGCAGGAGGCTTTCCGAGACGTGCCAGCGGCTCCTGCAGTGCCGCAGCCGCCTCGCAGCCCAGTTGCGAGCTCCGGGAACCGACGCAGAATCGGCACGGGCGCCAGCTGTGAGCGGGAGCTTCTCACGTGAGCGCGAGCAGATGCTGCGGGAGGCGGCGGCACTGCGGCGCGTCGTCACGCTCGCCGTCACGGAGCGCGTGGCGGACGCCTTCACCGAGACCACCGAGCCGCTGGAGCGGCTGCTGAGGGCGTGGGGCGATCGCGACGGGGGGGACGAGGGCGGCCGCGATGACGGCGCTCTCGGCCCGCTCGCCGACGCGTTCCTTGCCCACGCCGACGGCATGGTGCGCGGCGCTGTTCTCGCTCACGCGTCCTGCGGCGACGCCCGGCGTGCGCTCGCCCTGTGTAACCGCGCGGCGCTCGCTCGCAGGCTCGCGTCAGCGGCGCGCAGAGAGCTCGCGGCCGTTGGCGTTCGGGCGCTGGCGCAGAGCGGACTCCGCCAGGAGTGGCACCGGGAAGTGGACGCCCTCCTCGCCAGCCTTTGCCGCGCCGTGGACGTGCGCGGCCTGGCCGACGCCGTCAACGCTTCGCTTGGCCGCTTCGCTCACCGCTTCGAGGACGCTGTCCGGGGAGGCGGTGGGAGCCGGGACGTCGCTGATACGGCACGCGCCATGGCGGGGCGAGCCAAGCTCATGGCTCGTGCCGCCAGGTACTTCGTGAGCAACCACGATGATCCGCTCTTTCGCAACGGACTCCTGGCTCTGGTCGGACCGCTGGAGAGCTGCACAACGCTGTTCGCTTTTGAGGTCAACCGACACCTCCGAGCCACTGAGAGTGGGGATGGCAGAGAACGTGGGGAGGGTGGTGATGGAGACCTTTCATGCTCAAATGAGAGCCTTGTAGAGGTGGTGACCGCCTTGCTTGAGAGGTCCCAGCAGCTGGTCGGCCACGCTGGCCGGGTGCGGGAGGGTCTGTCCGGGTCCGCTTGCCATCCAGATCTGCTCAGCCCGCTCCGGGAGAACCTGCGGAACGAGGGACTGGATGAGCTCACCGAGATCCCAGATGTGGTGGACGTTGCCAGCAGGAGGGCAGCGATGATGACCCGTGAGCATTCGACTGCCGCCCAGCATGCCTGTGATCCGGTACAGGATAAGCGTGCGTGCTGCGGTGTGGCAATTGCCGCTGGTGGCCATGAGGATGACTGCCAAACAACTCGAAGCCGATTCGACGACCTCTCCTTGCTGCCAGCATTTTCGGCAGTTGTTCGCGCAGCCGGATTGGCCCACTCGGACGAAGCCATTAGAGGCTCGGAGAGGCGTGTGCGTACGCTGGTGGATGGCTATGGAGAGGCGGTCACAAAGGCCAAGCTCGGCGACCCCCGATGTGGCGAGGACTCCACTTGGAGCGACATCGACGGCCGAATCTCCGAGCTGCGGGAGATGACGTCGAGGCTGCTGGAGGAGGCAGGCCGGATCCGGGACAGCGGGCAAGGCGACGCGTACGGCGCTGCGTCGATAGCGCTCGCCGTGCAGTGCAGCGACGGCATCCGCGAGCTGCAGGAGCTGCTGTCGCGCCGCCTGCAGCCGTGGCTGCGCCTCGCGCGGGAGGCGTCGGACGCGGCGGTGACCATGGACGAGCCGAGCCCGATCGCGGCCGTTCGAGATGTTGCGGCCTCCCTCGCCGCGTCTGCCGCGCTCCTGCAGAAGGGTGGCGGCGACCGGTCGAGCGGCCTGAGAGTGGCGAAGGAGAGGCGCACGGGACAGGTGGAGCGGGCGACTCTCGCGAGCCCAGAGCCACACCTGGACCTAGCGCTTCTCGCTGTTGAAGAAGCCACAAGGGGCCTCGTCGAGCGCGGCAGCGGCGACCGAGCGGAGCGCGGCTCCGGCGACGCCGATGAGCGGTGCGAGGCGGCGGTTGGGAAGTGCCTGGCGTGGGCCGCGTGCGTGACCTCGACGCTCGGTGTGCTGCGGCGTCGCACCTGCGTTGGCGGCGGTGCCACCGCGGGGCTGACGGGTGGCGTCGTGAGGGCCGTGCGGGAGGGAGACCGCCCGGCGCTGGGTGTGGAGACGCGGGCGCTCCTGGAGACGTGCGAGCGCTTGAAGGAAACCGCGGGATTGGCGGCGCATGCCCAAACGACGGCACGAAGCAACGGTGGTCACGGCAACAGTGACAACAGCAGCAGCGATCATCACCACAGCCTAACATCACTCACGCTTGACGAGGTGGCACTCATGAGCAGCGTGGGTGACTCGGCGTGCGAGCTGGCTCGGGAGTTGGTGGAGTCGGCGGGGCTCTTGCTCGCCCGCGCCGCTTCGCCCGGAGGGTGGGCAATGGCTCGGCTCGCGGCACGCGTCGAGCTGCTGAGCACCGAGGTGGAGGCCAGGGCCCACATCCTATCCGTTCTCATCGACCGGGCGACGGCATCGTCCGCAAGGGCCCTCCTGGTGACACTCGGACTCGAGGAGGAGGAGGAGGAGGAGGAAAATGAGGGGAAGGACGAGAAGTCGGGAAAGGAGGTTGCTGAAGTCGTGAGTCGCACCTGGCTGGAAGAGCAACTCTCAGAAGTGGAGGCGGCCGTGAGAGCAGCGGTGACCCAGCGGCCGAGCGACGATCACCTCAGGGCGGCGGTGGAGTCCGCGTGCCGCAGCCTGCGGTGGTCGGCCGCGCAGATCGACCTCGCGCTCGCATCGCGGCGCCAGCCCGAAGTCGGGTTCTCGGCGGACGCGGCCGCCCAGGCGCAGCGTGGGGGCGAGCTGCGGGACGAGCTGCAGCTGGCGGCGTGGGCGTGGGGCGCGGCGAGCGGGAGCATCGCCGCCGCTCTCTCCGCGCACCTCGGCCCCGAATCCCCCACCGTCCGGGATGTTGCTCGTCGCCTGCGGCTGGAGCCTGTGCAGGAGAACGCGTCGGCACGGGAGAAGGTGGATGAGGAGGAAGAGGAGAAGGAGACCCGAACCGGGGTTCCATCCGTGTCCTCGCCAAGCGCGGCGAAGGAGGCAAAGCGGCTGGGGAGTAGCGTGCCCGAGTCACCGGCTGCGGCCGCAAGGAGGGCGTTCTTTGCCGAGATGCGGCAGGCGGGGAGAGCCGGGTGCGCGGCGCAGGTGTCGGAACCCGCGGCCGTCGATCGTCCCCGCGTCCCAGAGGCGCCGCCTCTCCCCGCTGAGAAAGCGGCGTCCGTCTGTGGCGGAGGTGCAGCACCGTCGCCCAGCACGCACGTGAGACATCCACCGGCGGTTCGGTCACAGTATAATTATTTTCACGTCATGTTCACAGAATCTGGTTCAGATTGTGCGGTCGGGGTCACGCTCCGAGGCGAAGTATAATTTCGGATCTCTCGCGGAGCAGTGCAACAATTCGTTTTGTAGAATGGCCCAAGGAAGTAAATATCACAGAGCTACTTCTCAGATCCTTTCAAGTGACCTATGGTCCACACACAGTAGAGGGAAGCATTCAGACTTGCTCTGCATTGCATGCCGGTCAAACCAATATTTTCATTCTCAGAGCTGGAATTTGGCTAATTTAAGGGCAGAACCAAATTTAATGGGATGATTTTTTGTGCAGTCATTGGTGACCTTGCTGAGACCATCAACTCACCACACCTGAGGACCCAGTTTAAGCACTGAGGATTGTCAGCAGTACCAGCTCAGTTTTCTCTGACCTCTGTCCATTATTGAACATGGCTCTAGGTGATGCTGTGGCGCAGTGGCTGACACACTCCGCTACAAACTCAGTGACCTGAGTTTGAATCCCAGCTACGGCTAACATAGTGACGAGTGATATCTATTGAGGACCACCGACTCGAATTCACACGCATAGCGGCTCTTGAAATACAGTATTGAGTTTCTTACCAAATCTTGACTTAAAGCTTTCGTGACTTCAGGAATTCATATTCTTTGGGTCTTTCGGTAATTATTTAATAATTTTGCTATCTACGTTGCTTTACCGAAAGACCAAAAGAATATGAATTCCTGCAGTCACGAAAGCTTTAAGTCAAGATTCGGTAAGAAACTCAATACTGTATTTCAAGAGCCGCTATGTGTGTGAATTCGAGTCGGTGGTCCTCAATAGATATCACTCGCCACTATGTTAGCCGTGGCTGGGATTCAAACTCAGATCACTGAGTTTGTAGCGGATTTAATAATTATTTTTCTATCTACGTGGCTTTACCGAAAGACCCAATGAATACTTCTTACCGAATTCAAAAAATGTGGCTCTTGTTATCTCGGTCGCCGACCCCTGCACTACATGGATAAAAGCCTTCCCACACCATAGCAGCCAATGGGGTTGTTTGACTATACTTTACCACGCTAGTCCGTGCAGGTTGGTGAAATCCGGCAACCACCCAGGACTGGGTCAGATACTATTCACCACTGATGTTGACCGTGACCAGGATTAGAACTTGGCTTACCGAGTTCATATCGCAGCACCACTGGTCTCCACCCAGTACCTTAAATGCCTGTGTATATTGTGTACTTTGTATGCTATACGCATACACATGGTTATCAGATCAACAGCTCACTCATGAGTCATCGACAGCGTCTTTTATACTCGCCGTTGGATATTAACTGGTGTTGTCGTGCTGCCACTTGAACACACGTAGGCTTCCATAGCACAAACTTTCCCGTAACCCGCCTGATGAGTCAGTAGCTCTCTAATCCTTTCACCCTTTAGTCCACCCAGACTCACAGCCTCTATCTTCACCCCGACTCGTTCATCGCTTGAGGACAATGGTTCTTAATATCTTGGGTCTTAAGCCCAACTCCGGTGCAGGAATTTAGTCCCATGAGTGGCTTATTATGCTGATGTTAATTTGTTGCAATACTATCCTCCAGGATGAGTAAAGCTTCTGATTCTGGTGCAACACTATACAATTACCTCTTCCAAAGTGTCCGTTTGGCCAGCATGGACGTGTATGCCAAAATAACCTATAGGGAGAAGCCCTGTCGAGCTCTCTCTGGTGGAAACCCTTCCACCAGCAGTGGGGTGAGCAAGGAATTGTTTGGTTGCACCTTTTACCTTTACTTTGCATATGCACTAAGGTATTGCCAAATACTTTAAAGTACATTTATAGATACCCCGCTCAAAAATAGGGAGAAATTATAGAGAAAGCGGAATGGTGAATCTGCATCCAAAGCTACCACCTTCATGATGTGTTCTTCTGTAAAGGCATGGACTCATCGCTTTCACATTATATAATCACCTGTTTAGAAGAGGTGGTAATTAGACATCAGTGGGTTGTCTATAAATGAATCACCCATAATTACAACGTATAACGGTACAATATAATTCCATATAAATAATTTACAGCCTTCAAGGCACTCATGCTAAGGCAATTTTAGGGGCGATGGTAGTTTACTTAAATAATCGCCTTGTCCATAGGATGCGTTGGTACCGCGTTGCATTCATAGAATCACGTTTGTGCCAGAGAGACAAATACGAATGTGAAGCTAGAGTGTTGCTGATGACTGGAGAATTAAGAACCACTGGAATCATGGGAGGCCTTTCTCAACCTGAAGTCCTTTTGGCTCACCACAGCCCACCTTTCCACGTCTGCCAGTCTTCCCAATTCAATTGTATACGGGTTCTGTTTGTGAAATATCCTACATGTTTATTTTGTGTTCTACGGCTTGGGGCCGTCCATAAATGACGCCACGCACCGGGGGGGGGGGGGGGTCAGACATTTTGTGACGATGTGTGACGAGGGGGGGGGGGTTGAGAAATGTGACGTCACATCAAAATGCGCAACTTTAAATAAATATAAACATGTTCTACTTAATTAAATATACTTTTTAATCAATGTTTTCTCCTACAACATCAGAGTGCAGTGCCACATTAAATACGCACTACAATGACAATAGTTTAAAGCGATTTTAAGCATTTTTTTTTTGGGGGGGTGGGGGGACAGAGCTTTGTGACGTCATATTTAAGGGGGGGGGGGTCTGACTTTTTGTGACGCCGTGTGACGAGGGGGGTCAAAAATCGTCCAAAATCGCGTGACGTCATTTATGGACGGCCCCCGTGCTGTTCAGTGTGATGTCCGACGTTTCGCTCCTCATGCTTGGAACTTCTTCAGGTACCGAATTCGGTTTACGCGCTGGGAGCGAAACGTTGGCACTGAACTATTCTATTTAGCTCCTGAAGAATGTCCTGGCACGTGGAGCGAAACGTCGGACATCGTGCCGAACAGCGCGCAGTACAACCTGAAAGCCCGTTGGAGAGCCACACGGCCCAACCGTGAAAACCTACACAGTACTATTTGTTAAATATCCTCTTGTATCCGGCATGGCGTAAGACTGGAAACTGTAGGGTGGTGAGTTTCAACTAAATTCATTTGACAAATCTTGGCTTACCCCTATAACAACGCTACGTGCATTCATCCTACTCTTCTTCTGCACAATTATAACTGATGTGTGCTGGCTACTACACGTGGGAGTGAGGTCCTCGTTTATTTAACGTAGCATATGTTGATGGCTCTTCATGCAAGTGTAGTGGGTTAAGATGGCCATCTGATGCACATATTAAAATTAAACCGAATTCCTCTCTATTTGGAGCTCAAACTAGATTGGGGGAATACTGTTATACATTTGTCCTGTCCTTTTGCATTATAATATTCATATACCACCATCAGATAAAATAAAATGGTCCTTCCCCTGCTTAACCTTGCAGATTGTATGGGTAAGTGCTGAGAGAGAGCACCTAAAAAGCACGGTATAACGGGTGATGTAGCAAGCACCACACCCTTTGTCTTCCATCTCTGATACCCCACACCAAGCACTCATTTAAATAAACTCAGTGGAGGCCCACAACTGGTAGAGATGCCACCCGCCGCTGATGTATGAACCTTATGGCGGGACCCCGGGGTCCCGCCATAAGGTTCATATGTTGAACTTCTTTTGCACCGTACTTAGCCAACCGTGCTAATGGGAGGTGCGGGCAAAGGACAACTAAACGCAAAAAGGAGTTCTTAAGAAATGCATTTTCAATCTAGTGTTGTGCGTGGCTAATAGAACCCAGCTTCCTGGGATTATAGCACAGTATTCAAACCCCTACGGCTCACCTCCCGACAAGTACCGCTGCTCCCACCGCTATACCCGCCACCTGCTTTTATCCTGTACCTTGTCCGCCGCCTGCCATGCTTTCCCCGCCACCTCCACCGCCCCCCCCCCTCTCCTGAGCTCGCTCGCTTCTTGCACCACCGCACGCCCCCCCCCCCCCCCCTTCTGGCCCCCCACGCCCGGCAGGTCAGACGCATCGAGCCCCGGCCGTGCCCGCTCGCCCCGTGGGATGGCAGAGCCGTGCCCGATGTGGCACGGGTGGCACAGGACATGGCGTCCCGCGTGCAGGACATGGCGCTGTTCCTGCGGCGCAGGGGCCCCATCAAGGTGACCGAGCGAGACGCCGCCATCGCCACTACCACTACCACCTCCAGAAAAAAAACACCTCCATATCTATCCCCACCACTGCGACCACTACAACCACCATCTCCAGCACAACCACCTCCATATCTACCCCCACCACGATCATCGTATCCAACACCTCTGCTACCACCGTCTCCATATTTACCACCACCACAACCACTTCCATTTTCAACACCACCACTTCCATTTTCAACACCACCGTCAACCACCACCTCTACACACAGCCAAGTCAAAGTATAATTGCAGGATCCCACTCAACAGAGAGACTCCGCTTTAAATCTTGTCGTCGATCGCCACCGCTGTTGTTGTTGACGACAGAGCCGCGAGGGACTGATTGCGTGCGCCCGCTCGCTGGCCGTGGATGCCCGCACGTTGGAGAGGTTCGGCGGCTCCCTGGCGGGACTGTGCGCCGAGCAGCGCTGCTCGCGCGAGCTGCTCTCCCACTCGCAGCGCGTCCTCGCCGCAGGCACTCAGATCGCCATCCTCGCCAGGTGCGACGGAAAGGGGCCCCGGGACGGCTGCGTTTCGGCGGAGTCGTTCTCGTCGAGCCCCAATGTCGCGTCAGCTTCAGCGCGACCAAGCACCGTCAGCCCCATTGGGAGGAACCACTCATTGAGAGGATAGGGATTGGCATGCAGAGTGCGCTTAAATGTCCCAGGATCTCGAAGTGCCTTACGTTGCATCTCAATCATGCCAGTGGCCACGTGAAGTTGTTTTTTTCGTCTCTTTTAGCTTCGAGGACCCCCTGATGAGAGCTGTCCTTGTGTGGCGCAAGGTGATGCAGCAGCAGCCTACAAGTGGGCATTCGTCTGTCAGGAGGGAGCGATGTTGCGGTTATTCCAATAAAATGTCTCGATTTAACAAGTTTGGATCATGCCACCAGCGCACATTGGCATACCCTTTTTCTCATAACGCTACGAGATTTAACGTCCCCTGTTATGCAGATGGCGCGTAAATTACGGTTAATACACCCGCAATAATTAATCAGGGTGGCCGGGAGGCTTGAACTGGCCAACCACAGCAGCAAGCGGCAAAACGCGCTACCTCGCTCATTAAAAAGTGCTTGGCCACAAATTAACCACCGTTACCCTGCTGATTTCAAGGAGCATAAACAATCACGCGAACTCCGGTCAGCCTCACAGTGGCCTTTCTGTAGCCATCAAACACAGTCACAGCATCGCGCCCTTTCAGATGCGCTTCTGTGGCCATCTGGAATGCTCTACCTTCCGATATTAGGAAGCCACTGGAGCGATGCACTTTTAAATCTAGACTGAAAACGTATTTCTTTTGAACTCCTTTGTGTTGTTTATTGTCCTTCCCCCACACATTAGCGCAGTTGGCTACGAAGTGCAAAAGAAGTTCAACGTACATAACATACACAGTCGCAAGGCCGTGATTATAATATATATTGGGACACACACACGCACCCCCCCCCCCCCCCCCCCATATTCAAAAATACTCTAAATGTCCCCCCCAATATATTGCGATAAAATAGATTTCTGTTTATACGATTGTGGTTATGGTTGTACTTTATTAATCCTTAATCTCTGCCATTACATACAATGAAACAAAATGTAAAAAAGACTGAAAACAGAGCAATGTAATACACTATTAGATATTTAAAAAATAAATAAAAAGTCCATCCTATGTTAGTGATTTAAAAAAAAAATATTTTAGGCAAGAAATTAGTTTTCAAATTTAGATATTTTTCTGGGTTAGGACCCCCTGACACCCGAAAAGATTTGGTCCCCCCCAATGTTGACTCCATGGCTACGACCTTGCACTGTCGTAACGCCGCCCAGCTCACTCGAGAGGAGGAGCCCTCCCACTGAGATGCCCTCCTTCCACCCCCCGGCACAGGGTGAAGGAGGCGGTCCCGCGGGACCGGGCCGCGGACGAGGCCCTCGTGCACAACGCACGGACGCTCGCGGAGGAGGCAGCGCGCGTGCTGCGGGCCGCCGAGGCTGCGAGTGTCACGGTGGGAGCGTGCCCACACCCTCCCTCTGGCCGTACTCGCAGCGGCCTCACTCGTCGGAATCTTTGAATTATAAATGTACTTTTGCGGTCCTGGATTTGGTAATGCATAACTACAAAGCAAAGGTAAAAGGTGCGGCCTGACAATTCCTTGCTCACGCCACTGCTCTAGAGGGCTGCTCTCGATTTGGTGCTTTGGCCTACTCTTCCATGCTAGCTCTTAACAGACGGCCAGTAGGGGCGGGTCAGAAAGTTACAATACAAAAACACAACAGGAGTGCAAAGTATGGGAAAGGTAAGCAAATCACAAAAAATATATTTTAGCAGGTAAAGCCCTTGCGCTATTAGCTTATTTTCAGAAGTGACCTGGCCACAAATGCTTGTGGTCATTTATAGCAGCCTAGGGGAGGCCCAGGACCGGTTCAGATAATCGTCGCTGGTGTTGGCCGTGAGCGGGAATCTACCTCGGGTCACCGGGTTTGTAGCGCAATGCACTAACCGCTACACTACCGCTCCCCACACACATACGCAGGGCCTACGGGACGCTCCACCAGGAACTCCGGCGGCCGAGGCTACGGCGCTGGTGGCTCGCTGGCGGGAGAGACTACGGCAACATCGTCGTCTGCAGGCTTTGTCCGGGCCAGGCCACTTGGATAGCAGCCTGGGTTTGCGCAGAGCCCCGGAGCCCGGCTCGGAGCCCAGCCTGGTTCGGGGCCTCCTGCCCACGTCACACGCGACACTGCCCCATCAGGCCTGGGCAGGTGTCATCTGCAGAGACTGAAATCAAACCGCATGGGGCAGCGAAAATGTGTTGTTTTGTCCGAAATACCAGGCTAATTCTGGTGGGGGTGAGGTTAAGTGGGTGTCCCCACCCATGCAAACCAAATTTGGCCCATTTACATCTTGTAATTTAATATCGCTTTTCTATAATACAAAAGGTAAAAGTAAATTTTAGAATGCACAATCCAATGCTACATTTGCTGCAGAGTACAGTATTACATTCGGAGTGCTTGGTGAGTGATGATTCTGCGGAGCAGCGACTGAGCCAGCATCGCTGCTGCACGCCCTGTGCTGGCGTCGAGTGTCAAGTGGTTGAATCTGCACGTCTCTTCCCACTACAAAATATAATTTTCACGGGAACGAAATTTCACATGCCGCGAGATCAAAAAAATATTCAGCACCCGGGGGGGGGGGGGATTCATCATCCATCCACGACAGCGTCACAGTATCCCTGCAGTGCAACAAGAACGCCTCCACAGCACCTTTCGAGTCATTCTAACATGCACATCTGAAAAGGTCAATTATGTTTTAAATGTATTATTCAATCGTTTCAATGTTACTTTTGTACTGTGTTGTGAAAAGTGATATAGGTGTATCATTTTTGGGTTAGGAGTAGAGTTGCACCGAATTCAGAACTGAATGCAGAATTTAGTTCCGAAAGAAGCTCCCATTGAGAGACAAATTTGTCTTCGAGGTTTTCCCCAGGCCGGACCCCACAGCGATGGGATTGGCAGAGGTTGAATTGAGAACCTGGAAAATTAAACGATTGCAAAAACAGCAGCATCAGCTGCCTTGATTGAGCTCAACACACCCCGAAGGCGTTTTTTTTTTACAAAAATCAACACCAGGTATTGCAGATGCCCATTGTATTGTATATGCATTCATTAATACCCCCCCACGTGAAGGGCTCACAAGTGACGTCATTACGTCTATCCATCTAAGGAACGAAACATGAGGCTTTCTCCACAAATCTGGCTGTCCGCCTGATGCTAGTTGTAATGGTGAAACTTTGTACTCGGATTGTAAATGGTGTGGATTTACTCTCCAACACACCGGTGTGCTGCACTAGTAACGAATTGGCACGTTCTGTTTACGTGACAAACCTTACTAATTGGCTGTGTTGGGTGGTGGCGGGTTTAACGACACATTTCTATATTTATGCAATCTAACAAAAACCTATATTATGGAGCGAGAGCAGAGATAATATTTTATTGTGTCGTTTGCTCATTTTAAACAACAAAAAACAGCCCTGCTCAGAAAATTACATAAACTTTAAAGTTTCCACATATGCTGACATTTTTATAAAAAAAAAAAAGCGCATCACATCCAGGCGTAAAGTAGAAGACGGTTTTCAAGCACCACAAAAGTCGGCACTTGGCTCAGATTCATATTTACTCTGCCAAGTGTGACCGTTTACACACACACAACTCTCAAAAGTCAACACGTAAGCCTCTCGCCTTTCATTCATTGCGATGCTAATTGGTAAATACAATGACTTTTGCTCATGTACAAGCCAGGTTTTCTTCAAAAAAAGCACAATTTGTTAAGCGTTAAAGTTAACAGTAATAAAAAGATACCTGTGTCAACTCTATGAAACATGGATCCTTAAGCAGATTTCTTAAGCTCCAGTGATCTCTCATCCCCATCATGGTCTGTCCATCTGCCTTTTCACATTCCCGCGTGATCTTCAAATTATTGAAGCCTTTACACAACCATTTAAGGCATCCTTTCGACTGGTAAATAAGGGTATCTGCACTGTAGTGGGGGGGGGGGAAGGGGGCTTTGAGGTTTGGAGTTTGAGGAGCTCCGATTTAAGCGCTGCGGGAGCTAAAAGCGTTACTAAGCATCAATCGTATTTTCCAAACGTAATACTTGTTAAAACGTTAGTTACACAATCAACATAAAAAACCGCGCAATTCTAACCATTACTGGCTCCCTGTCTCTTTTGTACTGAGTTTCAACCGATGGATATTTTATTGCCGTGAAATAATTTTTGATACAATAAAGTCGAGATCAAAACAAGCAGTACGCCTAGGTTTTAAATAGTGGGTCAGATGGAAGGGTACGCCCCTCCCTCCCACTTTGCAAATGGAACATCCGAGCCAAGCCCGCACAGGAGGAGGGGGGGGCCCTCAACCAAACCATAACTACACTGGGATCTGGCTCGGGGCCAAGCAGGGCCAGGGTCAGGACTAACGACGCTGCGTCCATTGTGGCACTGGTGCAACTCCCGACACAGCGTCGCCTCGTCATTCACGCGCGTCTTGAATCCTTGTGTGTGTAAGGCGTCAATGATGCAGCTTCGCTTCTGCAGTGGAAAAACAACGTTGTGCCTCCTGAGTTGTGCTGGGCTGCTTTTGGCATGGCCCCAGCATGGCTTGGTTGTACAGTGGAAAAGAGGAGTAGAGGGGGGGTGGGGGAGAGACAGTTGCCATCGTTTTTTTTAAATATAATTCCCTCCCCACCATTGTAAAAAAAAAAAGGATTCTGCAAAAAGGACGCGAGACGAAAGGCCGACGACGTGAAGGAAAACTTTTGGACCGTGAGCGAGGTTCTGTCCGGAACCGAGTTGAGTTGGGGGGGGGAATGCCCCCAGATCACTTCACAAATGCTTCCTTGGGAATATGCCCCGCAGTCTGTCGACGAGAAGATCCGAACCAGAGCAGTGGCCACAGCCGGAACCGGAGCAGCGGACAGCGCCGGGGGAGAGAGTGGCGGGGGCGGAATGAAAAAGGGAGACAAGCAGTATCATTAGAAGATGCTCATCAAACACAAACACGACCGTCCATTTGCAATCCCGCGTATCGGTCAGCGGTGGAGGAGGTGGGGGACGGCACTTACGTTTAGTTGAGTAAAGATTTGTGCCGACCGCTCGAAATCCCAGCTGTGCTGCTGGAGGCATCTGTGGGTAAACGTACACAAAGCAATGGAAGGGAAACCAGTCAATGCCGCGAATCATTAAACCGGTTTGCAAACTGGGCACTGGTTCCCATTCCCACGGCAGCATGAAATGGTCACGCCCACTCTTAAACTCAACTATTTAATATTTTACCAAGTAAGGCCCACTAAGCTATATAGCTCTTTTTCAGAAGCGACCTGACTACAAGTGGGTTATCATGTGGAAATATATAGCAGCCAAATACTCTAAACGCATGTTTCTAAATTTGGAGGGAAAATGCGGATGACTCGCTCGTAAATGTGAGTGGGCCATGCAGTTCCCTACACTGAGCCACCTGGCTCACTTTCCTATGAGAGCAGCAGGACTATGCGGTGGGCTGTCCTCGGACACAGTTTTAACATCACATGATCAACGCGGCAATGACGTACCATCAAGGTCGCGTCTCTTACTCACGGTAAGTGTAAAAAAAAAAAACCCCAGCAGAAATGTACAAAAATATTAAGATTTTAGCTTGGGATGATGCAACCTAAATTCAGCTTATAGTAAACCTAGTTCAAAATCAACTATTTCACTGCCATTTGCCTCCGACTAGAAAGAGGAAGAGGCAGGGGAGATGGATTGGGAGAATAAAAGTAGGGCACGCTGGGCCATTTATGATCGTTGTCGAAACAGCAAGAAACTGCATCACGAGAGATACGTGCGTGTAGGGAGCGGTGGTACAGCGGTTAGCGTGCTGGCCTACAAATCCGGCGACCCGAGTTCGATTCCCACTCACGGCCAACCCCAGTAACGATTATCTGAACCGATCCTGGGCTTCCCATAGGTCGACTCAGCCTCAACTGAATACCTGGTGTGTAAACATTGCCACTGGGGAGACAAAGGCGGTCGGGCGTGGTACTGGCCACCCACCCCCTCGTGTACTGTGCCAGCCTTCACAGGTGCCCGCTAACAGCACTTGCCCCAAAAGTCTGTTAAGGTTATATGGGGGACATTTGTCTTTGTGTGTCGTGAGGCCCTGCACACGTGCTCCCTTGCCCACCTCTGCGACCACTCCAGGTTCATGCCGGATTGCGTGGAGAACGCCTGCAGCATCTCCTGCTGGAGCGGCGTGAGCGTGGGTACGGGGCTGCTCGACGGCGTGGGCGCGGGCATAACGAACGCGCGGCGGATCTCCTCTGTGCTCGCGTTGCGCACAAACAGCTGGTCGTTCACGATGCACAGCCTGACGGCACCATGACAGCATGGGTGGAGGGGCAGGAGGGGGGAGACACGGGGCAGGTTAAGGTTGCGAGAGCACAAGTGGAAGGAGCAGCAGAAGACGGAACAGAGGACAAGCAAGCAGGAAAGATGAGGCAGTAATCGAGGAATGCCAAAACACTTAATGAAGTTCTGATCAAATATGCAATGTAGGACCCTCCCCAAGGCTATCCCTTTATAAAGGATTGCATGTGTTGCCACTGAAAGTGAATCATCGGCTATTTGCTTATAATCATGTATGGATTATTGTTGTATTTATTAAAGATTTCGGTCTTAGGATTTGCAGTGAGATTATGGAGCAGAATTTGTCATCACGTGGAGGCATTTCCACAAAGGAGACACGAGAGTTTTGTGATATGCGGTGGGAGGTAGCTCAGACGGTGAAGTCAATTCAGACAACTGGCTGGTGAATCAGCTCTAAGTCTGTAAACCACATAAAAACGCTAGGCGCCGCATGCAGACTTAATTTCCAAAGCACTGCTCATTTGCAAGAGGAAGTCGCTGGTGGTTGGTGCAGGGAGGGAAACCCTATTTATAGTTATTTCCATTGTCCCTCAAGTGCTTTGTGTTTTTATGCCTCCCATGGAGTGCACTGGGGGAAGGAAAGGAGGCTCACACCCCGGTGCGTGAGGTGCTTCCTAGGTGTGTGCAGTGCGCTTAACTGCAAGGTGTGTATGGAATGTTATCTATGTTTGTTGAACTTCTTTCACACCATACGTAGCCAACCGTGCTAATCGCGTTGACAGGTCTGCTGCTGTCGTTTCACAGCTGTTGGTGTACAGGTTGCCGAGCTAAGAGGTGCATTGTGCAGCGTAATGTTGCGTCACTAGCAGGGGGGCGAGTGGTGTCGATGCAGGATGGACACGCACACGCATTTCAATTAGAAACCTGAACCACGCCGCAAAAAAAACCAGTAGAGATATCACTCAAGACCCTGGGTTTCGCTTCGGGGCACTGTATGTGTGTACAATGTGATTTGTAAAGCGTCAGAATGCGAGGCACGTGCGTGCCACGGTGCTCAAGACTCACCCGCCGTTGGCGGCCGGCACGGCGAGAAACACCCTCGAGAAGGCCCTCACTGACTCACGGCATTTCCCCTCGGCTGAGCATCCACATTGACAGGTAGAAAGAGTAAAACACGTGGATTTAGAGAACATTCCCAGGTAAACGGTATCATTCACACTTTTAAGAAAAACAAATGTGCAGCAAGGATGGCCGATAATAAAGAACGCCAATGGAGAGGGCAAGCCAGGGAGTGGAACGAATATGACAAGGCAGCCACCGAGGAGACGGAAAGCGATGAAAGACTCGTGCGTAGGCGCCGTGTACATTGTTACATTGCATGGTCGTGAGAAATGGTGATGGCTTGAGGCCTTCATCCAATAGTGGAGTGATCATGGCTGATGGTAACGACGATGTGCATTCACAATGGCACAGGCAACACGGGCATTAGATAACCGCGTTGTGGGCAAATACCACCACAGCAGAAGATCAACTACAATGGGTGCGATGGTTTGTAGGGAACGTGACGCCAAATGCACCTGGTGTAGTTAGACCACCATTGCATTGCAAATGATGCGGCTACTGTTGGTTATAAAACTGATGATGATCTTGATGCCGTGTTGATGCTGATGAATGTGAATAAGGCAGCCACTCACTCTCTTTGAAGAAGCCGTTGACTGTGAAGTTCAGCAGGGACGCCTGTAAAACAGGAGTCTCGAGTCTTACTCAGCAGCAACCCAAGAAGTGGAAACTGCAGGGTTAAGGTCTATGCCAGGGTCAACAGCACGAGGGCTGCTCTAAACAGAAAAAGTTATCGTCGGAAGTGGGTCAACAGTACGTGGCCTGTTTGACCAGATATATAGTTATCCTGTGCGGAGAGGATAGGTGTACGTAGCCGTCCGAAGTGAGTTAGGTGATATAGTCCCGTGTGTAATGGTGTAGCGTTGTATGAATAAAAGTTGTCACCTCCAACCAGTGTCTGCAAATGATAACACTACACATGTATGTATGTTGAACTTCTTTCGAAACGTACGTAGTCAACCATGCTTAATCGGAGGTGCGGACAAACAAACAATGTGGTTAAACATTAATAAGTGGCTGAGCCAGCGAGGGCATGCGGGTTACACGGGGAGGTAGTTCAGCAGAAGCTAATTTGGCTCACCAGGTGCACGCTGACGTCGATGACGAAGGAGGGCAAGTCGTGCTGTGTGTGCGGCAGCTCGTTGAGAAATGCCACCACGTTCAGCCGCGTGTGCTTCAACAGCTTCTGCCGCATGACTGCGGGGAGGGGGGACGAGGGAAAGGCGGGTGACAAAACGGCATGAAACGGCGACGCGCGGCAACAGAGCGGGGCGCTCCCTGGCACCAGCCCCGCCAGGAAATACGTAATGTGCGCTCAGAAACGGGCACTCACTTGGATCTTTCAGCCTCTTGATATTCCGGCTCTCTTTGAAGTACTCGCCCAGGCTGCTTCTGTAGGTGCAAACGTCGATTTGGAATATTAGGCAAACTTACCGGCTGCACTTGCATTCGGAATCGTGTTTCATTAGTCATACACGAAGATATTTTTTCTTATGGCATCAAGATATTTTAGCATGAGCCGTTTTTTATATGAACTTGGCAGGCAGACTTAACTTTGAACATTGAAAGTAATCTTTTAATTGATCGCTTGTGGCCTTGTTCATGCCAGGGAGTACTTATGCTGATTTTGGGCACACAAAGGATCTCATCGTCTGCGGTATACAACGATAGATCTGTCCGTGCGAGAGCCTTGCCATCCAGTGTGTGCGTGTTTGTCTCTCTGGGGCAGCAACTCACTTTGAGGGGTTTTGAGGGCTGTGTGGGATGGTGATGGAGCAACAAGCTGTGTCGTGATAAGCGTTGAGCAGACTCTGGCGGTTTGCAGAATCGTACACGGTGAAGTACCTGCCAATGAACAGCACATGCACACAAAAGCACATTAGTCAGCAGTCCTGGGACATTGCATCGATTCAATAACTGAAATCAATTCGCATGCTCAACAACACGTGGTATCGATTTGAACGTGAGAATTTATTATTTACAATTTATGCACATTACATGCAATTATACATTTAGGCTCAAGGAAGAACACCATACATACAAGACGGAACAAATGGAAACTTTAAATTAGATGATTTGCAATTACATTTATAGACAGAGTAACACGTGGATTAGACACCATACATAAGTTAAAGACATCATTGTGTTCAGAACAAGATACAAGTGGGCTTGGATAGGGCAGGTTGCTGGAAGGGATGGCTGGTGGTTGAGACTAACAATGGAGTGGCAGCCAAGGGAGGGAACAAGAGCGATAAAATCAGCTCGCATGCAAGTTATCGGTGGATTATTGCATTGGAGGATAGTTGGAGATGGCGCAGTTCGTATAAGCCTCCAACCCGCAGTGGATTGATCACGGCTGATTATGAAATGTTACATATGGTATTCTCCAAAGTATAAGTGTTTCTTCCATTATTATTTATTTAATTTACTACTTTTTTCATTTGCTGTTCATTGCGCACGATTGAAATCCACATTTCTCAGTCTGTTAGCCGTTAAGGTCATGGTGGGTTTCATTCCTGTTTCCGTATAGCACTGTAACATTCTCGTTTTGCTGTAATGTGGACCGATGCCTACTTTATTGAGCCTGATATTGGCACTGAAAATAAAGAATGTTAGATTTATTGTTTCTCCAGGCTTTAGGACGCACCACCTACTGCTGTTTCAAAATACGGAAGAAAATAGCCCATAATATAATCTGGAAAACTTTGCAACACTGCAGCATGTATGTGTGGTGCCTGGGAAGGTCCCTTACTGCGTGAGAAACCGCAGGATTAGGCTCTTGATTTCATCGTTGGGGAAGTAACCCTCCCTGGTGGGCGGCAAAGTTGTGGGCGCCTCCAGGTCAAACGCGATCGGCGGCGGAAGCTCCTGTCCATCCTGATGGCGAAGATGATAAAAATGACGATGATGATGGCAATGGTGTTGATGAAGAATATGATGGAGGTGATGAATTATTTGATTGATAAGTGGTGATGGCAATGAGGATATTAACAAGGTGACAAAAGTTGCAGTGATGATAGTCGTGATATGGTGATTATGATGGTGGTGGTGACAATGATAGCAATGAAAATGTGTTGAAAGTGATGATTGTGGTAATTATTAAATGATGAAGATCGTTGTAGTGACGATGGTGGTGTAAATTGAGTACAGTGATAATAGTTTTGGTGATGGCAATGACGGTGATGATGATCGCCAGTTGGGCAAAAACAAACAGACATTCAACAGCCATCCACGTGACAATTTGTGTCAGGGTATCATCGATAAACATCACATGTAACATTTGAACACATTTCTTCAGTTAAAGTCACGTAGGTAAAAAATAAAATAACAAAAATAACGACGTTTCGGCCACAACACAAGCGGCCTTCATCAGGTGAAGGGACGAGACTGTCTGGAGGACAGCCCTGGAGTGAAAAAAAAGTCACGCGCAGATCACGACCTTTAAGCTGTGTGAGAAGAAACAAAGCGCCTTGACAAAGGAATTAGGAATAGGTTTTACCCTTTTAACTGGCACAAAAACTGACAACTTTATTCAAGGCATCATGTTTGCAATAACCACAACACAAGCAGTCAAAATGCAAACAAAAAAGACAACTCTGATAATATGCACTGTCCTTGAATTTGATTGGTCCACACCCAAGACAGCTTTCGAGCCTAGTCTCCATTGGTGTTGGACCAGAAGACGCCAAAAGGGTAAAACCTATTCCTATATCTTGTTTCTGGCAAAGGAGGTCTCATAATGTAAATGCTCACCCCGAGCCCCAATACTCTGATAGTGCGCTGTTTTTGAGTTGTACGCCTTTTGGCGTCTTCTGGTCCAACACCAATGGAGACTAGGCTCGAAAGCTGTCTCGGGTGTGGACCAATCAAATTCAAGGACAGTGCATATTATCAGAGTTGTCTTTTTTGTTTGCATTTTGACTGCTTGTGTTGTGGTTATTGCAAACATGATGCCTTGAATAAAGGTGTCAGTTTTTGTGCCAGTTAAAAGGGTAAAACCTATTCCTATATCTTGTTTCTGGCAAAGGAGGTCTCATAATGTAAAGGAATTAGCATAGAATTTAGCATTGAAATGGCTCATTGAAATAGCTAAGTTAAAGTATACACATCCGCAGAGGCACCCCTTGACAAAGGAATTAGCATAGAATTTAGCATTGAAATAGCTGAGTGATTAGCTTGTAACTGGTCACAGAAATAGCTATGTTAAAGTCAGATCATATACATTCACCGAGGCACCTAGTACAAATCAAACAGGAGAATTTAGCAAAACACAACCACGCTCAGACCGCGGACCTTTAAACTGTGTGCGAGCAAACAAGGTGTCCTGACCAGTTACAAGCTAATCACTCAGCTATTTCAATGCTAAATTCTATGCTAATTCCTTTGTCAAGGGGTGCCTCTGCGGATGTGTATACTTTAACTTAGCTATTTCAATGAGCCATTTCAATGCTAAATTATATGCTAATTCCTTTGTCAAGGTGCTTTGTTTCTTCTCACACAGCTTAAAGGTCGTGATCTGCGCGTGGCTTTTTTTTTCACTCCAGCGCTGTCCTCCAGACAGTCTCGTCCCTTCACCTGATGAAGGCCGCTTGTGTTGTGGCCGAAACGTCGTGATTTTTGTTATTTTATTTTTTACCTACGTGACGTTACCCAATAGAACCAAAGAGTATGGATCCTAGCAGTCACGAAAGCTTTAAATCTAGAATTCTTCAGTTAACTTTTTTGAGGAGTTTTAACTGGTGCCCCCTATTACCAAACACTTTCCCCGATGATAAATATTGCAGTGCGAGGTTAGGCTTGAGAGACGACGCGAGGTGGGAAAACTCACCAGCTTCATAAGCTTGGGGAAACGCTGTCGCACGGCGCTGTCGATGCACACACGCACACACGCATGCAGTCAGAGACAGGACACGAGCACAGGGCAGTGGTGGTGCTCACTGGCGCCGTGCCATTCACCCTCACAGGCCCACCAAGCCACCCTACCCGTGGCGTCACTGCCTCACATTTTACCCCCCCCCCCACTGCTTGCCAAGTGACACCCAAGAGACTCGAAGCTTGCCATCACTTCAGCAAATTTCATTCTCGTATTAAAGAAAACGTGAAATAAATTACTTTTTTTTTACGAACGGTTAACGCTTTATGCAGCGCATTGGAAACAATACACTATTTTAAATCATTTTCTTTAATACCGCTGGACTGAATTTTGCTTTAAGGACAGTATAAGTGGAAAATACCGATTTGATTACCCCCTTTGTGTACACAAACCTGCGTCACTGACTGCCACCATATTAAGCCCTTGCTGCCTCCTGTGTTGCTTCACCATGACCTTGGTTGTGAGCAGTGATTGCTGCACTTAGATCACGGTGATTGAATCACGAGCATGTTTTTGTGTGCTCAATATAACCTTGCCATTGCAATGGCACAGATACTAAAGCAGCAAACGTTTCTCGTCCAACAGAAAGCAGCAAGTGTCGAGAGAGATCCCCGACTTCCTGGGCTACGTTACGGGTTGAAAGACTATTGTTTCTACGTCGCCTGCGGAGACCATTATATGTCGAGCATGGCTCGGCATGCTCTACCCGTACAACCGTACTCACCACTGCCAGTCACCGGTCGCGACAAGCGATTCCTACAACCACACTCACACTGCAACTGGAAAATACGACATGAGGGCAGCCGGGTGGCCAGGCAGGCTGGGTGGGCGCCGTTCCAAGAACTGCGGCACCCACGCCACTTTCTGCTCATCTCCGGTAGGAGTTGCGGTGACGTGGGGGCGTCAGGAAAGGGTACACACGTGGGTAAAGCTGTGGGACGACACACTGCACTCCGCCACCCTCAACGGTCACAGCAAAAAAGCAGGTGAGTGACCAAGACGGTGCTGAATCTGCAAGTGAGAGGAGCTCCAGTGAAGGTCATCCCAGTCATTGGAAAAAAAAAGAGTGATGTGGACAATAGAAAGAAAATGTAGGCAATCGCCATTCCAGCCAGGTCAACAGGGAAAATAACAAGTTGCTTAGTTAACAAGTGTCTCCGCTGTCCACAGTGCCCTTAAATAATCCGTGGAATGCATTAAAATGAGTCTGCCTGTTACTGCAGGCATCGGCCTCTTTCGGGGTCTGTCAGCCCAACCCCACCGTGGTGCTGCAGGCTCAGCTAAGGTGGGGAATAAGCGAGGGTACGGGCTGGCCCAGTTTCCCAGCAACATGTGGTCGTCATGGTTCCATTGTTGTAACACTGCCGCTGGTGGTGGCAGTGGTCGGATGGTGGTGGGGTCACTGTCGGTCATTTTCACAATCAGAGCAGCCGCGCCTCTCCGCACCAAACGGGGTTCTCGGCCATATGCGGCCAGAGCCCAGACCACCCCTGCTGCACTCCTCCGCCGCCATGGCATCATGGGTACCTAGTGTAGCGGCAAGCGCCCCTCACGTGGCAGCGCCGGCCCCAAACCCAGCAGATTAATATGCACCTGGGGATGATGTTCGACGATCGCGGTGAAGATGAAAGCGGCGGGTGAAAGGGTGAAGCAGCGTGACAGCGATAGGAGGGCGAAGGGTGCCGACGGTGAGTGGGACCCTTGTGGCAGAGGGGGCAGCAGGGGCAGGGTCGTTGCACGGCCGCGCCTGTCTTAGGTTGTCCCTCGCCGTGAGGGATCTTACCCGTCCTCGGCTAACAGGCCTTCCTCAACGACCCTGTGTGGTTGCGGTGGCCGGGCCGGCACGGGCACGCGGCACGCGTCAACATGGGGGGCAGCTTCCTTCACGACTTCTTCTTAAGCTTCTATTTTCCACCATCGTCTCCTCTCCTTTGATTGCCGAGGCTCGCTGCGCAAGCGTTGTTGTTATGGAGACAGGCTGACCCTCCCGGGACGTTCCCAGCGTTCGTTTAAAACGAACGAGCCACAACAATGGCCACTTTTATTCTTGCCATCTCTGTGTGCCAGCCTGGTGGCAGTCTTTTCCTTCCCACTGCTGGTATCTTTACTTGTCTGTTATAATAGTAATAATAATTTCAACTTATGAGCACAGTATTCACTTACTCTCGAAGAGAGAGAACAACTCGGAGGCACAGTAACAGAGAACGCCTTTATCCTTCTATAGGTTTACCTTTCATCATTAGAAATTAAAAATACTTCCATCCCGTTGACTAGGCTGAAAGTATCGAGTGCACATCATGAAGTGGAGAATGAGATGAATGTCGGAAGAAACGAAGGCAAGGTAGGCTTTCAGAGGAAAATTAGAAATGAAAGATTTTTAAGGACAAAACTTTAACAGAAATGGAAAGGTTGCAGCTGTGAAAATGTCCCCAGGCCTCAGCTTCACCTGTCGGCATGAATGAAACCAATGTTAGCAGGGTCACCGGTGAGAGATGGGAGGCACAATGACGACACAAAGGCCAGAAAACAGACGGCGGTGGTCGAGAGAAACCACGCAACACACTTACAAACACCAAGTCAACAGCACGGATGTAGATTTCCTGACAAGACTGCTCACAAATTAGCAAAAGTGATTCACTATTACTTCTCGCGTGACAGATTCAAGTCTGTGACCGTCGGAAAATAATAAATGCAGCGCACGAGAAGGCATGCATCTCTCCCAACGACTACTTGAGTGAGTTATTAATTTAGGGAGAACCCAGCTGTAGAATGCTCAGTGGGTCTGAGGGATGAGGTAACTACGGCAGACATACAAAAGCCCTTAAGCATATTGCGGTAGCAGTTTGCAGGCCCAAGGGCGTGACAATAAGGCGATGGTGCATCTTGATTAGTCGATGGCAACTGCTTCTTTCCGAATATTTTTCAGTTGCCTATTCGACAACTGAAAAACATTCAACGACCCAGGGTAAAAAGTAAACGTATATCAGTGTACAGTGTTGCGCCTTCTCTAAACAAATCACACAACTCTTCTCGATCTCTGTGTGGCAAGGGTGTGCCTGCCAGTGGGTGTGGGGGAACGGGCGGGGAAGCAGGTGCGGGCGGGCGGGCGAGCGAGCTGACGGGCGGGCGACCTGGTGACCGGGCGACAATGCATGCCCCACGGTTCACGGCAGCGGCACGGGGATACGGTACCTGATGTAGGCCGACTGGTCACGGAAGGAGTCGCACAGCGAGTTGCCACTCAGCCACAGCTCCTCCAGCTTGAAACCCTTGATCCGGTCCAGATCACGTTCGGACTTGAGCTACGCAATATGCAATACCATTTGCGTACGATTAGTGGTTTGAATGGCCACACCTGATGTCAGATTTCCAACTTAACAAGGTAGGGGGCTTTGCAACATGCGTTGATCTCTGGAAGTAGTTAATTAGCAGTACGAAGATTGATGGGTGGATGTCAGAGCAAAATGTGTTTTCCTATTTTAAAATAGTTTGTTGTGTTGTCTAGGTCTCCTAACTTTTAAACAAACCTTTCATAAATATTGGTGGTTTAAACAGGCTAATCCCAAATAGCTTCGTAACTTTAAACAAAAGTTTTGTTTACATTGGACCATCTTTAGTTGAATTATAGTGCCTCCTAACCCACATCTGGTACCCAAGAGATATAAATGCTTGCAGAAAACTCTTCAAAGCCCAAAAAATATTTCCAAGAAGTAACGCATGCATTAACCGATTAAATTCACCACACTCGCAGTGCACGTGATAATAAATTATCTAACAAAATGAAAAATAAGGCTAAAGCAGAAACAAAACTACAACATTGGAAGACCACCTCAATCGTGATTCTTGAATCGAATTGTTTAAAGATACATTGAATCACTGTCAGGATGAGATTAATAATGACAAGATGTGGGTCAGAAAAAATGTGACATGATCAGTGGCAGTAGTACGCACCTCGTTTCTGGAGAGGTTCATGGTCTTCAAGGACGGCGTGTGCTGGGCCAGTTCGGCCAGGTCGTCCAACCGGTACAGGCGATTGCTGCTCAAGTTGAGGGACATGATCTGCAGGAGCGGAGGGACAGGGAGGCACAGCACGTTTACAAATTTCCATCAATGTGGACAGATTGTGCATCACATTCATATGGGCTCCGACCCCATTGCAAACGTTTCAGTAGCAGAGGCAACAATGCAAAATTTTTGACTCTCCATCAGCAGTTTGATTTTATCCCGAGTTGACAGGAAGTTGTGATCGCTGGGTACAACATGCGCTATAATAATGGCAGAGATGCCCATTTACGGCTGTTGAAACATGCCTCTAATCTAACATTTTGGAGAGGTTTGGTGCATCACATTAACCTTCGCAACTCCCATATCTACGACTGAGGTGGCTATGAAATAGCAGTACAGGAAGTGGATTGAATCGAATTGTGCCTAGCTTTGAGTGTTATCCCCTTGTATGTTTAGCAAGTGTTCTCTGGCCTATTATACATATTTTCTTATATCTAAAGATAGTGCTTATAAGGATGATTGCTTTAATGTGCTCATTCCAACACCACTGCCTATGACAAAATTATCCTGAATGTGCCCGATATAGGTGAACCTAGGAAGATAAGCAAGTTAAGCATGGTTAGTACTTGTGGACGTGGGGCTGCCAGATGTGGCCAAGAGATGGCAGTGCTAAGTGTCACACAATGCCCCCCTCCCCCCTTCGTGTACGGCCTGGTGAGTTTCCTCCGGGTTCTCCAGTTTCCTGACAATGCTAAATACACATGAACTGAATGGGCCCAATATCTGAGCGGAGGACCCTCCTAAAAAGCATGAACACTCAAGGAAGCTTTTCTGGAAAAGCAAAAGGCATTAATATTACAGTGGTACCTCGGTATACGTCATTAATTCGTTCCAGAAGGTAGGACTTACACCAAAAATGGCGTATACCAAACGAATTTTCCTCATAAGAAATAAAGGGAAAGGAAATAATCCGTGCCAGAGTATAAGAAATGATATTTTATATGGCATATTATACATTAATGGGGTTGTATAAGATAATGTAGATGCTACTTATTACTAAAATGCATACAAAAAATAAGATGACAAAAAACACGTGAAAATTCACAGAGTCATAGCAAGGGTTGTGCACTGAACAAGATCTACTGTACAGGCAGACTGAGAAGCGGCGCTTTGTTTCAGTCATGAACGGGGTCTACGCGGGTACGCGGTGACTCATCCCGACCCATACAAGTTCTTGCAAGAGCGTCGTATCCCAAGCAAGACGTCGTATCACAAAGACATTTTTTTCTCGTCAAAACACGACATATTCCAAATTCGACGTATTCCAAAGCGGTCGTATACTGTGATATGACTGTATTTAAGGAAGATGTCTGTTGGAACTTATTTTGCCCCATACATAGCCAACCCCACTAACTGGAGGTGCAAAACTCCAAAATATATTTTATTGTGGACACATGAAGGCTGCGTTTAAAGGGATCCCCAAAACGTGCTCATTCCTAATGAAGGCTTAATTTCACAATGCCGAGAGCACATGTGAAATAAAGAAAAATAATACGAAAGTTACTCTTTGGTTCTTTCGGTAAAGTCACGTTGGTATACAATAAAATAAATCACGACGTTTCGATTGCAACACAAGCAATCATCATCAGGTGGGAAAACCACAGCAAGAATTTTTTCTTCGAAACGTCGTGATTTATTTTATACCTACGTGACTTTACCGAAAGAACCAAAGAGCATGGATTCCTGCAGTCACGAAAGCTTCAAATCTAGATTAATACAAAAGTTATTTCGGTAAAGTCACGTAGGTAGAAATAAAATAAATCAGTGAACCGTTATGTGTCTACAAATCAGTGATTTGTTTATATTTTATTTCTACCTACGTGACTTTACCGAAAGAACCTAAGAGTATGGATTCCTGCAGTCACGAAAGCTTCAAATCAAGATAATACAAAAGGCTGACGAGAGGAGAGGCCGTACTGTGGGTATGTTCTCGCTGATGATCTTGGTCACCGCGTCCATGCAGCTCTTGCGGTTCATGACCAAGTCAACGCCTCGGGCCTGAAGCTCTGGGAGGACAGCACACACGACATCGCGCACCTGAGGACCATGTTGGAAAGTAGTCACGTAACGGTTCAGTAATTTGTGCATTAAAATTATATTCTCAATCTCATGATACAAGAACTCGACTGTTCATACGAGGAATTACAACCTAGCAAAGTAACGTTCACGTGTTACTTTTATGTTAACGGAATGAACAACACAGAAATTATGAGTCAGTTATATAAGAGCCATTATAAACAATACATAAGTCAATCCCTGAATTAAATAGTATCCTTTAATCGTGATCATTTATAAAAACGCAAGAGGTGATGTGGGAAACCACTAAACACTTTGTGAAGTGTAAATTAATATATATTTCTTAAAATAAAATTATACATAAGTTTTAGGAGTTACCTTCATCATTTCTTATTCCACTCAAGTCTAGGGCTTGTTCAGCAGGTTCAAATCTTCTGCTTAAACATTCCTAGACAAGACAAGCGCAGACACACACAGCGTCCAATACCTACTATCACCTAGGAATGTCCTTAACGCTCGTGACGTCACTCCACATCGCCCAGCCCCCCTCATTAATATTCATGCACAGGTGACAGCCTCCAAATGGACACCCCCCACCCCTCCTCATTAATAATCATGAGCAGGTGACGTCACTCCACATCGAACAGCCCCCCTTAATAATGAGGTGACGTCCTCCAAATGGGCACCCCCCCCAATTATTATCTACTATGAGCCAAGAATGCCTGTGTGCAAGGCTCGTGACGTCACTCCACGTTGACTAGACCCCCTCATTAATAATCATGAGCAGGTGACGTCTTTCCACATGGAGCATCCTCCACCCTCATTATTAATCATGAGGTGATGTAACTCTACGTCGAACAGCTCCCCTCATTAATAATCATGAACAGGTTACACCCTCCATATGGACCCCCCCCCTCATTAATAATCATTCACAGGCGATGTCCTCCAAATGGACTCCCCCCCCCATTCATAATTAGCGGGTGACGTCACTCCACATGGGGGGACGAGGCGCCTCCTCCCCCCTCCTCAGCGTCAACTTACAACCCTCACTACAAAGGCAGAACCCTCACGTCACGCGATCTCCGTAACGCGATTGAGACATCAAAGTAAAAAGGACGTCATGATGAACAAGGGATTATAACCTTAGAATTAAATAGGTCTGTGTCACCGCGCCCTTACAAATTGCACACGCATTAATGCAATGAATATCACGTCGCAGTCTACTTTTCGCTTGCAAGTTTCAGATTTACTGCAATACACAAAAGGCTAGTTTTAGCACCAATTACGGCAAATGATATTACCCAAACACTTGCAAAGACACATTGGATGGGTGGGGTTAATAACACTCATAGCTGGCTGCCTTTGCCACTCACAATGCTATGTTGTTTACATAAGAGCGCCAGATGTTAATTTAAGGTCAAGTTGACCAAACCGAGATGTTAATTTCTGAAGGAGTATGGCCATGGTTGCCAGGACCACGGTAGTGTGCTCACTCAACTACAACACCAAGGACAAAGATTCTACATTTAAAATTCCAGACTATCGAGGCAAGTGCTGTTATGGCTCACAAGAGCAGAAGGTGGTTTACACTACACCCAGGTGCATTTCTCTCCAATGCTGATATTTACACACCTCAACAGGTAATTGTTCAGGTCTAAGTGTAACTAGGGGAAGTTCATGATAGGTTCAGATGAAAATACCACTTGCCACTGATGTTGCACATGGTTTGAAATCTAACTCTGATGACTAATCCACTATTCCACCGCTCTCCACACACAAAGATCCCCCGAACAGCCATTAAAGACCGTTTGGGCAAGAAACTGCGAGTAAGCATGTATTAAAACTGGGACAGTGCACGAAGGGATGGTGTGGTTAGCACCATGCCCCTGTGTTAATGTTCGCTTAGAACACCAGGTATTGTCATGTAAAGTTAAGTCGCCCCAGACGAGGTCCGGGACTTGTTTGCCACGAATTGAAGTAGGACTTTCGGATTTTTTACGCAGTGTGCGCACACAAAGACACACACACACAGCAGCGTTTCACACATTGCAGGTGGTTGCCGACCATGTGCATGACCTCCTCACCTTGATGTGCTGTAGATCCTCCTCTTTCAGGTCATTAAGGAGCGATGGCGGTGGGCCCGACTGGTTCATTACAACGGCGACCTACAAGCGGAGGAGGGAGCGGCCACAATGATCAGCTTGCCACAGGGATTATGGGCACACTCTGCCGTTATTTAAACTTAATGTTGTTCATCCAATAGGCAAATAATGATGCATCGATTCTTGTGTTCACACTACTTGCAGCAAATAGTGTGCGTGTGAGAATTGTAATAAATGTCATGGGTAAAACAAAACCGTACTCATAACACAAGTACAAAACATGTGAATTGATTTTTATTTGAATCTTAACTACCCGCAACAAGTTTAATTACCAGACTCATAATTTGATTAAAACATATTTTAATTTACGATTGTGAAACGTGTTGAATGGATGCAGAGGTCACATAGAGAACATATACAAATCGAAAAAATAATTATTCTTGCACTTATGACTCAATGCACGCATTGCAGGTATAGGAATACATATTAACTGATTACGTCAATATCCCATGACCTGCAGTTCACTTTGGTGGAAATCTTAAAAGGAGATATCTTGAAAGGCTGCATCAGGATAATCATAATGCCCTTCATCCAGGAAAACATCAGAGCTTCAAGACACTTTCAAAGCGCGTGGTGCTGTTTGCCGATAGGTGAACTGGGTGGTAAACCAACGGTTTAGCCAATGCACTTACCTTAAAGTTGTCGGTGTCCACTATCTGCCGCGAGATGCTCTTCAGAGCTTCGGCTGCCGCGCGGTCCTCCAAGTGGAACACTGCCCGCTTGTCTTCATAGTGGAACTAAGGAAGGACATGCACACATACACGCATGTGAGCGAGCATGCTTGTATGTGGGCTCTGTTTTTACAGAGATTAACAGAGCTATGGTCATCCAGCATAACATGGTTGGCATGGGCCCTGTTGCTAGGACTGCAAGTAGTGAGGTTAACCTGTCCATATTCTCCCTTCGTAGCCAGAAATATGGGCCTCTTTGGCCTGTGGGCCCTGGTGCAGTTGCACCTGCCTAGCCACTAGATGGCTATGTTGTCAGAATTATGTGGAGCTAAGGCTACAAAATTATAATTTGTTTTCAGGATACGGAGATCTTGGCCTAGGTGCAGGCATGGACTCAGTCATTCACAAATCGCAAAAAACTCAACATTCGGCAGCAAAACTACATTGAAAGGAAAGGCATATAATATGCGACGTTTCGACCAATGACCAGTCCGCATACAACAGACCATTTAAAATCAAGTAAAACACGAGTTTTATGTTAAATTATCTTCACAATAAACCAACTGGTATGTGAAATCAGGCAAAATTAATATTATGAATGCGTTTTACAATACAGATCATGGAAGTAATTTACATAATGGTTTGACTTAACAAAGCTCTGTTAAGCAGATTTAAAGACAATGGATCCTGAAAAGGTGATCCTGTGGCAATAATGCCAAGAGGAAGTAATAAAGCAATTGTGAGTCTATTATTGTTGCAGATTAAATGCTCGACAACAAAGAGCCCTGACATTATTATCATCCAGTCTATCCTCTGCTGAGTCAATATGCCCCTCATCTCATTGTCATCCTTCATGGTTCTGCCATGCTACACAATTATTTCGTATTTTTTTTTACAAATGCAGGGTTTACAATTCATTGTGCCACTGCATCTAAGCCTTAAAAGTCTTGAAGACTCGGTGCAACTGCTTGTGGCAAAATCTTAAATTCTATGTCATGTCTACTCAATTCTTCCTCGCTTCAAGGCAGCAAGTGTGGGCAAGCATGTCCTAGCCTGCTGACACATCAGCACCTCTGAGAAAGTTGATGCTGGCCACGGCATTTAATACTCACAGGTGTGCACTTAACACAAAATCCAAGGGACTGCATTAGTAGTCTCTGAATTTCAGATGTCAGATTGTATTAAGTATAGCCTGGGGGGAGCAGTTGAATATTTATTAGCACACTGTGCTAAAAATTCAGTGATCTAAGTTTGATCCGGGACGTGGGTCTGTGTCCTTCACCAACCCACACTAACCAACATGGTAAAGTACAGTCATATAACCCATACAATTGACACGGCATAAAGACCTTTATCCAGCAGTGGACGACAAAGGGCTGTATATTATTTCTATAATTAAGCATCGCCTATCAAGATTTGTAAGGCACAATATGCTCTTGTATGTTCAAAACTACAAGATCATAATTAATGAGGGTAGCAACACAAAGTTGCTGTGAAGGAAAACAAAAGCTTTGCATGTTGTACCAACAAATCCCATGTTTGCTGCCTGACATTCGGCATGCAGCTGACAAAAGCCACTACTTTAAACTGAAAGCATCATCGTTGTGGTCGTTGTCGCAACACAATCACAGTACAACCTTGAGCACTGAAAAAATGGCAATTTGACCAGACGTAGGGGGGACATATTATGTTGTTCACAGCAAGGTAAGAAATCAAAATATGCCCAATGTAGCCTTTTCATGAATTGATAAGACTTGGGGAAAGTTCTGTTAATGAGGATCATTTGAAAGCTGGGACAGTCCACGAGGTGGTGTAACTATCACCATGCCCAGCCACTTTTATCTCCCCAGTGCGGTTGATTACACACCACATCAGGTACTCAATTAACGTTGAGTCGACCAGGACCTGTTCAGATAGTCACCACTGTTGGTCACAGCCATGTAATCAAACTCAGGTGGTCGGATTGTTAGCGGGGAGACCAGGCGCACAACAAAAACAGCCATTCGTTACTAAGTGGCAGTGACATCACCAGTATTTGTACTAGGTTGGGGGCAGTTCGAGGCCACACGAATACAAACATACCTGCACGGGAGTGAAGGGCGTGGAGGAAGCCTGCTGCAGCGACTGCAGAAGCCACGTCTTGTTGTACTTTTTCCCGAAGGGAATCTGATGCACACACGAAACAGCAGCAACGGGGCGCTGAGTGAAAGATTTGTGCCAAGAAGGGCATCAGGTGTGTAAGAGAAAATAAAATGTACTTGACTTGAACAAGATCCTAGGGCACAAATAAACATATATGGGGGTGCGGGCACAGCTCTGCATTCGTGAAGTAAAAAGTCAAAGACATTTCAACATTTTAAAAGTAAATATCTGTATGGAATGCCAGTGGTGCAGGTGTCACATTGAAAAATATAATGTAATGTTACTATGTTCTGACCTCTTTAAAGAACGTTCAATGGTATTCAAATTAAATTCAACACTAAGTATAATTATTTTAATTTGTTTTAACCATTCACACCTCGATCAGCAATTGCACCCCCCCTCTATGAATAAACAGTAACAACATTACAATTGGACTTTTAATAATTCACCCCCACAATGTTTCACGAATTGTCATGTTTTGGGGTCATCACTCAATAATTAATTTTTGGCCTGTTTTCCTGTTTCGGTGTATTGTAAAAAAAATTCTACTTAATTTGTAGTTTTGTTTAATTTATCAAAATAAACTCAATATTCGCATATCAATTATAGAAATAATTAATTCAATGCAGATATCACACACATATTTACAACTACCAAGTTAAAAAAATACGTCATGCACCTTAATTGACTTGGCGATCCATGGGTTGTTTTGGCTGGCAGCACTGGGACATGAGTTACAGCAATGTAAACAGGCTCAAAGACTACAATCAGATTTCAACCTCAACTCATTCCCATGTTACATATTGAATTCTGGGATTCCAGACATTTTGATAGGGAATGTGAGCATGTGTTGTTCATCCTAAAAATAGCCCTTCTTAACTCCCCCTCCCTTTTTCATCATTATCAGCCCCTTTTTATCTCTGGTTATATTTCTGTGGACTTCAAATTGACACTAAACATTCCCGGTGTAATAATGCATGTGATGCAGATGTGAAGGACAGTGCATGCAGCCAGTGTTATTTTTAACATTTTAATTTTGGTAATTATTGTTCGGAGTTCTTGAACATAATTAAAACCCAAATAAACATGTCATGAAAATCCTATTGGTGCAACTGTCGACTTTTACAATCAGCATCTCATTCTCAAAACCCTGCTGTCCCAGGTGGTCCATCTCCACGTGTCTGGGAACTTGCTGCACTTACCGTGATCTTGTACCACGACGACCGCTCCCTGTGGCCTCCGCTTGTGCTGTGTGACGGTCGCCCTCCATACCCCGTCGAATCGGGACGGAAAGTGACCTCAACAGCCGAGCGCCGGTGGTCTGTCCGCTGCTGCTGCCGCCACCGATTGGGATTGGTTGAGTACGGTGTGCTGGTGACGCCAAGCCGAGTGCGCCACAAAAACACAGAAAATTACAGCACCCTGCGGTCAGCAATCAGTCAGGAGGAAGCACATATGCACTTTTCCCTGAGCTAGCATTAAGCCCAATTATAGGCTGGAATTGTTAAAATATTACTCGCCATAACCAGGAAAACTCAATTCAAATGGATCGTCGTGCAGGGTGCCAACCACTGTGCCACCACTCTTCACACCACTTCTCACACATATTTGTGCACTTGGAATAATACGTACAATCGCGCCCGTGAACTTGGCATATCTTCCCACATGTCCACGTCATCATCGTCATTCAGATGGGAGCGGGGGTTTGGGCCACCTATTCTCCCACCTCCACCTCCCCTGCCGCCGCCGCCGCCACCACCGCCACCACCGCCACCACCGTTATTCCTGCCTTTCCGATTTCCCCTAAAATATCCATGTCCACTTCTTCTGCCGCCGCCACCACCGCCGCCACCGCCGCCACCGCCACTGCTGCCTCCTCCACCGCTAGAGCGTGCAGGGGACCCCGACGACCTCCCATCCATGTAGAGTCTAGGGCCTCGACCCCTGTTCCTCCGGTCTACAGCCTGAGACCCCGTGCGATCGTCATGTTCTGTGCACACAGAATGGGACGGTAGAAGAATGGGACACCAAACAGTTCATTCAGTGGTTGAGAATGCAGATCTAAAACAATACTTTAGCGCACAGGATAGTGCTATTGAAGTGGTCAGCGAACCGAGCTGTGAATCTGGCTAAGTTAGTTTCCGAGTCACCACGACTAACATGTGTCAATTTATATATAAACCGGTTCTAGATCCATCATCCCTCCAACAATCCGCACCGAGAGTGAAGTATGGCTAACAACCCCCACGATTGTCACGGCCTGGGAGGGAGGCCTTCTAGCACCGTACCTCCGATTACACGGTTGGCTATGTATGGTGCGAAAGAAGTTCAACAATGCAAAGGTCTGTAAATTGTTTTATATCTTGATACAATCAAGCGTTAATCCTAACGACCACTGCTGCCAAGATGATAGTGTTCAGAGTGGAAGAGTGCCAAGGGTTATATGTTAAGAATGACAGTTTGGAGTTTGTTAGATATTGGTTGCATAGATGTGCGTGCATGGGATTAAATTAAAGTAATTGTACTTTACCAGGTAAGGCCTATCGAGCTATTATAGCTCTTTTTCAAAAGCAACCTGGCCACAAATGATTGTCCGACTAAGTAGCTTATCGCGTGGAAAAGTATAGCAGCCAAATGCTCGAAAAGCGTGTTTATAAATGTGGAGGGGAAAAAAACGGAGGGTCCGGAGAATAATCCACACGACTGCGGGGGTAGAGCCAGACAAATTCCAAATTCACAGTCGTCGGGGTCGGGATCGAACACACATCCTCCCGTATACTAGGCGAGGGAGATAACGTCTTGCCACCCTATACAGTTGGAATTGTGTAGCTATGAATGTACACGTAAAGCCCCACGGTGCTTACGCACGCCGCTGCTGTTAGAGAGTGATCTAGATGGCTTTATATTATATAAGAAAATCGCAGGTGATCCAATATGTACATACATGTACTGCTCTTTTAGAAATCCACTGCTGGATGAGGGCTTCCCCACGCCGTGTGGGTCATGGTGGGGGGTCATTTGCTCATATCCCGCCACCGCATATTACACGGACAGAAATAGGAGGCACGTCGATTACTGTACCAACACGGTTACATAACACGACGGTGTCTGTTGGGAGGGGATGATGCCGATGATGATGACGGTGGTTAACGACAGAGCGGCAGCCAAAGGGAGGCGAGGCGAAGCGGGGCCAAGAACGCCTAACACGCAACAACAAAAAAAATCACGGCAGCCGTGGAATCATCTTCGTGGGTAGGTGCCGACGCGTAATGTTAGGCCGCGAGGGACGGCGGTGACTTGCGGAGGGAAAGAGAGATGCTATCATCCAGCAGTGGATCGACCACGGTTGACAGGAGTTGAGGGAGGCGATGTGGAGGCCTTCGGCAGGCCTCGCCTGACTCACCGCTATAATGGCGCCCGTCGAAGAACTGATCGGCGTCTTGCTTCTGCGACATCTTTTTGAGGGATATTTAATTAAAAAAAACAACCACAGGTTACTCTTGTAACCAGACCGAACTTCGAAGACAGCGTTTTTTTCCCGCCGTGGTTTTCGTGTGTGCGCGCGCGTATGTATGTCTTGATATTGACGAAGGTTATTGTGCTTCGACGCTTACGGGAACGATTGCAGGGGAAGCCCTACCCCCTCTGCTCGAGACTCGCGGACGAAAGTTAATCTCGCGAGACTCGGCGGCGCGAGACTTGGTGGGGGGGAGGTGTGTAGGGGGGGTCGCCCAGTCCCCAACAGCGTTGTTGCCAAGTCCGCTTATAATACTTTAAAAAATGATCTGACTTCGATTATAACGAGTCGAATTCGGATCGAGAGTCGGGAGTTGTGGTTTTTTTTTTAGGCTTCGTTTAATTTGGAGGTCGCGGTTGGCCTGTGTAGGGCAGATGGGGGGGGGGTGCCAGTGCTTTGCGCTCACGAGAATGTTACCAACATTGAGTGATGATCTTTTGTTTGTCACAACTGCGTGCGTCGCTCGCGAAGTTGTTACTTTAAATCAGGGGTCACCAAACTTTTCTCACAGTGGGCCGGATAACTGAAAGAATGACGAGCGCGGGCCGCATAATAAATAAATAAATATTCCTGGAGCGTTCGGACCTGTGTTGACAGCTGGAAAATCTGGGGGCGGGAGAGATGCGTGTTTGTGTGTGTTGCCATGGAAACCATGGTAACGTGTTGCCATGGAAACCATGGCAACGTGTTGCCGTGACGTTGCCATGGAAAACATGGTAACGCAGAGCGTAGGCGGAGCTACCACGAGCCGGGGAAGTACTTGGGATGGCGCGAAATAAGCAAACGTTACAATAAACAAGAAAATCTAGATACAATAATTTTAAATAGTAAATTTAAGGAACATAATAGTCAGGAGGTCTCCGCACGCGTGAAGATCTCCTAGTATTCTAAACATATAAATTGTATCACGTCTCGTGTTCCATACGTTTTCATCAACCAAATTCAAGTACCGTCGGCGGGCCTGATGGACTTACGTCGCGGGCCGGATGCGGCCGCGGGCCGTAGTTTGGTGACCCCTGCTTTAAATGAATTATTTTGCCACGTGTATTGTGCAACTCAACATTGTTTGCAGATTTAAAAAAAAAACTGGAGCAGTGTACTAAAACAAACAAAAAAGGATTTTACATGAACACCCTCCACTCCCACAGACTGATGTTTCCCAACCCACAAAGACAAAGATCCCCCTGCATATTATTGGATCTTTCGGTAAAGTCACGTAGTTAAGTTCAAAGAACTTATCTACGTATCATATCTACGTGACTTTACCGAATTCCTGAAGTCACGAAATCTTTAAGTCAAGATCCCCCGTATAGCCTTAACAGACTGTTGGGGAAAGTGCTGTTAGCGAGCACCTATGAAGATCGGAACGGCAAACGAATGGGTGGCCAGCAACCTTGCCCGACCGCCTTTGTCTCTCCCCCAGTGGCGATGTTTACTACAAACCGCACCAGGTACTCATTTGAGGCTGAGTCGACCTATGGGAGGCCCACAACCTGTTCACATAACGGTGATTGATGTTGGCCGTGAGCGGGAATCGAACCCCCGGGGTCGCCGGGTTCATGGTGTAGGCTAGCGCTAACCACTACACCCACCGCTCCCAGCCCACGGCACCACCTGCACGTGCAGTCAGCGAGGACAGATCGTCATCACACTGGGCTGAGAATTCAGAAAAAATTTCGCCTTCAGTGGCTTGCGGCGGTGGCATTGGCCCAAGCGGTCGCGCGTTTGCCGCTTGTTGTTGCAGATGTGTGCACGGTTCATTACCAGCGGCCGCTCCGATTAATACTAAGGATTTAATAAACAGTAAAAAAAAACAGATATACCTTTTGATTTAAAGCTTTCGTGACTGCAGTAATTCATATTCTTAGCTCTTTCGGTAAAGTCACGTTGAAGGGAAACAATAAAATAATAAAATATATATAACAATAAAAATTCTCACGTTTCGACCATAACACAAACGGTCATCAGGTGTGTCGGTTCGCATTAATTTATTTATTTTTAAACGGTGTCTTTATTTATAAAAAAACGTCAGCGCCACGCGCAGCGATTTGTCAGTTTATTTAGAAGGACTAGTCCATCTATGTTCTGAAAAGACGAGGGGGGAGACGAAAAATTAATGCATGCTGTCTGAAAGCCACCGTAAGCGTGAACAATCAATTAAGACCTGAAATGGTTAATGCCTCCTATTTCTGTCCGTGGCTTAGCAATCATTGGAAAGATTTGATTAACCATTTCAGGTCTTAATTGATTGTTCACGCTTACATAAATCCCGTCACGTAATTCGCACGAGGAGACCATTACGTGCCGGCGTTCTGGTTCAGATTTGCCAATTGTTACGTAGAATGAATTGCCTCGCGACTGTGAAATTTGGCGTAATACTCGGCGAGACTTTGCTGGTTCAACAAAACGTGATCAAATCAATACCCAGACTCTTTTTATGTGTGTTCGGGGGGGGTGATATCCATTTTTGGAGAGTCGGGGGTTGAGGGGGGGCCCTAGAAAATATTACACGAGAAATTAAGCCCCGCTCGTAATGAGCATCATCAGCCGTGATCAATCCACTGCTGGATGAAGGTCTCGTCGAGCTTAGGCCGTCTCTCATGGGCCTGCGATGCAACAATCCATCCAAACCCTGAACATGAGCCGATTTAATCCACTTCTGCGATGGACGTCCTTTTGGGCATTCTCTCCTTTGCCACTCACATCAGTCTCAACCACCAGTGATCTTCCCTTCCAGCAACACATTCAGGCCTTCCCCACTTTTCTTAAGTCAAAATAACGTTTCTAACTCTGAATAATGTTTCTCTCTGAATCACGTGTTCTTTTTTCCATCCCTCGGTGCAATTCCGGGCATTCATATCTCCATTTTGTAAAGAACTCATTTATTGTATAAAGTTGTGCTGCTCTAATGGACTTACCCCTTGAGAAAACTTGCCAAGATCGATGAAACGGTTGCCAGAAAACTTTGCGATTAAATGCAGTCCTGAAATTATTCTCTTTGCCGGCCAAAGCGATTGTCTCGTGTCACGCGTGTGCCATGTCTCCCCTCCAGATGAAGTAATGAAATACGATATCATCTCATGTTGCTTGTAACGTAACGTCGTTCATCAAAATACTTCCCAGGACAAGCGCATGTTGGAAAGCGTGATAGAACCCATGCACGTGCAAGCTTTTTCTTCCATAGAATCTGTTCCAGTCATATAAAAAAAACTAAAAACGCATGTGTTAGAAACGACATTGCATGTATTTATTGTCGGAGACAACAGAGGGCACTGCTGTTAAAACTAGCGGTTGTGTGCAGCGTTCGTGCATACAGACTGAATTTCATAACGGGACATTACAAGTTGGCTGATAGAGAACTATGAATGCATAAAAAAAACTAGGAATGTAATTATGCATAAGGTTATTGGGAGGGGAGTAGCGTGGTTGACTTGTATCCTGGTGCACGGAATATTGTATCATGGTCCAATTTCCCACCCCCTCCACTTTGTAGGCCATCGCCTGGGATTATCCTTCCCACGTACCCCAGTGCAGGTGCACCGCCTGCACCCTCGACAATTACGCTACTGGTCCTTTGTCTACTTTTTCAGAGGTTCAATAATGCATCGATTAATATGTATTCGTACCCTCATGATGCATTAATCGTCAGATCTTTAAAATGTATATTAAGTTAAAATTATAATGGTCATATTGCATTGAGGCTAATGGAGCACACAAAAATACAACACAAAACAGGCAAGAAAAATGAGTCTGCTAAGACTTCAATACATTCTTGAATCGAAATGCAACCCTGAATCATGAACGTTCATCTAATAACATTATGCATTACATACCTAATGAAAACAGCTGATATTAGCTCTTTGGTTCTTTCGGTAAAGTCACAGACAACACAGATACTCTGCTTGTGTGTCTGTGTGTCTCCGTGTCTGTGTTTTGTCTCTCTCTCAAATTTAGCAATCTTTGGAAGAACGTAATCAACCAGGTAGGGTGTTGACTGTTGTGTTAGCCGACTCTGTGTTGTACTGCATTGTAATTCTAAGTTCACTAGGTTTGTTTTCTACCTGATGACGGTTGCTTGTGTTGCAATCGAAACTTCGTATTCTATTATTTAATTTATTTTCTTTCTACGTGACTTTACCGAAAGAACCAAAGAGTAATTGCTGCAGTCACGAAAGCTTCAAATCAAGCTGATATTTGCTTTCCAATCATTGCAATTTTGTATCGTGAAATCTAAATGCAAACCTGCACAACTCATTGTAAACAATGAAGTATCCCCCCCCCCCCCCAAACTAAGTGTGTATATGTCAACGTATACAATTGTAAATGTGCTTCTGTGTGGGTGCATGTGTATACTGCAGTAAACAATTTATTCCCCACAGTGCCAAGCTTGCAGTCCCATAACGCTTGAACATGACATCATGTTGAAGGAATCGAGTGTATTTACAAGTCCGCGATAATTTTAACGTTGCAGATTAACGCATGGGACAATAATTGACCCTGTTATAGATCCGTAGTAAGTGGTGGTATGACATCCCAGTTAATGCATCCTCAATAAAAAAAAGTTTCACACCGACGGGGACACCTTAGTCAATACACTACCGTGTCGGTCATGGGGAGGTAATTTGACCATACTTCACCGTGCTGGTTGACACCAATAGGAGCCTCAAAATAAAACGGAGGTAACTGCTGGCAGTGACATCTAAACAGACTGAAACATCCCCTTCACCGTCATCTCGTTCACTGCTCTTAAGAGCCACTGACGTCAACATTGTATGTACATGTACAGTCCTTATGTCAATCCACTTCTGGATTAGGACCTCCCCATGCCACTCAGGTTGTGAAAGTTATTTAAACATTACTTCACCATGCTGGACAGTGCGGGGTGGTGAAGGTGAGGAGCATAGACAATGGAGCATAGTACAGTATATCAAATTATTTTGCTGTAATTGCCCTCTGCTAAAAATCGTTCAGAAAAATCATCAGCGTGCAGTCGACAAAACTGGTCCATTCGGCAGCACTGGTTCTTCCGGCAGAAATTGGCGATCACGTCAGGTCAAACGCATGGTAAGGATGACTTATTCATCGCTTATTCATCGTGGTTCGTTTTAAATTTTCAAGTGAATTCACAGATAACATAACAGGTAAATTAAAAAAATCACAGGTTTTCATTCAAATGTCACTGAGAGGAATAAGAGATGTAAACTTTTTGGCTGACTAACCTTCAGGAAATATGTAGATCCACAGAGAGAGGCTTAGTAATGTGACATTGAGAAGAAAATATTGTCAATCACTGTCTTCCAAACAATAAATATTCGGATTGTCTGACTAAAGTGCGATGAGTTTTTGTCATTGTGCCAACATCCCATTCAATAGGTGGTGCTTTTTCAACCTTATAGTCTGTGCATGTAGTAAAACCATCCTTAAAAACACTTTCATTTGAGTGCAAAACACAGTAGCAATTATAATCAGGACATAATTTCAGCTCTGTCCGGGTCGGTGACTCCAAAAGTAATTCCGCAGTTGGCACAGCGCATCTAGTATATCTCTCGCTATGGCTGTGGCTACTACTAGTCACGTGCCTACTCCAGTCTCCCAGCAACCAGGTAAATATTCCATGAGAAATTTAATTCCTGGTAAATGTAATGATAATAATAACACAATCACGGTGGTGGCCATAACTGAGCATTGTCACTGCACAGAAGTGAGCCGCGCTCACGATGTGCCATTGGTGTTTCCTCCTGCGAGTTCAACTCCTCCCCTCCACGGCCGATCATCTCCAAGGTCTGGTCCCAGCAGCGAGAAGAGACGCACACCTCCCTTAGCTGAGGGGCACAATTCGCCCCACACGGACGAGTCTCGCTCCAGAGTTGACAGACGCTGCAAGGAAACCATCAACACAATGCACAGAGAGAGACGGTTAGCTGGTGCATCTTGTTGCCGGTTAATACGTCTCTGCTGATGAGAACACAGTTAAAACCGCTCCACAGTTTGTGAGTGCTGAACCAATGCTGCTGAAATTACGCACTCCCAAAAGAAAGAACCAAAGAAGATGAATCCTTGCAGTCACGAAAGCTTTAAATCGAAATTTATATTTTGTATGTGGAGGGACAGATATGGGAGGAGGCGTATTGTCTGCTAATTTACTTTGTTTGCGGCGAGGCAGATGTGTGCTTGGTTGGTGCATATATCCAAATTTACCTAAACATATGAACAAACTGGGCATAATTTCAGTCAGGTATGTATGGGTAGGCGATCCGAAAGATATTTCCACACCCACCACGCTAGGATACATTTCGCTATGAATGTGAATACTAGTAATGCGCCTCTTCAAGTCTACCAGTGATACGGAAAATATTCAGTGTGTAGGCGAGGTGGTTGTTGAAACAGCAGATGGTTCGTGAGGCTTTAGATTTGGTAATACAAGGTTAGTTGACTAGCTTGACTATTTGGTCGTTAGAGCAGTGACTTGGTTAGTGAGTCAATATATTTGATAGTACAACATTGGCTGAATGGTTGCTTAGATCAGTGGTGAATAAGGCGTAGACCACACAGTCCATTACACCTAACCTATAAAAGGTGAAAGGAACAAAAAGTTACTTTTTGTGAAAGTACGCCTTATGCTTCAAATAATCCTCCGAAGGAGAAACATTTTTGAAGAATGCGAACAATGATGTTTTTTTATGGTTGTAAACTTCACCACTAAAACGTTCACAGGCCTATTTTAATCAGAAGCCACACTATCAAAAGCAGGCTACACTAACGATTACCTTGTATTCCTTCCACTTGTAGTGCACAACCACTCGTACGACATTAAACAGCACCTCTCGTGCCCAGCGTTGGGACTGTACCTCTCTGGGGATGAAGACGATGTTGGTCGACTCCTGAGCCTCGGGCCCTCCCTGCAGGTAGAGCACGCGCACTTCCTCCGAGTCGAGGCTGCAGCGCACATAGAACTCGGCGCTAGGCCGGCCGGCGCTCGTGTTGTTGCGCGCGATTCCCATGAGCAGGGGGGGACTCAGGCACGCGAGCGGTAGGTTCACCTGCAGGGATACGAGTGCAAAATTAAGGTCACGTCAGGAGACCTAGGAGGGCGGTTGTGCTCAGAGTGAAGGCGGTGCTGGTGGTTGTGGCGGTGAAGGTAGCGTTGGTGACGCTGGTGGGAGATGGTGGGGAGGCGCTGGTGGTGGGTGGTAGTGGTGCTGGTGCTGGTGGTGATGCTGGTGGTTCTGGCTCCATTTAGAGAGACTGCGTGCAGTCAGTTGTGCAGCCAAAAGTCAAATTTACAGGTAAATAAGTTTACAAAGAGACAATACAGCAACTATCATAAAAGCAGGTGATTTGATTGTTCTTGATTAAGTGTGACAATTCGATTGGGGAATATTTTAACATTGTGGTTTTTCTGCGCTGTTGACATGAACCCATTGCATAAAACATAATAATAAAAACATTGATTCATTATTAAATATGCAATTAGATGCTAATTGACAAATATATGCATCTGTACACCTCTATAAAAATTTTGCTTAAAACTTTCGTGACTGCAGGAATTCATATTCTATGGTTCTTTTGGTAAAATCACGTAGATAGAAAAAATAATAACAATAAAAGAATATTTTAATTTAAAATTTTGTTATTTTATTGTTATTTTTTTCTATCTACGTGATTTTACCGAAAGAACCATAGAATATACACCTCTATTTTCTTAAAGTATAACATTGTATGCTATTATCTTGAGGCCAGATTACAGACACGTGGAGCATTGCATCACTTTTTAAAGTTACAAGGATCCATAATAAATATTTTTGGGTTAGATCGTGTAAGTATAAATGTGTCTTGATTTAAAGCTTTCGTGACTGCAGGGATTAATATTCTTGGTTCTTTCGGTAAAATCATTGTTATTGTTTCCCTTCTAAGTGACTTTACCGAAAGAACCAAGAATATAAATGTGTCGTAACCCTCCACACCCAACAGAGCCAATAAGTAAGGGATTTGTCACGTAAACAAAACGCCAGTTAGTTACTACTTCAGCCCACCAGTGTGTTGGAGAGTAAATCCACAACATTTACAATTTGAGTACGACGTTTCGCTAGTAATTACGTCCAGCATCATCGGGCAATTTGTTTAGGTGACAAATCCCTTCCTAATTGGCTGTGTCTGGTGGTGGAGGGTTATGACTCATTTATAAATAACGCGAACTCATCCAAAAACCTTTATTATGAATAACATTGGTCGCGAAAGCCTACGTGTTAAGTTGCAAGGATATTTACATAAATTTCAACAAATGAAAAAAAATTACCAATCACCCCAAAAGAATTTGGCTTGTACGTGACAAGGATGTTTGCTAACTGTGTAAAGCATTCAGACAAAAGATAGTCCAAATAGTTTTCCGTTAGGTGGGTCTAACACCTAATACAAGAGTACTGACATCACATATGGTGATATTTTCCGAGGCTGTTCACAGGCATTGTAATGCAATGCTCAGCTGACCGTACAACTGTTAAAAGCGAGAAGTATTTTCCTTTGTTTTTCAACACAAATGAAGACCGATTGCCTCAGCTGTAATTGACAATAAAATCCAAACCTTGCACTTGATATGGATGTTGACAAATATAATAGATCTACATGCTCAAACAAAAACTTGGATGGCATTCATTTCCACTTGGTGGCACTGGGTAAGTGATGGGAACTTATAATTTTTAAAAAATAATTTTCCAATACAGAATGCTAAAAAAATTACGTAAAATTTGTAAATGGGCAACATTTTTACTTCATGCAGAAATAGTGGGCTTTCGTTCAGAAAACAGATTTAATACTGGGGCACCCCAACCATGAATTTACCCGATTCTAGATTTGAAGCTTTCGTGACTGCAAGGATTCATACTCTTTGTTTTTTTCGGTAAAGTCACGTAGGTAAAAAATAAATAAAATACAAATAAAAGTTGTTTTCATTTATTTTATTTATTTTTTACCTACGTGACTTTACCGAAAAAAACAAAGAGGATGAATTTACCCAGTATATCGAACACAGACTGTATATGTGTAGAATATACTGTATGCCTGTATACATCTTTGTATAATAGCATACCTGTTCACCCATAAGGTTTACCCATATTCTTGTACAGGGAAATTGAGTTTTCTGGTCCATATGGCGTACAGCCGTTTCAATACAGGAAAAAAATGTTCGTGTCTATTTGTTTGTGTTTCTCCCTTGTGATGGGACTTTGTAGAATGAACGTTGAGATTTATAAGGGCACGGGGTCACCAATAAGGTCTGAATTGGTCTGTAATAAGGTAGGCACTAATAATGGGTTGACAGGTATACAATAGCCACTCTATATGTTTGTTTCCGTAACTTTATTTTGTAACGGTACCACAATCCTGCTAAAATAGTCTGCCCGAGCCAACTTATGCTGAAGGGAATTTATTCTTTAACGTTGATTTATGTTGGTGCAATAATGTCAATTTATCGTGTGACAGTTATTTTTGCTCTTATTTCTATTTGCTTGATTCCTGCACTTGATTAAAAAAAAAAAATTGTAATTTTGGTGACCAAGGTCACTCTTGCAAAGTGAGACTATCCTGGTCTCATGAATTGTCATCTGATTAAACAAAAAAAAACCTTGAGTAAAAATAATTAAACAACACAAGTAAAACGCGATCAGTAGCGCAAGGTACCTCATCGCGAATCTCGGCCAAGATGGAGTCGTAGAGTTCCCGTGCCACCAGCTCGGGCTGCAGGTCTTCAGGGCGCAGTCGCTCATCATCCCCGCCCGGTGCCACTGCCTGCACACACATGCGTGCACACATCATTGTGTATTCATGATTATTAGCGAAGGCAGTGGTTATGGCGTCAGCTGATCACCACAGCAGCTCAACCTGATACTGCTTTTGGCGCTCGCGTTAAAAGCATACACATATTCCAATACATCGACAGTCGTCTGATAATGTTGAAGACAAGCATCTTCCAATCGACCAACAGCAATATGATGTTGATGATATGAAAAATAGTGACTCCTTCAAGAGGTTTCTCTAATGGTTAATGAAAGCAGCCAATCACTCAATTAAATGTTTCTGCCCGCTATTCAATGTCAGGGAATGGGCTTAAAAAGGACTGCATTTAGAAAAGAGGAATGTTTTGCAGATTTTAGTGCCGGAGGGAAATTGGAAATGGGGCTTCATCTTATTCCTCGCACCAGGACCCATACCAACCACGCCACACCACTTGTGGCCCATGCCAACAACACCATATCATTCATGCCCCATACTAACCACACCAATAGTATGTATCTATGCTGAACTTCTTTCGCACAGTACGTAGCCAATCGTACTAACCGGAGGTGCAGGAAAAAACAGCGATCGAGGCAGCTGCGGTTGCCCATACCATCACACCATACCAACCACACTACACTACTGCTACAGACGTGACCGCTGTACCTTGGGTTCAGGATGTCCGCCGGGTATGTCGATCTGGCCAGCCGCCTCTCCCACCATGTGGCTGCGGCGCAGGAAGACGCCTTGCCCATCGGCTGTCACGAGCACAGCGCCCACGCCCAGCGGCTCGGCCAGGTAGGCCTGGCTGCTGCCGGCGTCGCGCTCGCCGTGCTCCTGCAGGCGCCGGGCTTCGGCTGCCCAGTTGGTTCCGAGGAAGTCACGGTAGCAGGTGAGGCCGAGCCGCATACGCAGCGTGCCGTCTGCCTCCATCTCGGCCGAGTGCAGTCGGAACTTGGAGCCGTTGTAGAGCCACGGCTGGTGCCGCATGCGCGCCTGCCAGATCTCAGAAACACGTGGCTCGTGCTCGGGCAGCACGGCGCGGCAGTAGCGGCTCGACAGCTCGACGCGCACGTTCTCCAAGGGCATGCACGCGGCACTCGGAGCCACCAGCATCAGCGAGATGTCCGGGTCGTGCATGGCGCCGTTTTCACCGCTGGTGCTGCTGCAGCTGCCTCGACCGCCGTTTCTTCTGCTCACGAAGTTATTGTTGCTGCTGCTGATACTGTGATCACTGTTGATGGTGATGCAGCTGTTGTTGCTGCCACGTCTGCAGGCCAAGCGCATGGTCGGACAAGCACGAGACGTGAGTTTAATAAAAATTGGAGGGGACGCGGTAGAAGGAATTTAGACGGACGTATGGGCGAGTTAACTAATGCGCAGTGGGTTGGAAACGTAGGTCGCCTCATGAGTTAATTTATAAAGATGAGAAAAACGTAATATTTCACGTTTAGCTCCCTTATTTCACCCTCACTCTCGTCTTAAGTATCCGCTGCCACTATATTTACTATCGTTTTCTTAAAAAGAGCACCAGCTGACTTGTGGAAACTGCGTAAAGCGCAAAGAGTGGCAGTGCTCCCCAACACACCTCTACAAATACGCAGAAGCGTCGATGCTGTTGGGTGACTTTATATGCGCACGCACGGCGTAGCAGGGGGAGTGTCTGGTCTCGAACCCGCATTCAACTTCAGAGTTGTTGGGTGTGGTATTTGCTGTTTATTCTCAGTGCTTGCGTAAGGTGAGTAGTCGTGACGTCAAATGAGGAGTGATGACGCAAAGCGAGAAAGACGACTCCCCTATCCCCCCCACCTGCCTAGAGCACGGGTGGATGTTTAAGTGTGCGTCAAGATCCGCATGAATGACTGAGCTGAATGTTCTGGTTCGGTCGCATTGCAGTTTCTGTCCTGAACAATGGCCCAAAACATTTTAATGTCAGGTGACAAAGCAATAAAGGATGTTTAGAGTTAAGATGTGGTTTGTTTTCATTTCACAGAACGCCCCTATGGTATAAAACCCACACATCTATGGAAACTGATTTTTACAACACAACTTCAAGAATACATCTCGATCACCAAGGTTCTATAGTTACCCTTTCAGACAGTTGCAGTAAAAGTTTTTGAGGTAAATGTTAACTTTTTCCCTTTACCATTTGATATGCTATGAAGAAGGACTGACCATTCCCTGAAACACTGCCTATTATCTACTTTTCCTTTTAAGGCAGTGTTATTTACGAATTTGTAGATATGTTTGTTATTTGTGCCTGTGCACCACTGCCAATACTGCATCAACGAATTATATGTTAAATATAATTCATCATCAGCCATCATCAACTGCTATATGAAGGAGTCCCTATGTTGTCACATCTCACATGATCCTATTATGTTACAATCCATCTCACTCCAGCCCATGAGCAAACCTCTGTGGTGAATTCCCTCTTAGGTACATCCCCTCCTTTAGCTGGTGTTCCATCACTAATCGTATCCATCAGCCATAACTCCCCCTCCTCCCCACTCCCCTCCCCGAATAAAGTAACCCACTCAAGCCTAAATACTTATTTGAACGCACTATGTTTTTGCACGCGTTACCTGAACCACGTGCTGACCAAGAAAATATAAGGAATGTATAGGATCAACAAAATAAAAAAACAGCCCTTTTGTAAATCCACAACCTGAAGGCCTTTCCACACTGTGATATTTATTGTGGGCGTTGTATGACCGTGCTTCACCATGTTGGTCAGTGCAGGCTGCTGGAGGGATGGGCCCAAGACCGGTTCAGATAAAGCTTGCCACCGACGGTAAACTGTGGAGGGGAATTAAAACCAAATTTGCTCGGTTCGAGATGGCCAGCATGGCAGAATATGGACAAGAACTCCCACGACCGACATGGAATGGGGATGCCTTCATACAGCAGTAAATTGACAAAGGGCTGTACGTTAGTATTAATTTTTTTATCATAGTTATTATTTACATCGTGAAGCTTTTAACACTGATCTCTCCAGGCTTAATTTAATTTCGTTCATTAAGTTTTTTTTAAGTCAGCTGGCCAGGATTGGGAAAAACCGAGCCCACTTTTCACCCAGGCAACTGGAGAGCACAAAATTAATTGGTACTTACCTAATATTAAAACTAACAATAACGTATTTAAGAATCGATTACAAGCTGCCTTTGTAAAATTTTACTTTAATAGTTTCATTACATTTAACAGCACAGATATTCACGATGCCCTGCTCGCTTACGTGCCTTTATTTACACTGTAAGGTAACCCAGGTGTGGGCCCTCAAGGCATTTTTGGATTTTGTTGTAAAACATTGAATGTAAACACTCAAACAACCTCAGAAATTGGGGCCACAAAGTACTGCTGATGAAGGAATATTTACAATCCCTTGATTCCTCAAGAGTGGCAACACGCTGTTATTTAACGCATGTTATTAAAATAATTAGTCTCTGCTGTGTCATTTTAAACGTCATCAAAGGGAGGTGAAAAGTAGTACCAATTCGTGTCAAGATGGAAGAGGTGACGTAAATGATAGTCAGTGTTTAGGAATGCTGGTATGCTCAATCTCATGACTGCATCGGTTTACACTAAACAAATGCCTCGCCATAGTTTACAAAATTCAGACAGAATCGTATTGGATATTTATTTGTATTTTTCTGAATCCAATTTGAAAGTTTGTATGTGGTCAATGATAAAAAAAATACTTTCTGGATCCAGATAGCTCATGTGGTTTTTGTTGGCCTCTAGATTGATACAGGCATCCAAATTCTCTCATAAAAACGAATTTTACTAAGTATCAAAACATCCATAAGTTTTTGTATTTTAAAAATAAACAATCATTTCATGAGTCAACCATGCGATGAAAATGGATTTTCATCGCATGATTGAAGGATGGTTACGACTTTGGGAGGAACTCATGCAGCAATGGATAGATTATGGCTGATGATAAATCTCATGACCAAGGTGTGGCTTGGTATTGAATGTAATCAACTGTTTGGTTTTACGTGACATCAAAGTGCAAAAGGTATCTGACTGCACCAAATAAACATGTGATGCAATGTACATATATTAAACTATAAAGTGACGATGCGAAGTGATCCAGAATGGCTTATGAGACTTCATATTGAATTATTGCACGTGATTTACAAAAACATGTACTTAGTCACGAGGTACAGTAAAAACATTTTTGGTAAAAACATAGTGGCAGATTCACTTCTTGACGTGTGCGCATTTTCATTTGACTTTGGAAAGAAACGTGTTTCCGTCACAAACAACAGGGCAAATGGGCAAGGCAATGTGTTCATTTATTTCTTCCAGATGCGAAGCTTGCTAACATGGTGTACATTTTGGATGTCATTATGCACTGGTAACGTGACATCATTTTGGCGTGATAAAGATGTTCTTATTTTTATGTTAGGTACTATACTGGAACATTTAGCCAATTTATGTACCATTATTATGAACTGAATATAACATTTCGGTATCTATGACAAAATCACTTAAATGCACCCAATCCTGTCAGATTTCAGAAGCTAAGCACGGTTGAGTCTGGATAGCGCTTTGATGGGCGATCATGAAGTACAGGTTGTCATAGGTGGCTGTAGGGTTACATGGTGGCCAGCAGAGGGCAATTGCAGGACAATCTATTTTTCTGTAATAGTATGGGCCTACGTCTATGCTCCCTGCCTTCACAAAACCCACACTGACCAAATAGCCGACATGACTCACATGGCGTAAAGGCCACCATCTGGCAGTGGATTGACACAATTACTGTATATGTGCAACTTCCTCTTTGTATCTCTTTCCATAGCCTTGCAACATCTGTTTTATGCATGGTAGTCACCCGTCCAAGCACTATCCACGCTCAACACTGCTTTAGCTTCCGAGGACTGACAAGATCGTGCGCGTTCCGGGTGATTTGGTCATAGGTTAAAAAGAATGTTAAGGGGCCCCTAAAACAACCGGGGCCCTGTGCACAGACACAAACACACGCGTTACACGCGTGTTACACACGTGTAAGGATGGTTCAGCTTGTACCGCACCACGGCCCCGAGTCTCCACATCGAAGTTCCTTTCACTTGGGGATTCTTCCTCATGGGGAGGGCGCAGACAATGATTATTGTGGCACCTGCATGACACAATCCACTTCCGTGATAAGCATACCCCGAGCAATGTGATTAAGTAACTACTGTACAGGGTGATACACTGATAAAAAATAATGACGAAGAATGCGTTGGGTGGTGTTTCATTCATAGATTGGTCAAGATGCATTCATGAGCTCATGTCATTGCTGGCAGAAAAGCCTCCACTAAAGGCCCCACTGAGCCCCTCTTGAGAGAATTTTGGCTTCCTATTCCATTTAACATGTAGGCTTTCGCGACCAATATTATTAATAATAAAGGTTTTTGGGTTAGATCGCGTTATGTGTCGTAACCCTCCACCACCCGACACGGCCAATCAGCAAAAAATGTGTCACGTTGACAAAAGACAAATCGTTCACTCCTTTAGCCCACCGGTGTGTTGAAGAGTGAATCCACATCATTTACATTTTTTGAGTACAACGTTTCGCTGGTAATTACATCCAGCAACATCGGGCAATTCGCCAGAATGGTAAAGCCCTCCACTTGCTCCCGGTCTTAAATAGAGCAGCAGCAGGGTGACGTCATCATTTAACTCATTCAGGTGCAATGATTTGAGGCGGAGGGGTATTGTCTTGGAATAACTGGAAGTACCTACAATTTACCCAACCACACGCTGATTGACTGTGGTGTACCCATTTATACTGTTGGGTGGTCAACGACGGGGGGGGGATTTAATAAACTAGCTCACAGTTTCAGCTGCCGCGGCAGGAGATCGAACGGATTGCGAGTCCAGACTGCTAAAAATTAACAAACGCTAGCATCCCATTTATTCTACTTGCAGATTAATTTAATAAAACGGTTAACGTACTCACAGTTTATTTACTAACAGTTAAGACGCATTTCACCTGTTTAACATGCTCTGCAACAAGCAGAAGTCAGTGCATCAAAACACATTATACCGTACTATGATTTCACTTCTATGCCCCCTTAACCAGCAGGCAATAATCGGCGTGAAGTATGGTCAAACACTTGTCCACGACCCATAATGGCGTGGGGAAACCCTCATCCAACAATGGATTGACAAAAAATGCTGTACATCTATATGCATATTGAAGCTCCTGTCATTCACCTATAATGTAGAGCGGTGGTTCTTAACCTGAGGGTGCGAGATGCCCTTTCTAGGGGTGCGAGACAGAGACGGATTTTTGTTTAAGGTAAATCATCGAAACACAAATTAAGCACGGGCACGGTAGCACAACTTACTCTGTTTCACCAAACCCATGCATTCATTAACATTATAGAGTACATGTTTTAAGGGGCCGTCCATACATGACGTCACGCACCTGGGGGGGGGGGGGGTCAGACATTTGTGACGATGTGTGACGGGGAGGAGGTGGGGGTGTTTGAGAAATGTGACGTCACATCAAAATTCGCAACTTTAAATAAATATAGAATTGTTATAACACTAATTGTTATAACACTCCTACAACATCAGAGTGCAGCGCCACATTAAATACGCACTACAATGACAATAGTTTAAAGCGATTTGAAGCATGTTTTATTTTCAAAATAGAAACATAGTTTTGTGACGTCATATTTGAGAGGGGGGGGGGGGTCTGACTTGTTGTGACGCCGTGTAACGAGGGGGGGGGGGTCAAAAATCGTCCAAAATCGCGTGACGTCATTTATGGGCGGCCCCTAACTCGTGAGAACCAAAGGGGTGCAAGGCTGCAGTAAAGATGTAGCGCTATCTATAGCTCCATCTAGTGGAGGCTGGGTGGGGGGTGGGAGGGGTGGGGCTGGGGCTGTGTGGAGAGGGAGGGGAGGGTGGGGAGGGGCTGGGTGGGGAGGGGTGGGAGGGGTGGGGCTGGGTGGGGGGTGGTTCGGGGAGGGGTGGGGCTGGGTGGGGGTGGGGTTGGGTGGGGGGGTGGGAGGGGTGGGTCTGGATGGGGTGGGTGGGAGGGAGTGGCTGGGTGGGGGGTGGGAGGGGAGGGGCTGGGCTGGGTGGGGGGGTGGGAGGGGAGGGGCTGGGTGGGGGGTGGGAGGGGTGGGGCTGGGTGGGGAGGGGCTGGTCACCCCGTGGTGCCCTTATAAAACTCAACGTTTAACCTACTCACGCCAGGCTTGTGCCTGCCCTCACAGTCGGGCATATTTGCGGAATACACCACGTGGTGCCGCCGTTGTTGACCCTGGCCATTGACCGAGCAACCCAACGTTCCTACCAGCTCCCTCCGCAGGAGAATGTGTTCATGTTTGCCTATGATGGGACCGTGAGATGGCGACGACTTGGGGAGGCTCTCATCCAGCAGTGGATTGATGTTGGCCGATTATAACGATGTTGAGCAAACCGTATTGTACCTGTAATGTAGCGCAGTTTTGAAGCACTGCAGCGGGGTTCTAGGTGTTGTTTAAAGTTGCCGAGTTAGACATCATGTCCGTTAGTGCAATACAATATTGTAGTGTTATCCAAAACCGCTGGGAATCGTTAATAAGGGATTAACTTGAAATGTAAAGGCAGAGTATTGTGAAACGTGTTACTTAATCGGAGTGCCACCGTATAAAATATATTGGCGGTCAGGATTTTAGAATGCTATTATTTTAAACCCACAGTTAACCTCCCTTATAAAGAGTGTCCCCCCAAAATTGTAGCCGAGATATATTTCCTTACAATCGGAATGTTCCCCGTACAATTCAAAATACTGTACCGTATATTCCTTTTTAATCGCAAATAACCCCTTGCTTATTAACCGCGGTACCCACCTTAAACAAGTGGCGGATCCTCGTTATTGTGGAGCGGTGGCTGTGAACCCGGCGTCCCGAGATCGAAATCTCGCACACGGCTAACATCAGTGGCCTCGAGCGATGCCTCTCAAAAACAGGTCCGGGCCCACCGCTCACCCTTCACCAACTTGCAACGACGAGAGTGCTTAAATATATGTTAATTATCTCGCGAACACAACATACCAATTCCAGTATTATCCGAGGTACCGTTGCTTCCACTTATAATCGGATTAGACTGTACCCCAGCCACGTCAAACCACAGCGAACGTCACCTTTCACCCCCGTACCGTCGCTGCATTCTTTAAACGCTGTTCATGCGTTAGGAAGCCACACTTGTTTGAATCTACACGAAACTTCAGCGAGTCCCACTCACATCGAGCAAGTTCACAGGCTACACGTTTGCTGTGCAATCATTTCCTGTGGTTCAAAACACGGATTGTGTACGATCGTCTAACGAAGACACGTGTTACCGCCCTCTTGGGTAGGGACAAGGGCCCCGTGTAAGCCAATGGCGACATCGCCATTGACGTCATCTCCGTCGCGACAAACGCTCGTCCAACGCAAGCCTATGGGGGCCCCTCCCACCCCCACCCAACATGTCCGCGTAAGTGGCACTCAATATGACGTCATACCTTTCAACCGCCTACATTATTGCGGACCAATTTAGACCTAATTTTGGGGACCCCCGTGCCCCTTACAGATCTCAACGTTCACCCTAAAAAGTCCCATCAACAAGAGAGAAACACAAAGAAATAGACAATGACCACTATTACACTCACCACTGCACTCACCATACTTATCGGTGCCCCTAACTTATTACAGACCATATTCTTGGTTCTTTCGGTAAATTCACGTAGAAGGGAAACAATAAAATAATAAAAAATAAAAAAAACAATATTATTTTGTTTCCCTTCTACGTGACTTTACCGAAAGAACCAAGAATATGAATCCCTGCAGTCACGAAAGCTTTAAATCAAAATTTATTACAGACCAATTCAGACCTTATATTTGGTCACCCCCGTGCCGCTTATAAATCTCAACGTTCGTCCTACAAAGTCCCCATCAAGAAGGGAGAAACACAAACAAATTTAAAAAACATGTTTTGCCCTATTGAAACGGCTGTACGCCGTATGGACCTAAAAACTCAAATTCGCCGTACACGAATACAGGGTAAAACCGTATGGGTTGACATCTATGTGACGTCGCTTGGTAGACAAACCTTTGTTGTTGCTGCTGCTGCAATGCAATATTGTTAAAACACACCAAGTGAATTTCCGTATATGTTTAAAAAAAAGTTACAATTATTTTGTTTTTAAAGCCCTACATTATAACATCAAGCCATCGACGACCGTAACCCTTGACCCGGTTGCTGCCCATATTAGGAAGCGGTCTCCATGGTAACGGCAACGCTGGCGCGCGCGGTAACCATAGCGACGGCGCTGACACCACCACCACCACCTCCACCGCAACTCGCACATTCCAAACAACGTCGGCGCTCTCATTCCGAATTAAAACAACAAAAACAACAACAACAACAACCGCGCAATGGACTCGGAGGACCTGCAGCAGTGCATGGAGTACGTGTCCAGCTCGGGGCTGACGCTGAGCCCCGAGGAGGCGGCCGCGTTGCGCGTGTCGCTGCGTGAGACGGGGACGCAGATGCACCTGAGGGGCGTGCGGCTCTGGGGTCGCGTGTTCGCGCTCGGCGGACGCGACTACCTGGTCGCGGACGGCGTGCGAGACGGCGCCGACGAGCTCACGGGCAGGACCACCCTCTACAGGTGAGTAGTGGTGAGTAGAGGAGAGAGGGGGGCTCAGGGTTATATTGCATAACGCCGCGCTGTACAGGTGAGTAGTGGAGTGTAGAGAGGGGGGCTCAGGGTTATAGTGCAGGAGCCGCGCTGTACAGGTGAGTAGTGGAGTGTAGAGAGGGGGGCTCAGGGTTATAGTGCAGGGGCCGCGCTGTACAGGTGAGGAGTGTAGAGAGGGGGGCTCAGGGTTATAGTGCAGGAGCCGCGCTGTACAGGTGAGTAGTGGAGTGTAGAGAGGGGGGCTTCAGGGTTATAGTGCAGGAGCCGCGCTGTACAGGTGAGGAGTGTAGAGAGGGGGGCTTCAGGGTTATAGTGCAGGAGCCGCGCTGTACAGGTGAGTAGTGGAGTGTAGAGAGGGGGGCTTCAGGGTTATAGTGCAGGGACCGCGCTGTACAGGTGAGTAGTGGAGTGTCGAGAGGGGGGCTTCAGGGTTATAGTGCAGGGGCCACGCTGTACAGGTGAGCAGTGGAGTGTAGAGAGGGGGGCTTCAGGGTTATAGTGCAGGGACCGCGCTGTACAGGTGAGGAGTGTAGAGAGGGGGGCTTCAGGGTTATAGTGCAGGGGCCGTGCTGTACAGGTGAGTAGTGGAGTGTAGAGAGGGGGGCTTCAGGGTTATAGTGCAGGAGCCGCGCTGTACAGGTGAGTAGTGGAGTGTAGAGAGGGGGCTCGGAGTGAGGGGGAAGGGTGAACAGAGGGGTCTCAGAAAATGCAAGACCACGCTCCACAGTTGAGGAGGGAGAGGAGGCTCAGAGTTGGTGCAGGTGAGGAAGAGAGATAAAGAGGGTGAGTGCAGGAATACGCTGTGCCGGCGAGGAAAATAGGGGATAGGCGGTCAGGGTTAGGACAGGAGCGTGCTGTATAGATGACTGGGGCGTGTTTACGTTCGTGTTATTTCAATTGTTAGGGTTAGCATTCGAGTGCAGATCAGAAACATGGTACAGGTGGGGAAGATAGAGATAGGGTTAACGTTAAATTTCGATTTAAAGCTTTCGTGACTGCAGGGATTCATATTCTTGGTTCTTTCCGTAAAGTCACGTAGAAGGGAAATACGTGACTTTACCGAAAGAACCAAGAATAGGGTTAACGTTATTAGGAATACGGATCTTCACAGCATAACCTTCCATAACTACCTCTAAACAATACTACATCACGGCCTCATCGTTCTCCCATTACTTATTTCGAACATCACAGTCTCTCACAGGATTCCTTCATCAATATTCCTCCAATTAACAGAGTACTTTGTAATTATCCCAGGCGTGCATTTTAAACCGCACACTTTGTCTCATTTGGGCCCTCATCTGACTTAATTATTTGGGGTTGAACTGATTGAACGATTGATTGAACGAATGATCATTTAAGTTAATTAACAATGCAATGTTTATGCACACCTGGGCCTTGCAGTCTGGACGGACTGAAGTGGCAGCTGCTGGTGCAGAGCTCAGAGGTGCCCGACTTGCGTGCCCGCTTCCAGGGAGACCCCTCGTATGCGCACAAGCTGGAGCCAGAGCAGGGCGGCCAACAGAGCAATGGGGAGGCCCACATCACGGACGAGGAGGCCACGGTGATGAGAGAGCTGCACACTGCTGACCCCTAAGTCCTGACCCTGGTTTTTTTTTCTTCTTTTGTATGGCGGAGAGTTGATCAGCAATCATTGAAACGAAACTATTGTTTTTGTTTACCAGGTAAGGCTCACTGAGCTATGTATCTCTGTTTCAGAAGCAACCTGGCCACAAATGATAGCTCAACAAAGGGGCTTATCATGTGGAAATGTATAGTAGCCAAATACTCTTAACGTATGTTTCTAAATGTGGAGGGAAAAAACGGGAGGACCCGGAGAAAAACCAGAGGACTCGGAGAAAAATGCACACGACCACCGGGAGAACATAAAAAAAACTCCAAATATTCACGAGTCAGGGTCGGGATCGAACCCACGAACTTCTGTATAGGGGTCATACATTTAGTACATACGCAAAAATCTGTCAAAACTTGACCCCTCCTTCCCACCCTGTACGCACGTGTACTTTTTACACCCGCCCCCCCCCCCCCCACCTGCATACGTACGCTTGACGCAACCTCCCCCCCGAATCCTATAGAATGGCCGATATTTAATCCACGCACAAACGATCAAGGATTAATAATATTAACGTGTTTAAGCAAACAGATAGTCCATCGCCGAACTATATTACTAATTTGAAGGCCAATGTAGACAAATTATTATTGAGGCTTCACCCCCCCCCCCCCCCCGTTTCCGATGCGTACGTACATTGTCAGTAGACCGCCCATACGCAAGCGTACACATTTGGGTTAACCCCCCCTTCATGCGTAAGTACTCAAAGGATGGCCCCATACCAAGCGAGGTAGTTAACATCTCGCCACCGTGACGAGATTGGGTAGCGTCGTTGAGCCTCTAAAACCAAATAGGGGTTTACTACTCTGGCCCACCACACTCATCAATGGAGGCTCACCTATCTGATCCTACCAAACTCATCTTTACTTGCATGGCTGCGTGGTGGACAGCAGAGGGCACTGCAGCAATACCCATTCTACTATACCATGCTTAAAAGTCTATGCTCCAAGCATTCAATCTGCGCTGACCAACGTGGACAATTTTGGTCAAATAACCCCAGGATCTGTAGACGTGGATTGACAAAGGGCCTTTCGTGTAAAAAAAAAAATCTGCCACTGATTTTCATGCTGATGTCGTTTGTGGTCGTTGTGTGGGTGACCTGGTGAGGTGCAGGTGAAGGAGGAGGACCGGCTGGCGGCAACCATCACGGCCATCGAGCACGAGGCAGCGGTGGTGCCACGCGGGGCGTTCATGCGCACCCCACTCGGCCGAGTTCAGCGCAACCCAACTTTCCAAGGTTAATGGTGCAGGACAAGCAACCGCTCAAGTACTTCAGCCCCAGTTCAAATAATTTTTTTATATATTTTATTTTACCAGGTAAGAAGCGACCTGGCCACATATTATAGCTCAACGAAGTTGCTTATCACGTCGAAATGTATAGGAGCCAAATACTCTAAACACATGTTTATTCTAAATGTGGAGGGAAAAACCGGAGGACCCGGAGAAAAATCCACACGACCACGGGGAGGGAGACATGCAAACTCCAAATATCCAGGCATCGTCAGGGTCGGGTTCGAACCCACGACCTCCTGTATACCAGGCGAGGGAGATAACATCTTGCCACCGTGCCACCCCATACAGTTGAATTGTGTAGCTATGAATTTACATGTAAAGCCCCACGGTGCTTTGCAGGCTAAATATGAAATTGCTTACGCATGCCGCTGCTGGTGGAAGAGCATCCGTTAGAGAGGGCTCTAGATGGCTTTATATTATAAGAAAATCGCAGGTGCTCCAATATGTACATACATGTACTCCTCTTTTCTAAATCCACTGCTGGGTGAGGCCTTCCCCACGCCGTGTGGGTCATGGGGGGTTATTTCATCATATTGCTGTTCATTGGGGGTTGGTGAAGGCGGGGCGCATAGATGTCCGAGAATATAAAAATAACAATGTAATTTGCTGCACTGGTGACTGCTGTCCGCTGTGCAGCTCTGCAGCCTATAGCCTATAACACGTCATGCGTGGAGGTCACCAATCCCAGCAATGTCAAGTCTCAAACCTGCTGAGCTTCAGAGATCTGACGAGATCTGGTGCAGCCCAAATGATGTGGTCACTGGGTGTAGAAATGTGAACAATAGGCATGTAAAGATTCACACCCCCATGCTTTGACTGTCGTAAATCAGAGTCAGGATCATTCTAAGCATCAATACATGTTGTGCTCGTATGTGCAATCTTTTTTTGTTTTATCTGTTTTGTTCTCTCTCGTTCATGCCATTAGCTTTCAGGAAATATTTGCATATACTGAAATTTGCTTGCATTGAAAGTGATGATTTCTTTACGAGTTTTAATTGTGCCCCCCCTCCCACCCCTTCATTTCAGATTCACAAACATGCATAAAAGCTTTCAACCTGAGTTGGAAATCGTCAAAAATACAGAGACTTTTAAAGATGGTGTGTGTGTGTGGCGTGTGCGTGCATGTCTGCTGTGCGTATCTGTGGCGCTGGGTGCAAGGGCTTTCACTGGAGGAGGCTGGGAAGCTGCGGTCATACCTCCACTGGAGGCGCCCGGAGCGCCTGCCCAAACTCTCTCTGCTCGAGCGAGCGGAGCTGGACCCAGCGCTTGACTTCCTCGACCCCATCGAACACGATGTGCCGGCAGGTATGAATGACCGTCACGTCTGAGTGACCGCCACGCATGAGAGGAAAATGTCACAAACAGAATAGTGGTTCAGCCGTCTTAGATTGACAATTCCATGAATGGTAAAAAATAATGGATATCCGCATTTGTCTAGGGCTTCTTGTGTAGAGCAAGAGAGGTCAGAGTGAAGATGGGTTCATTGGAGCATGCAGCACGTGAAAGCGTTGGGGACGTGACCACAATATGTTGACCACAATTCTGAGTTATGATTCAAGAAGTTATAGTTTTAAATGCCTAATTTGCACGACCTTGTTTGCATTGTCTTTTTTCCATGTGTTCCATCTCATTCTTTGTATTACCCTAAAGGTAACGTGCACAATATTTTCACGAATTACAAACACATCCTTACACACGCAGCTTAATTTCTCACCGCATATTTGATGGGTCACTGGAAGACTGAATTCGGCATGTGACGAGTTGCCACAGCAATAGTGAGAAGTACACTGAATGTTGTGTTCTCATCATCACATAAATATATTCTGAGTGACCAACCTGGACAGACCCGGCTGAAATAAGCCCTGCTTACGTGCATGATTTTTTGCATGAATCATGAGCATTCAAAATGTTTTTGACTTATCTTTCATTTCCTTTTATTTATGCCTAATAATCCAAGCTGGTGCTTCAGTGCTCGCACGTATGACTATGTGTGTGCTTGTGCGTCTGTGTGCGGTAGTGTAGTGATTAGTGTGCTGCACTACGAACCTGGCGACCCAGGTTCAATTCCCGCTCACGGCCAACATCAATCACGATTATCTGAACAGGTTGTGGGCCTCCCCTAGGTCGACTCAGCCTTAAATGAGTACCTGGTGCGGTGTGCAAACATCGCGACTCGGGAGACAAAGGCGGCCGGACGTGGTGTTGGCCACCCACCCCCTCGTGTGCCGTGCCAGCCTTCATAGGTGCTCGCTAACAGCACTTGCCCCAACAGTCTGTTTAGGCTATACGGGGGATCTTTGTGTGTGTGTGCATGTGCGGCAGGGTGCTGGAGCCTGCAGCTGGAGCGCGGCGGGGCGCTGGTCATTCTGCGCAGCCTGCTGTGGCCGGGTCTCACCTTCTACCACGTGCCCGGCACGCCGCGGCATGGCTACATTTACATGGGGCTTGGCGAGAAGAACATCGACCTCCCCTTCATGATCTAGACCGGCAGGGCAAGGCACCACACGTGTGACCAGAGGCACGCACACCGGCCGCATATGTTTGCCAACACCAATGGATTATGAGAAGGGCTGCTGTTTTTTTACTTGGAGCTGCAAACTGATGTTTAAAAGTAAAAATGGCTTACATTTACAAAGTGGTATAATTAGCTTTGAAAAACAATCGGCAGCATATGCCATGGATCGCTAGGGTTGTAAAATATGCGGCCGCCTTTGTCTCCCGAGCGCTCGCATTCCCTGGCCACATTGCTCCAAGTTCTCGTTTTAGGCCAGGCCTACTTGAAGGGTGGCGGGCGCTAATTGCAGGTTGTGCTGAGCTATGGAAGAACCAGGATAGGCTCCAATATGCGGTCGCTGCTGGTCATAAAGTGATCTGTGGCTGAGAATTAATCCCGAGTCTCTGGGATTGCAGTGTAATGCGTGTACCATGTTGATAGCACTCACAAAAGTATTGGCTTGCAACAGTGTGGGAATTGAAGGGAACCTCATAATGCCTCATTTTATATGCACAGGGGCATGTTTAACCGTGTAATACATAAATCAACTGCTCTTCGTGCGTGTTGTTCTCAGACACAAGCCCTACATAAATATTGACGCTCTGCGGGTTCCCTATAATTTAATCCAATCACCGGCCATGCGTGAGTGCGAATTCCTGTTACTCCCCCACCACTACCCAAACCCTCCCCACCCAGCATGAACTATATTCCCATTCCCACAGACAACGTTAACTTGCACTACTGAGTTCCAGGTTGGAAATGCCATTGGAATGCATTGGTAGCGGACAAGGTGGGGCAGGGGGGGGAATTGAGTTTAATAGAGGACGTGTTGGGTCGGGGCAGTTCATAGATGGCCCAGGGCTCCATCCGTTCTCCGTGCCCCAGGCAGTATGGTTCACTACACCCTTCCACCACCGCCATCTCACAGTATCTCTCCATTCTGTCTCACTGTGGAGTGCCCCCATTGCGCCGAGTATTATGTTAATAAATTTGCGTTGGAAAATGTCACCTCTGCATGTGTGTGTCGGTCTTCCTCGCCACTCTGTAGTGCTCTGTGTGCGACGCTTGTGATTCTAAAGGATATTGATCGGTTGACTGGTGGTAAGGTGTTCATGTGCAGTGATAGGGGTGCTACCTCTTGAAAGGGAGACGTCTGTGTCATTGGACTCTCACCTGGATCTTAATAAAGGCGATTGACATTAAAGTCCACAAACTTCAACTCTCCAAATTGCCATCCACTCTATTGGTAATTGTATTTTTGTTGAGCAGGTGAAGACCCGTTGAGATTCATTATTGGGGCACCTGTTGGAAACCAACGTTTCATTGTATTTTAAACAAATACATGTGTAGTTTTGAGCTTGGCACACATGGGGATGTGTCTTTAATCTGTCAGTGGTTTTCTGGACCGTATGATACAACATGCATGGATTTCACAAATGCAGTCCCATTTCAGGTCAAGCTCTTCCATCTTAGGAGCTGTCCATTGTGTAACATTCATCCTTGATTGCTTGGAGAATCAAATCAACGTTGTTCCTCATCTTCTTTTATCCCATGCTGTATCTCTCAACCGCATCAACAAGTGAAATTAGTTTGGTGAATTTCCTGAAGGTCTCTTTACAGGAATTAATTTGCAGGGCCTTCCTGAAAATCGTCTTGAGACTCTGTGTGGCTTTCCTGGGCAAATGGTACCCTAATAATACTCCATAAATAAAATTATGCATTCTCTCTCCCATGTCTCCACTTTTGTCCTGGATTCTCGGCTGTTGAGAAACTCATCTCTCATAAGAGATCGTGGTTCATTTTCATATTTGGCAACCACCTCACCGCAATCTGCAAGTCATAAAGCATTAGGTATTGAGAATGTACACCAGAGCGTGTGCAACGGCGCTGCGTGTTTGGACAAGGTGAAGAGAGAGAGGGATTGCACTCCACGCATCCTTAAATTCACTCGCGAACCTTCAACTGCAGACAGTGTCGACCGTGTGAAACGGAGACAGCTTTGTGATCGTGGCTGATAATGAAACAGTATCTACGACGAATGCCCACTGTATTATGATGACGATGATGGTTGGCGTGCCCTAACGTCTGGCATCACAAGAACGATGCAGCCCGCAGTAATTGCCAATTAGTCGACGCCTTTGACGGCAATCGAACCGTGGTCTTTGGAGCGAACTGGCCATCCATTCCAGTCAGTGCCGGATTATCCTAGTAGCAAAAGTCGCTATAAATGCTACAGGTCCCGCACTTTCAATGTCCCCGCGCTAAATGCTTTCAAGCTATCAATTCCGGTTCAGTGATTCTGCACTTGCGCTATTACTATAGTACTCTTATGAACGACTGGGTGTTTAAGGTTAGCGATGTGTCGTATTATCTGTCTGTATAGCAAATGAAAAAATGCAATTACTTTACTATGCAAGTAAAAAAAATGTGTTTTAATATTTATGTGTTTTTTATTTATGGCCCCTTTATAACATATGCTACAGGCCCCGCACGAGCTTAATCCGGAACGGATTCCAGTCTTGAGAGGGACGAGAGCTTTGGATGAATAACGGGCGTGAAGTAAACCACGCTTCGGGGGGGGACACAGGTTGCGCACAGCTGGAGCAAGTGGACAAGATGGCACGGAGCCGATAGTGCCGCCACCCACGCACTGTTTACAATGAGCACACGGAGACTTTTAATAAACACGGGCGAGGGAGGTAATTAACGGGACGACGGTGAGGCTGGGAGAGACTCGCGTGCGAGCGACGAGACGGGGAGGAGGGAGACGCGAGGGAGGAGATGCCGAGGGGCGGACGCCTGGAAAGGGTCCCCCGCTCGCTGGGTTCTGCAGAGCTGGGTGGCTGAATAATTCCACCAGCCACCCCTTGGCTGTGCGTCTCTCCTGCAGGGTTGCGGCTGGGCGTTGTTTGGCCGCCAGGGGGCATTAAGAACTCGTCGATGCCGCACGAATTGAACACCAGTTAGTTATTAGGTACAAGATAGTGATTCTTAACCTTTTCTGCAGCCTTGCACCCCTTTGGTTCTCAGAAAGGGGCATCTCGCACCCCCAGGGGATGCGTACACCCTAGGTTAAGAACCACTGCGTAGAGCAGATGCAAGAGTTTCACGTGGATTTAGGAATGATGTGCTTGAGAAGATGCAAGTGCTGATGAGCCCCAGTGATAATGAGCACACCGATTTAACGCGCTGGGACCTTGTTGGCAGCATGCATATTGGTGCGATTCGCTGATGAGCCTAAATTATAACAAAACCCCGCCCCCTTGTCTCCCATGCTCCAAATTGTATAACACTCGAATGCATTCCTTGAATACTTTTGTATTTGTCTTTCGGTTAGAATGTTATTTAAACACTCACTTTGGCTTAAAAAGTCCTTATGCCTGAAGATGGTCAGATGACCGAAACTTCTATTGGTGTGTTTTCTTGTTTAATCTCAACAAAAGAGATTAACAACGAGCCTTTAGTGCAGCAGTGCATGGTCAACATCATGAATAACGTCCCGGGGAGCCAAAGGTGGTTGGACGTTTGTGTATGCCAAGATTTTTATCACCTCCGATGAACACGATTGGCTACGGACGGTGCGAAAGAGGTTCAACATACGTACCAACTCACCCACCCATCAAACGCGCCGTGGCTGGCCGACCTTAATAGGTGCTCGCTAACAACACTTGCCCACCGGTCAATCCGTGTACGTATAATTATGCTTCGCTCACCACGCTAAGTTCTTGGCCACGTGAGTTAAATCCCGGTCAACGGACCTGGACTTCCTCTCGAGTTGATATTAAATGAGTACCCGGTACGCTGTGTGGCCAAATCACTATTGGGGGGGTTATGACCTCACCCTAACACCACTCCGGCCCGCTCCCCTCCTCCGTGCGATGTTCCGGCCTTAATAGGTGCTCTCTAACAACACTCGTCTCGTCGTGTGTGTGTGTATGCATGCGTGCGTGTGCGCACGTGCGTGTCTGCGTGTGTGGGAGCGTAAATTCCAGCAGCCCAAACGAGCAGATTGATGGGGGGTGGAGGGGGGTAGAGGGGGTAGGTACCCTGCCGAGTGCAGTCATGTGGTGGATGGAGTGGACAAAACCTTTTTCTAAACACAGCGTTATCAGCACGCCTGTGCCGCTAACACAGAAACATTTCGGGTGGTTGAGAGTGCTCCCCGTCTGTCTACAGTTGTCGATTCCCCTGTACCGCCTGCCAGTCGGGTCACATTTTGCTTAAAGTTATTTCGAAGGTGACCTTAGGCAAAAGAGGACAACGACGACGCACGACTGATGATAATGGGGGGGGGGGGGGGGGGGGGGCAGAATGGACAGAGGCTGCTTTGTGTTTTCTGTACGCGTGGTTTGTGTCTCTTGTTTGAAACTTGTGCTTTTACCGGGCCGTCACTATTTTTTGTTTGTTTTGATGGGGTCGTTTTTATTCTCATCACCTGCAAGCGAGCGCCCTCCCTATTAAGTCCAGGATGGGACACAAACAAGTCGTGGCCACTGGCAAGTGGTGGTGGCCCATCGGGTGCCCTAAGCAGACATTATTCTTCAGAATCAGAAGCTTTGTGTAGATTGGAAGAAGCCGATGAGCTATGAAGCTCTTTTTCACTGATGCCAAGCAGGGGCGGATCAGCAAGAACGATAAACTACTAAACCGTTAACTATTTTTTATTTTACCAGGTAAGGCCCACTGAGCTACAAAGCTCTTTTTCAGAAGCGACCTGGCCACAAATGATAGCTCAACGAAGTAGTATATCACGTAAAATTTTATAGCAGCCAAATACTAATTTAAAATCATGTTTCTAAATGTGGAGGGAAAAACCGGAGGACCCGGAGAAAAATCCAGGCGAACACGGGGAGAACATGCAAACTCCAAATATACAGGCGTCAGAGTCGGGATCGAAACCACGACCTCCTGTATAGCTGGCGAGGCACTTATCATCTCGCCACCGTGGCGTGAGATGACAGAAGGGATGTTGCTACGAGATGGGCGACGTGGATACGAGATGAGCCTGCAGTGAAATGAGAGATGTAGGCAAGAGATCGATGATCATGGGATGAGAACGGAGAGCTGCAAGACAAGGAAAAGATGAGAGATTCATTTTCTCGTCGTGTTAATTGGCTCCCTTAATGTTCAGTAGGATTTTAATTCGATCTGATATTTGTATCCCTATTGGTTCATGAATCCGGGTGTTCCCCATGGGCCACTTGTGACTCTAAGCTTTTGCTCAGTTCGCATTACGCTAACGCCACCGCTGCCCATCGTATCAAAGCTGATGTAAATATGCGACTCATTGAGGCATTCCTGTATATTGATGATGATGATAACGTACAGTCGTTCTTAATTCGCTGTTGGATGAAGGCATCCCTACGCCGTGTCGATCATTAGGTTATTAGCGTTGTTTCACAATACTTCACCACGCTGGTCAGAGCGAATTGGCGAAGCTGAGGGGCCCAAGGAACGGTTCAGATATGTTAGCCGTGTTCTTTGGGTATTTCGGTAAAGTCACATAGATAGTTTCAAAGAAAATACAAATATTTAGATAGGTTCAAATAATAGAAAATAAAAAAATATTTTATTTGAACCTATCTACGTGACTTTACCGAAAGACCCAAAGAAAATGAATTCCTGCAGTCACGAAAGCTTTAAGTCAAGCTGTTAGCCGTGGTCTGGAATCGAACTCGGGGGATCAAATTCATAGTGCAGTGCGCTAACTACTGCGCCACCGATCCTTCCCTCCCCACCACCCACCGTTATTATTACATCAAAGACTGCTTCATTTGAGTTAAAATCCGGCCACTTGAGCACAAAGTTATTAAGAGAAACAGAGAGAAAGGAGGGAGGGCAGCAGGGAGACGAGGAGGGTGTGTTCCATGTCGTACGGATGGATGGAGGAGGAGGAATGGGGTGACAGCAATCGTTGTGGTGATGGTGGTGGTTGCTGTGTTTGTGTTGTCGGTGGGCGGTGTTCTGTGTATTTGAAGGCTGTAGTGGAGGAGGAGTGGGAGGAGGATTGAGTGAGGAGGGGAGGAGAGAGAGAGAGAGGTGTGGGCTGAGTGTCTCGGGGAATTTCTAGGGATCGGTTTTACTGCCGCACAACACTTAGCCCGGGATAGCGAAGTCAAATGCGCCCGTGTACGTCCTCTCTCTCTCCACTTGCAAGTCAATCAGCGCAGCGAGCCGGCGACGTGATTGGTGTTACACCATCGTCAGCAGCAAGCGGCAGCAGCAAACGGCAGGTCTTCCTTCATCGCTGTGTCTCCGCGCGTTGCTCGACGTCCGTTTTGGTCGGGCTTGAAATTAAATTCTGAACTCACGCAAGAGAGAGAGGGATAGACAGGGACTCCCGGTAGCACGTGCCCTGCGTGCAGCTCCTGTCAGCGTGAGTGGCCTGGGTATAATCCGGTGGGTGGGGGTCTGCCTGCCTGGGTGAGTAGCGAGGGGGGGGGGGGGAGATGACTGGGTGGGTTGATTGGTTGGTTTGTGCGTAGCTGGTTTATTGACTCATTGGCTGTCTGAGTTGGTGGGTGGTTTGAGTTGGTAGGTGGTGAATAACTGACTGGGTGAGTGAATTAGTGAGTGGCTGACTGACTGGCTGGTTAGCTGGATACATTGGAAGGTTAGGTAAGTGTTTTAGTGAGTGGCTGACTAGGTGGCTTGGTAAGTAGTTAGCCGCTTGGGTGGCTGGATACTTGGGTTGGTAAGTGTCTAGCTGGGTAAATTGTTGAGTGGTTGGGTGGGTGAGTAGTTGAGTGGGTGGGCTGGTAAATACCTAGCTGGGGAAATTGGTGAGTGATTGGGTAGGTGAATTGCTACAGTGGGTGAGGTGGTGAGTGACTAGCTATATTCGTCGGTGAGTAACTGGCTGGGTGAGTAGTCCAGTGGGTGGGCTGGTGAGTGACTAGCCGTATGCGTCGGTGAGTGACTGGCTGGGTGAGTCGTTGAGTGGGTGGGCTGGCGAGTGGCTGGCCGCGTGGGGTGGCTGGCTGAGTGAGTGGTGGGTGTGTAAATCCCCAGGCAGCAGCAGCAGCAGTCCGCCTCCTTCGGCACGTGGGACTGGAGGAGCGCGCGCTCTCGGGAGTCCAGGTGCCCCTCTCACCGTGGGTTCTGAGACCCCCCTCTGGAGCATTCCGGAGCGTTCCAAGGGATCCAGGAGTGATTGAGAGCGTCGAGGAATGTTCCAGAAGATAACGCGAGCGATCAAAAGTGTTCCAAAACCACAACCGAAGCTTTTCGAAGGTTTCGGCGGTGACACTGCATCTTCAATAGGTGCTTCAGAAGATACAGCGGCGTTGAAGGACGATTGAATGATCAAGGAGCGTTTCGGGCGATTCAGGAATAACGCATAAAAAGTGTTCAAGAGTGTTTTAGAAGATCCATGAGCATTCAAGAGTGTTTCAAGAGACACACCGGCCTCGGAAAACCTTCTACTGGATTAAACAAAAAATAAAGTGAATGGGGAGATATTGAAACGTCTTCCAGAGAGCACAGACGTATTGCGGAGCATTCCAGAGCGTTCGGGAGTGATAAGGAGGTTGTTCAAGAGGTCCTTCGGAAGAGTTCTCGAGCGTTCAGTGTTCGGCGCTACCAGCGAGCACGCGCGTGCTCTCAGCGCTCCTCTCAGATAGTCCAAGAGGAGCCCTCGCCAGAGAAAGGAAGAAGGCAGAAGACCCGAACTCTCCCACTTCTGCCTGCAGGTTAAAACTTGCTGCCCACGTGCTCCGTCAACCCCGCTGCTCTCCACGTGCTCCGACAACTCCGCTACTCTCCACGTGCTCCGTGAGGCCTCTGCTCCCCACGTGCTCCGTCAACCCCCACTGCTCTCCACGTGCTCTGTGAGACCTCTGCTCTCCGCGTGCTCCGTCAACCCCCGGACCCACAGACCCGACCCCTGTACGTGGCTTCGCGTGGATTAAATTAAACCGCACTCGACAGGGATCGTGGGTGCAGTGGCATCGTCGGTTTTTATTTTTAAAATGAACTCCGTCTTCGACTTGAAAACGATGGAGGTTTGAAATCGCCCCTGGCTACTCAACAAAGGCAGATCGACCGACGAGGAGAAGAGAGGAGCGAGCGAGCGAGAGAAAGAAAGGCTGATGCTGTGAGAGGAGGGATTGGAGCCAGGCATGGCTCACAGACTTTACGCTCTGCGAGTCGTACTGCTTACGATGCTACACGGAGCCGTGGCGCAGGTATGAGCAACCCTCCCTCCCCTATCACCATGGTTACTGCACACATACAATGGGACCTGGCCACATCACCTGGACATCTCTTTCGGTTTATCTCACCCGATCATCATCTTTGCTTGCCGCGAATGAACCGCAATACCTTGCCGATCTCGTCAAGGAGCGTAAGCCATCACGCGAACTCCGGTCGACCTTGGAGCAGCTTTTTGGATAGCCACTGAACATCGGCGGTCACCGCATGGTGCGCTTTCAGATGCGCTTTTGCGGCCGTCTGGAACGCTCTTCCTTCCTTGATTAGGAAGCCACTGGAGTTATGCATTTTAAAACCTAGATTGACAAACTCATTTCTTTAGAACTGCTAGTTTGTTGTCCTTCCCCCGCATAATTGGCTACGGAAGGTGCGAAAGAAGTAAAAAATACAGGCTCATATCAACTTGATATCCGATCTAGTTTTTACTCACCTGGCCAGCCAAACATCAATTATATATATTTGAAAAAAAAGTTACATCTGTTGTCATTCGCACTGCCTTTGGCGTGGGACTGCGGGATGTGACCTGGAGTTGTCAATGCTTCGTGACACCCACCACTCGTATGCGTGGTGGGTTTTCTCTGGGTTCTGTAGTACCCCCCCCCACGCGAATCTAAACACTCATTATAGTAGAATTGTAAGGATAGGTTTAACCCTTTTTGGCAATAAAAACTGAAAACTTTTGCAAGGAATCGTGTCTGCATTAACCACACATACTTGTGGTGAACATGCACAAAAAAAGCATGCTCTGGTAGTATATGCATTGTCTTTGAAACCGATTGGTCCACACCAGAGACAGCTTTCTTTAGAGCCTAGTGTCAAACAGTGTTAGACCAGAGGACGCCAAAAGTCGAATCAGAGCATGTATTTTTTTGTTTGCATGTTCACTACAAGTATCTGTGGTTAATGCAGACATGATTCCTTGCAAAAGGTTTCATTTTGGTGTTTTAACATCTTACCACAACTGTTTTATTTCCAGAAAGAGTAAAACCTATTCTTATATTTTGATACTGGCAAGGGAGGTCCCATGATGTAGCTGCTCGCCCCGATCTCTCAATGTCCTGATAGTGGCATTGTCTTTGTGCTGTTCGTCTTTTGGCGTCCTCTGGTCTAACACTGTTTGAGACTAGGCTCTAAAGAAAGCTGTCTCTGGTGTGGACCAATCAGTTTCAAAGACAATACATATACTATCAGAGCCTGTTTTGTTTGCATGTTCGCCACAAGTATATGTGGTTAATGCAGACACAATTCCTTGCAAAAGGTTTCAGTTTGGTGTTTTACCATCTTAATACAACTGTTTTGTGGCCAGAAAGGGTAAAACCTATTATTAAAAGTGATACCTGCAAGGGAGGTCCCATGATAATAGATTTGGCTAAGCATCTTCAATGTAGCAGGACCATCTCGAAAAAAAGAGTCTTGAGGCTCATTGAGGCTATACCGGATATATTATGGACATTGACATTTCTCTTTATGGTTTACCTACGCACGGTGCGAAAGAAGTTCAACTTACATACATATATACCTGTCCATGCATTGACACAGCTCGGCCAATAGAGGTCGTCATTGCAGCCGAGAGAGAATTACCACACTCCAAGCCGCGTGCGTTGTCCACGACACCGTTCAAACCTCTCCCCACCTGGACAGAATATTCAGTGTGAGAGCGCACAGCAGCGCGCTAACGTGTGCAAAAAGGACGCAGCCATTTGTGTAAATGCCTTCAACGGAAACAGCAACAACAAAAAGCCGAGCAACAGTTCCTGAAGAACTGCATTGTTGGTGGTCACCTCGTCTTGGGTCACGATTAAAATAAATGCGGGCAAATGTGGTCAACCTATCGACAGCAGCATTGATGCTGCAGTGATGGGCAATAATTAGGAGAAGATCGGTCTATCGTTGCCAATCACTGCGTCATCATCACTGCTGCTGCCAAATGTAAACGAAAACATGTTTTTTTATTTGACCAGGTAAGGCCCACTGATCTATGCAGCTATTTTTCAGAAGCGACCTGGCTATCACAAATGATAACTCAACGGAATGGCTTATCATCACGTGGAAATGTTTAGCAGCCAAATACTCTAAACGCGTATCGATTCCAAATGTGGAGGGGAAAAATCGGAGGACCCGGATAAAAATCCACACGACCACGGGGAGAGAGGTGCAGGCTCCAAATATACAGCAGCAGGCGTCAGGGTCGGGATAGAACCCACGACCTCCTGTACACCCCGCGAGGGAAATAACATCTCCTAGCCACCGCAGCGCCCCATCATCAACATTTATTTTGATGCTGATTGAAGACAAGTGGCCCAACAATGCAGTTTTTCAGCAAATGTTGGTTTCTCTCTCAATAACGCACAAGAGGCTGTGCACTTCTTACGCATGTGTGTGTCTCGTTTGAGGTCATACTGTAGTTATGTAATGGACGCGTCCACTCGTCAATTAATATCGATTATTAAGGCCGTGCGAGAATCGAAGTTCTTATTTCGCGAACATGTAAATCATGAGCCAACTTTTTACGTTTGAAAACAAATGGAGGTCGACTAAGCTGTGCAAACGAGCCAGACACGGACAACGATAAATAATTAACAATCAAACAACGGGATGCTTCATGTAGGGTACGTGCCTCGTGTCATCACGACTTCAGAATAACATTATTTTCGTGTCGGATAATTTTTGCGAGACCCATCACGCCGCCTGCATTCAGAGCTGCAAAGCGTTCACACTGAAATTCATTATTTGTGTCGTTGCGTGACGAAAAGCGATCTTCAATCGGCGACAAGTCCACCCCGCCCGTGTTACGCCGAGGACGTTGAGCGCAGTCATTTGTCACTTTTTTAGCTGAAGCCATCACCTTAAACTCAATTGTGCTTTCATGCCAAGCGAATGCATTTAAAGTTTGAACCCCCCCATCATCTAAGACGGTCCTGGCCACTGTGAAGGCCTTGGAGAGACCCATAGCATTACTAATGTGTCACTGTAATCATCATCATCATCAGGGGCGGAGCCAGGATTTCAGGCCGGGGTGACACTCAACAAATTTTAATTTGAATGATTACAGAGTTAGGCTGTTGAACTAGACGCCATCGGTTGGCGACACACTCTGACAATGCAGTTGCACGGAGTCCGCCAGATCGAGTGGCGTACACTTATACGCAGAATGTCACCCCTGTCACCCTCCCTGGCTCCGCCTCTGATCATCATCGTCTATTGTCTATCCACTGCCGGATTGAACATCACAGTCCTGTGGTGCCACAATCCATGCGGCTCCTGCACGTGAAGTGACCTCTGACTCCACCTCGTGAGTGGTCGTGCGTTCCCTCCCTTGGCTGCCACTTCTTCACCAGTTCCGTACATTGACCATCGTCCACTGTAGCCACGTGTCGTGCCCGAGACCACTAGCTTTTCCCTTATTAGTCAATATGCTGACATTCATTTGCTTTCTGATCCAAGTGTTTGTTAGTCTAACTCCCAGCATGCACCATTCCTGTGCTTTCTTGGTCACTTATTAGCCCCCTCTTCCATCTTTGCCATCGTCCATGTTTGTGCGTCGTTCATCAGCTGCCAATATTAATGTCAGCTGGGCCGTTGGTGGCTGTGCACGTGGCCTGTAATCCAGTGCTGTGGAGGCAGTGAGGGTTGGTGGCTCACCGCACAGATGTTGCGAAACTCCCTTGCCGTGAGCGTCGAGGAGGAGCCGTAGCCTTACTCGCCAGGATAAGGCGGTTCAGCTAATTTTAGACGAAACTCCATCCGTTTCTATCTGCATGGGGATCGAGTGTTGTCCCTTCGCACGCATGGTTTTTTTTCTCTTCCAGATGCTCCGGTTTCCTTCCACATGTGCAAACAACTCCTACATTGGTTGAAAAATGTTTTTAATATAAAAAACACCTGATCCAGGACTATCCTAAAAATGTAGAATTGAACTCAGGGTGGCTTTCCTGGATAAATAAGTAATTATTATAATATGCACTGATTAAAAAAGGTTGCTCCTCGTGCACAACTTGGTATGCTGCTCTTAATTTTGAGAAATGCGAATTACGACAATGCAGCAATCGAATACATAAATCGTGTAGCCATTACCATCATCAGTCAATGTTGTATAGCCACAAAGGAAAATGCCCATTTAGTTCCATCACTCAGCATAAAATATTTACGTGATGGTGTTGATGTGTGTGGTCTTGTATTTTGTCTGTGTGTGCTCGTATCAGCAGTCGTTTGACACAGAGGAAGTGCCAAGAGGAGGCAGCAATGACGGTAAGGAACAATTGGTTGCATGTGCGGTGTGTTTGATTCATAAGTAAACGTTCATTAATTGGCCAATAACACCTATATATAGAGAACCGCAGAACTTGGGCAGTTGTTGGCGTCGGTTCATCCCACGGCTTGTTTGTGGTTCATCCTCGTGACTCTGAGTCGTTCCCTCTCTTCCAGCTGAAACTTATTATTAATAGGTGCTCGCGAACAATACTTAACCCAACAGTCTACTTTCTTTAGTTTGCACACGCGGGATTGTGCGCGTCCAATCGGAATTGGTGGTGTAGTGTTTATCACACTTCGCTTCGAATCTGGCTACCCGAGTTCGATTCCCGTTCACGGCCAATATCGGTTGTGAATATATGAACCGGTCCTGGGCCACCCCAAGGTCGACTCAGCCTTAAACGAGAACCCGTATATAGATATCAGAACTAGGCAGTCGGTGTGGTGCTGGGCACCAACTCCTTCATATGCCGTGCCAACCTTCATCGGTACTCATTAACAGCACTTGCCCCTCCAGTCCGTCAAGGCTATAGGGGGGATCTTTGTTTGTGTTTTCTATGTGTGGGAGGCGGTGTGAGTATGAGTGGGAGGGTGTGGATGCTGTAATTTATATTGTTGCATATTTTCAATTCCTCAAGGCACGCTTGTGATTAGAAAATACTTCTTTTAAAGGACAAAACAAATCACACGAGTTACACTCAAGCTGAGGGTTAGGGTTGTGTGAGAGTTGGGCTCAGATTAAGTTCGGGTTGTGGTTGTGGCTAGGGTTTGGTTAGAGTTGGGCTAGGGTTTAGTTAAGGTTGTGGCTAGAGTTTGGTTAGAGTTGGGCTAGGGTTTAGTTAAGGTTGTGGTTGTGGATGTGGCTAGAGTTTGGTTTGAATTGGGCTAGGGTTGAGTTAAGGTTAAGGTTGTGGCTAGAGTTTGGTTAGAATTGGGCTAGGGTTTAGTTAAGGTTGTGGTTGTGGCTGTGGCTAGAGTTTGGTTAGAGTTGGGCTAGGGTTGAGTTAAGCTTGTGGTTGTGGCTAGGGTTTGGATAGAGTTGGGCTAGGGTTGAGTTAAGCTTGTGGTTGTGGCTAGGGTTTGGCTAGAGTTGGGCTAGGGTTGAGTTAAGGTTGTGGCTAGAGTTTGGTTTGAGTTGGGCTAGGGTTGAGTTAAGGTTATGGTTGTGGCTAGAGTTTGGTTTGAGTTGGGCTAGGGTTGAGTTAAGGTTGTGGTTGTGGCTAGAGTTTGGCTAGAGTTGGGCTAGGGTTGAGTTAAGGTTGTGGTTGTGGCTAGGGTTTGGCTAGAGTTGGGCTAGGGTTGAGTTAAGGTTGTGGTTGTGGCTAGAGTTCGGTTTGAGCTAAGTTCGGGTTGGGTTGGGGTTGGAGTTGGGACAATTGAGTTAGAGTTGGGCTCGGGATGAAGACGATCACGGGCACCACCATGATCAGCACAACGACAACGACGTGGTGCGGTGACAACGATGACGACGACGTCGATTGTCCACGCTCGCGTGCACCCACCTCCCCTCCACGTGCTCCCCCCCCCCCCCACGCAGCGGTGCCGTTCCGCGCAGTGTGGGAGCGCAGCTTCTGCCGCGCCATGGAGGTGCTGGTGCCCGTGTCGGCCGAGCGACCGCGGGACGTGGAGCATCTCTTCAAGCCGCCCTGCGTGCGCCTCCTGCGCTGCGCCGGCTGTTGCGGGGACGAGCGGCTCCAGTGCTTGCCCACGCGCACGCACAACACCACCATGCAGGTGCGTGCCCACACACACAACACCACCATGCAGGTGCGTGCCCACACACACAACACCACCATGCAGGTGCGTGCCCACACACACAACACCACCATGCAGGTGCGTGCCCACACACACAACACCACCATGCAGGTGCGTGCCCACACACACAACACCACCATGCAGGTGCGTGCCCACACACACAACACCACCATGCAGGTGCGTGCCCACACACACAACACCACCATGCAGGTGCGTGCCCACACACACAACACCACCATGCAGGTGCTTGCCCACACACACAACACCACCATGCAGGTGCTTGCCCACGCGCACGCACAACACCACCATGCAGGTGCGTGCCCACACACACAACACCACCATGCAGGTGCGTGCCCACACACACAACACCACCATGCAGGTGCGTGCCCACACACACAACACCACCATGCAGGTGCGTGCCCACACACACAACACCACCATGCAGGTGCTTGCCCACACACACAACACCACCATGCAGGTGCGTGCCCACACACACAACACCACCATGCAGGTGCGTGCCCACACACACAACACCACCATGCAGGTGCGTGCCCACACACACAACACCACCATGCAGGTGCTTGCCCACACACACAACACCACCATGCAGGTGCTTGCCCACGCGCACGCACAACACCACCATGCAGGTGCGTGCCCACACACACAACACCACCATGCAGGTGCGTGCCCACACACACCACACCACCATGCAGGTGCGTGCCCACACACACAACACCACCATGCAGGTGCGTGCCCACGCACACAACACCACCATGCAGGTGCGTGCCCACACACACAACACCACCATGCAGGTGCGTGCCCACACACACAACACCACCATGCAGGTGCGTGCCCACACACACAACACCACCACGCAGGTGCGTGCCCACACACACAACACCACCATGCAGGTGCGTGCCCACACACACAACACCACCATGCAGGTGCGTGCCCACACACACAACACCACCATGCAGGTGCGTGCCCACGCACACAACACCACCATGCAGGTGCGTGCCCACACACACAACACCACCATGCAGGTGCGTGCCCACGTGCACTGCAAAAGACAACGACCCTCCCCCGGATAGCCTTTGCGAGACTGTTGGGGCAATTGCTGTTAACGAGCGCTAATAATTATCTATGAAGGTCGGCATGGAATACGACGGGGTGGGAGGCAAGCACCACGCCCAGCCGCCTTTGTCTTTCTAGTGGCGACGTAAAGGTACTCGATGAAGACTGAGTCAACGTATGGGATTCCCAGGACCAGTGTTCACTGCACAGAGCACTAACCACTACAATACCGATACACACAAGGGTTCACACACGGATACACGCAATACCGTCATACAGGTTTGTACACGGCTGTAATATACATGCTATATAGACCCATGCTGTCATTCCTAGTGCTGATACTGTTGAAGATGCTCTTCTTATTCCTGGTGCTGCTAGTGTTGGTGATGCTGATCATACTGGTGGTGCTGATGTTGCTCGCTGGTGGTGGTTGCTGATGTTTAGATTCTAAAGGTGAAGCCGCTGCATGGGCAGTATTTGGAAGAGATGACGTTTGTGCAGCACAGTGCGTGCGAGTGCAGGTGAGTACACACAAACACACGGATACACACACAGGTATACAACAGGTGCCATTCGCCACTAAGTGGTGGTGACGTCACCGTAGCACTTGTGCCAGGCCACATGCAATTTGAGGTCACGCGAAGTGTAACCTAAAATTACATTGGCAGGAAGGTCATAGGACAGACTCAGGAATAATGGGTTGACTGAACAAGGTGACTGGCAGATTCACCATCTGTGCTACCAACTGTGCCAACTTGCTGCGTTTAGCTGCCCGGCACACCGCCCCGTTGTTGTGAGCGTCGTTCCTTCGCCCTCTGTTGTTGTTGGAGGGCGACTGCCTCCAATTGAAAGGTAGCATCTTCTTACGAGCCTCCTCCGACAGAGGCCGATCGTGACACCGCACGTTTCAAGGCACGATGCCTTAACCCTAATCCAACCCAAGATGACGTTTTGCAAGCGTAGAGAGGGGAAGTGCATAACTACGGCTGATAAGATCCAGAGCGATGTATTCAGTGATAGGTCAGGTGGCTTCCACACGGTGTAACGCAGCCGATGAAAAAAAACGTCGCTTGACTGATACGGAGTGAGACCTTGGCTGCCAAACTCTAGCCACCGTTCCTTCCCGATCCACCAAAAAATACTGCTTCGTTGGAGTCAAGACCCGGCCACTTGAACACAAAGCGAATGAAGAGAAAACAAGAGGGGGAATTAGGGAGGATGCGGCTTGGGCTCAGGGTGTGTTCCGTGGTGTGCGGACAGGGGAGGAGGAGAATGTGGCAGAAGTTGCGTTCGCGGTTATTGCATTGATGGCAGACAAATTCACAGTCCAGGGCACTTTGCACGGCGTCACCGATTCACCCCCCCCCCCCCCCTCATTGAAATAATGTTAATCAACATTGGTATAATAATAAGAGCAATTATTTATCCAGAAAAGCCTCACATTGAGTCCCAAGAATATGTTTATGCTGGTTCCTGCACTGGCATGTTTGGCCACTGTCTCCTATTTTTAAGTGGTTTTTGTTTTTGTTTGCGAGTGGAAGAAAACTGGAGTATCTGGAGAAAACCCATGCATGTAAGGCGGGGGCGGGGAACCTTTTTTTCTGCCAAGGGCCATTTGGATATTTACAACATCATTCGCGGGCCATACAAAATCAACTTAAAAATTAGCCTGTTATATTTGGTCAAACATTTAATTAACTTGCCCCTAATGTGATGGCTGGAACTGCTTCTCTTTGGCGAGGCGTGTGATGTTAGCTGGTGTTGATGATGTTGCTACTCGCAACTGCTTTTCCAGGTTTGCTCCTAGAGTTATTGAATTTCGAGTCCCGCCTGCGGTTGCCTTGGCAGGGCCACACCAAATGATTTCGCGGGCCTTATACGGCCCGCGGGCCGGACGTTCCCCACCCCTGATGTAAGGGAACACCACTGACAAAAAATGTGCCACAGTGAGTGTTTTGAATCGATTGGCTATCAATACATAATTAAATTTGCAAAACGGTCAGACAATTTCAACCAATCTCTTAACTACCTCACCGCCATCGTTTATTATTCATACCACGACCTTCCACGCAGTACATCTCGAGGAGCCGGAGCAAGAGGGGGCATTTGAGAATCTCGCTCAGTGAGCAAGTGGTTGGACACCAAACACTGCTCATATCCAGTGCAGAGGAGACAACACAAACACACACCACACGATGTTCATATGCAGTGCAGAAGAAACAACACTCGCACACAACACGCGGTGTTCATATGCAGTGCAGAAGAGACAACACACACACACCACACGATGTTCATATGCAGTGCAGAAGAGACAACACACACACACACAACACGCGGTGTTCATATGCTTTGCACAAGATACAACACACACACCACGAGAACAGGCAACACTGAAAAGCCAAACTGTGCTTTGACAAACCCACTCCGTGACACTGCCGGCATAACGACCTCTACATCCTGTGACCCCCCACCCCCCACAGACAAGTAACGAGCAAAGGAAAATCAGAGAGGTGAGTTGAGCACTGGGGTCGGGGAAACAAACGAAAACACCATCCATCGCAGTGTTTGTTTTAATTATAAAGAGTGCACCGTGATGTACTGGGCCCCGCTTTGAGAACGTGGAATTTCCACGCCTGGCCTCAGGGCCGACGGTTGCGATGAGCCGAGCACCGCCACGTGTTCGCTCAGGTGGGGGGGGGGGGGTGTACACACACTTTGACTTCGCGATAAAAAAGTAGCTTTTCAACTCACAGCAGCTTTGGCAGCTAAATAAAACTCCAAATTAGAAGGAATGTGCTTTGCATGTCTGTGAGCGAGTCTCTTTTTCGCAGCACTTAGTTCAGTAATGTCTTCTTGGCGTACAGAGTCGAATCCGAACTCATCCTGACTGGAATGAATCAAGGACCTAAATTCCATCTCTGAGAATTCAAAAAACTATATCAGATTGACCTGTCAAGCGAAGAACATTACTGTCTGTAGCAACATAGTTGGGAAAGTGTTGCCCTCCCCACTCACCCCTACCCCCGGCGTAGATAAGAGGTGACTTGCAGAGATATTGGAAGTAGTTCTGCGATACCCGCTTCCGTTCTCTTACACCGGTCGCACAGCTCAGCGATAGTTCCAAACGGACTCTTCGTGATGAAACCCGGCCAAAGGGGACGTGAATCGCGGCGTTCAATTATTTTCCTCCGTGCAGAGCGCGGGAGCCTGAATCAAGGAAAGAGCGACGAGAGAGGAGGAAGGAACGGCAGCGGAAGGAGGGAGCCAAACCGTGAGTCCACCCACAGCGGGTCAACGTCGCCGCCTCCACCTTCACACTCTCGGAGCAGAAATTGCAAACGCTCGAGAGAACATTTCCAACGCAGAGCCACAACTTTCTTTTCGTCCCGGGATTGTTCATGTTGTGGCTTCTGAATGTGTAAATGGTTGGTTAGGTAGGTAGGTGAAAGGGTACGGAGGTGGTTAGGTAGCTATGGGGTTGGAGAGGTAGTGGGTAGGTGGGTAGCAAGTAAACTTGGTAGGTAGGTGGGTGGTTAGGTATGTCGTTTGATACAGTCCCTGTGATCACTGTTACGTTGCAATTGTGGCTTTATTTTTTTGGTGATTTGGAAAACCTTTTTTTGGGTTTGGACATGTTTGTTTTGTTGTAGTACGGAGTTAGACTGATGGCCTTAATCTAAGTTTTCTTGTGGTTGTTGTTGTTTGACTTGCATCCCACTGGGATTTTTTGCACACAGCGTTGGTGCTTTTTTCAGGAATATTTTGCTGTTTTTTCTTGGATTTTCTGTTTTGCACAGTCACATAGTCACTTTAAGATGTTTTTCTTGTTCGTGTTTTTGTTTTTTGTTTGTTGTAGTTGCACCCGATTCAAGAGACGAATGGCTCACAGGGCTATACCAAAATAAATAAACTGAAAAAAGGGTAGGATAGTAGGTAGGTTTGTGAGTCAGTAGGTAGATAGTTGAGTAGGTGGATGGGTAGATAGGCAGGGAGGCATTTTGGTTTAAAGCAGATGAGAATGTCTTAATTTGAAGCTTTCGTGACTGCAGGAATTCATACTCTATAAATAATAGATCACCATTATTTATTTTCCTATCTACGTGACTTTACCGAAAGAACGAAAGAGTACAGATCAGACTGGTCAACAAGGCAACACTTACATACTGCAAGACATGCACACATATCTGTATCGTCATTAGACCCAGCAATAGCGATTTATAAGGTACGAAAACCGTCCTACAGGTTGCCAAATATAAATATAGATTTTTTTTTATGATTAAAAAGGCAATGAGAAACATTTATTTGGTAGACACATTTGGCAATGCACTACTGTGAACATTTGTTTTACATTTAAACTGAGTGCGGAGCAAACACGTGGGAATATTTCGTTGACTTTCGATTTTTTTTCTGCTCCAGCTGTTGTCGTGTGATTTGCCACGCTCATGTGTGTGGTGTGTGGTGGTGGGGGGCCCAGCTAACAGCGGTTGAGCGAACCGCCTGGCAGCGAACTGGGCCCCCCGGAATGAGACCCTCGGCATTCTCTCCCCCCCCCCCCCCCCAAGTGTCAATTCGCAGCTGCCTGCTGCCAACGGAAGTGCGACTCGCGGTTGCTAGGATACAGGTGCCACTGTTGTCAAAGCAACACGTCGCACAATGACATGTGTTGCGTAGGAATTGAGGGCCCCCCCTCCCCTATGATTTAAAATGAGATGGAGCGGTGGCACAGCGGTTTGGCACGCCGCGATACGAACCTGGCGATCTGGGCTCGATTCCCGGCCACCGTGGCTAACGTGAGCGATATCCGAACAACCGCTCCTGGGCCAACCCCTCTTTCGCCAACCTTCAATGACCATACTTCCCCACGATGGTCATCGCAGGTTCGTGAACCGGTTCCTGGGCGCGTATCCTTCACCAAGCCGCACTGACAAGCGTTCGTGAAGTATGGTTAAACAACCCCCATGGCTGACACGGTATTTGGAAGGCGTTCATCCTAGTACAGTATGTTCTCCCATAACGCGTGTTTTCACAGCGTGAATTTGATATAACCCGGTGAATGTATTCGGGAACACAGGTTTTTATAACGCGGATGCGAATCGGATATGACTTGACTGAGTGAACAGAACTGCGTCACGCGAGTAGGAATAAGCAGTTGTCCGGTTGCCTTGGTGTAGCGTCGCAACAAGGCATTGGGATACTGCTGGATGCTTCTCGATGCTACTCCCCACGCGCCTCAGTCTTTGTTCAGCCTGCATACGCACCTGACGCGTTATCGCGGACTGTGCTTTACCCTGTTGTATATATTATTTATTTACTTTATAATTTATCATAACGCGATTTTTCCATAGCGTGGTGTTCTTCCGGAATGCAAAAAGCCGCGTTATAGAAGAACAGACTGTATTCGATTGACTAACAACTGTAGAGTTATCAATGCTTTCATTGACAGAGGGTGCAGAAGCCCACTGGGTCAGTTACATAAGACGTGGTACTCTCACTGTTATTCGCAGTGGAAATCAGAGTGGCCATAAAATTAGGAAGCAATTTTAACTCCGGGAATTTGTTTGCATCTGGTGCCAGGATCTAAAACGGGTTGCCAACTTGGCGCGCCCGACACGATCTGCCTGATCCGCTCGGCGCAAACCTCGGACCGCTCGTCTGGGGTCTTTAGCGGAAATTCTCGCCGACGTTCCCCTCTGTCCTCGATGCCCAAGAACAATAAATCCATCGCTCGCGAGGCCCATTGTCACTGAGGAGCGGCGCTAAGCCCGTAAAGCAGATGAACCGCCGCGATGTCAGCTGCTTTAGCCGACGCGTCAAGTCGGACAAAAAGTAACGGCGCGGGGTTGCTCAGAAGGCCGGAACAGCCCACGGAAGAAAAAAAGAAAATCCATGCGTACGCGTGGTTATCGCACGCCAAAAAGGGTTTCATCAGCAAACGGGTAACGTGACGTTTCAGGCCACGCAGGAACAACGTCGCGTGGGGCGCATGGAGCGTTGACGTCGCGCGTAACGAAGTCGTCGGGAGGGGAGAGGCAGTGGGGCGGTGCGCTGACTTTTAGCGCTGGTTTTTTTGGGGAATCTTTTGGGGCGCTGGGTTTTTTTTTTGTCTTCAAGCTTTGGGTAACCCTCTGATTGTTCCGGCTGCCTTTCTTTCAAGTTATTCCCATTGGTTCATATTAGATCATCGTTACCCCCCACTCCCCCCGTTACAGCGTCACAAGAGGGTTAGGAAGGAATGCATTCACGGCTAATATGCCACAAGCACTGTAGATCTGGTAGGGCTCCGCGATCCACCAGAAAAGCTATGACCCGACCAACAAATTACCCCGACGGGTGTAACCGCCGTAAAGTACTCCGGGGTGGGGGGGGGAGCAGTGTTCTTCATTGCCCCCCTGACGTGCGGCACCCGGACAATACACAAATAGTGAGACTCCCCCACGCACCACCACCATCATCGTGCTGCTGTCAAACCCAACAATGGTTTCACTGATGATGGGTCTTTTTCGGCGAAAATGGGCTCGCCCCCCTTTTCTGTAAATTCGCGAAGAACGCTGCTCTGGAGAAAAACAGCGCGAGCGCCATCTGTTGGTGAGAGGCTATCTTTGTTTTTCAACGTATGGATTCTTAGTCGGGGATTTTTTTGTTATTTGCCATATAAGCCGTAACGAGGATCGTCGTTTGCCGATGTTGCCGTTCGTTCTGATTTGTCCTGAGATGCACGGCAAAATGTGATTTTGATCACCCACCCACACATTGGTCACCGGTACATAAATGCTCTCCAAAAGTGGGTTCAGGTTGCAGAGGTGTTGTTCAGTACAGCGGTAACGGCAGCGTGCACGTTTTATTATCTTAAAAATAGATTTGTCTAGCGGCCTTATTCCAAGGCGCTATGTAGGTGACAGGAGAAGAGGCGGAAGAGGTTAGCGAGGGGTTGGTGTAGTGATAGGGGTCGGGTTAGTGATGGGCGTAGTGGTAGTGATAGAGGTTGGGTTAGGGATGGGGGTAGTGATAGGGGTTGGGGTAGAGGTAGGAGTAGTGATAGGGGTGATAGGGGTAGTGATTGGCGTAGTGGTAGGGGTAGTGGTAGGCAGTGCCGGATTATCCTAGTAGCAAAAGTAGCATATACGACGGGCCCCGCACTTTCAAGGGCCCCGCGCTAAATGCTTTCAAGCTATCAATTCCGGGTCAGTGATTCTGCACTTGCTCTATTACTGTAGTACTATACTGCCTTCAACTTTTATGAACGACCGGGTGTTTAAGGTTAGCGATTTGTCGTATTATCTGGCTGTATAGCAAATGAAAAAATACAATTACTTTACTATGCAAGTAAAAAAAAATGTGTTTTAATATTTGTTTTTTTTTTATGGCCCCTTTATAACACGTGCTACAGGTCCCGCACGAGCTTAATCCGGCACTGGCGGTAGGCGTAGTGGTAGTGATAGGGGTAGTGATAGGCGTACTGATGGGGGTAGCGATAAGGGTTGGGGTAGTGATAGGGGTAGGTCTGGTCGTAGCTGGATGGGCTCGGGGAGAAGAGATGAGGATTGTTTTAAGGGAGGAACGTAAGCAGGTTAGCGAAGGCGATTTTGCAAATAGTCCGGTTCATGAAGTGGCTGAAACCAGTTTATCAGCCGTTCTTACTGCCGAATATAGCGGTCACGGCGCAACAAATATATACTAGTTGACTGTCAAGCACGTTTTTTTGTCCTGTATCCCTCATTCCTCCCACAGTGGCCCAAAGCGTGTTGTCCCTTAAAGGACAACATCCGTTTTTGTACTGCGCTATCCTGCTGCTGTTGTTGTTCCCAAAGGTCAACAGTGCAACGAGAACGGCAACTGCTGGGTGGGATGGGCCCCACACGTACGGCCGTTTTGTCGATCCACTGCTGGATGAGGGCTTTCCGCACGCCAGTGAGCGTTATACACCGGTTTGCGAAGGCGGGGAGCGTAGGCGTTGGAGGATAGTATAGTACAACAACAAATTTTGCTGTGTTGACTCTCTGCTGCTCAGCATCACACCGCAGTCAACGTGGTAAAACATATATACTGTACTTGCAATCTGGTTGTTCCTTATGCCAAATGTTTGCGGAAACCACCTTTCCGCCAACGTGACGACTCGACGCTTATCCCCAACGACGATGCAAATGTACAATGAGATCACAGTAAAAAAGAAGAGTGCCTCATGTCGGCCACCTTGAGACTACTTCATACACTCTGTCCTCTCCTCTAACGCGGTAGTTGCCTTCCTGAACACCGCGCTATGGAAACAAAAAAATCACAGTCCTCGTGAGATGTGCACACAGGTTGAACAAAGACTGAGGCGCGTGGGTAGAGCATCTCGAAGTATCCAGCAGTATCCCAACGCCTTGTGTGACGCTACGCCGAGGCAGCCGCACAACCGCTTATTCCTGCTTTCGCGACGCAGTTCTGTTCACTGCAATCGCGTTATATACAGGGTGTTATAAAATAATGGACCCAATTTCAAAGCAGTATATTTCACGATGGCAACATGTTACAATTACACAAAAAGTTACAAACGGTTTAATGGGTAATGAAGTTTTACTAACCATTTTATAAATGCTCTATGTGCCCTCCACCTGCTGTACGGACAACATCGAGAAGATAGTTGAATTCGTCCCAAACGCCTCTCAAAGTGTCTTCTTCCACTGAAGTCACCGCTGCCGTGATTCTGTTTTTGAGGCCATTCAGATTAGTCGCTAATGGTGGCATAAAAACACCACGGTCTTTTGTGCCACCACGCTCTTTGACATTGGCGGATCAATGCCAAAACGCCGTTGAAACGCACGCTGCACCGCAATTACGGATTCAGTCTTGCTTAATTGCAGAACGCAAAACGCCCCTTGTTTTGCGGGGTCGCCGTCTTGCGAATGACCGAGGCTAGGGGCTGTTTGTGCGCTGGAAGAGGCATCTAGCGGTAATCATTTTAAACTCTATGCCCCGCCCTTTCAAGTGGTAAGAGTTTCATTCGTGGGCGGTTCGTGGTTGCAGAGATATAGCGATTTCAAATCGGGTCCTTCTTTTAAAACACCCTGTATATAAAGTGTTCCTTAATACATTCATCATGAAAACTCTACGCGTTATAGGACAACTGACTGTATTTGGATGACCAAAGGCTTTGCCTGGTAATGCAGGCGTGGAAGCTGCGAGGTGTGGCCAGGCGATGCCGTGGCTGAATGTCACCACCCTGCCCGCTGCCACCTATCCCTCGCGTGTGTCCTGGAGTTTCTCCAGATCCTTCAGCTTTCTCTCACATTAACTTAGCGGCTCGTTCGTGGAATTGGCCAAATATCGAAATGCAGGACCCTCACATATATATGAAAGCCTTGAGACTCAGTGAGGCTTTTTTTGGGTAAATATAATTCAGTCATTCGACTGTTTCATCAAGTTCTCAGTTCACTTTTTTCATGTTTAACCAGGTGAGAACTCAAGAGACCAGGATTCGTCTCATTTGCAATAGTGACCTGGGGTCTGCTAGTTGGGGGAGATGATTGCTACGTATAATCCCAATTGAGTAATTTACGGGGTAATGTTGACCCTGACGCCTACACACTTTGCCAATGACGTCAGGACAATTTCAACATTCACGATGTACAAACCCAAGGTGTCTTGGAACGACGTGTCTCTCTCTATTCCCGGGAGCGGTGGCACAGTAGTTAGCACACTGCAGTATGAACCCCGCGACCTGAGTGAGAGCCAGTCCCGGACCTCCCATAGGTCAACACAGTCTTAAATAAATACTGCACAGTACTTGTTTGTAATGCCGGGTAAGCATCAGAACTAGCTACGCCCACCCTCTCGTATGCCACGCCGGCCTTAAAGGGTGCTCGCAAACAAGCACTTGCCCCAACAGCCTATGTAAGCTATACACGGGATCTTTTGTCTCTGTATAAGTAAAGGTGCATCCCTGCAATTTCTCGCGCACGGCAATGCTGGCGGAAAGGGCGTCCACTAAAGAGCCCCTTTTGATATTTTAGCCGATGTTTCCATGAATGGCCAAGACGTCTTGGAAGAAGTGGCGAGCCACCCACACGTTGCCTCACCGCACGCGACCTGCCGATCATCTAAAACTAAACACTTTTATTTTATTTTACCAGGTATATACTGTAGCTCCTTTTAAGAAGCGACTTGGCAAAAAATGATGGATCATCGTGTTGACATTTATAGCAGCCAATTACTCTAAACCCGGATGAAAATCTACACGACCACGTGGGAGAGAGACATGCACACTCCAAATATACAGGCGTCAGAGTTGGGATCGAACCCACGATCTCTCCTGCATACCAAGCGAGGTAGTTAACGTCTGTCCATCAACAAACTGTGGTGAACCCATCCGTAATGCCGGGTGTACGGAGGCAGCGGAGGGGGGTTTAATAGGAAGCGTGTCCATTGTTCCAGCTGCCGTACCGGAAAATCAAAATTAAACCATGCGACATCTGCATTGCAAGTCAAGTGTGCCACACCACCAGTTTCACGAGAGCACGTCCCAGTGTGTGTGTGTATATATACACGTAACATTTTTAGGCGAAATCTGTCAAATAGCAACGCTAGAGATAATTCCACAAGGTGATCTATTTATAGATAGCCCGCGACGAAATGATGTGACGCGAGTTCAGAGGTGCGAAGCATCACACACAGCACGTGGCACCAACCGTGACGTGCGGTGGCCTTCATAGATGCTCGCTATCAGCAACTTGCACGTAAAAGTCTGTTAAGGCGAAACGGGGGCCGGGGGGGGGGTGGTCTTTGTCTTTGCGGTGGCGAGGTGGGGAGCGCACTGCGCGCTACCCGCGTTCGATTCTCTCGCTCACGGCCACAAACAATCGGTGGGCGAACATCTGAACCGGTCGCGCGCCTCGCCTAAGGTCGACTCTCTTGGGGAGGCAAAGGCGGCCGGGCGTGGTGCTGGCGCGCACGCGCACCACCGCGCGGACCTTCGTAAGGTGCCCAATTCGCTTCACAGCACTCGTCCCGACCACTGTTTAAGGCTTAACCGGTGGAATCTTCGTCTCTGCGTTTCTAGACGCAGCAGCAGCAGCACGTGTCCCCCGTGCGTCGGGCGCAGGCGCAGCCTCTTCTCGCAGGACCCGAGCACGTGCGCGTGCACGTGCCTGCTCCCCGCGGCGCGCTGCCTGCAACGCGGCCGCCTCCTCAACACGAGCACCTGCAGGCGAGTTGGCGGAGCGGGCTTCTCCTCCCTCGTTCTTGCCTCCTCCTCCTCTCCTTCTTCCCCCTCCTCCTTCCCCTGCCCCCCTCCTCTTCCTCCTCCCCATCCCCCCTCCTCCTCCCTTCTACCCCCTCCTCCTCCTCCCCCCCTCCTCCGCCCTCCTCCTTCCCCCCTCCTCCTCCCCCTTCCCCCTCCTCTCCCACCTCCTCTCCCCCATCCCCCCCCCCCAGCCCACCCCCAGCCCACCCCCAGCCCACCCCACGCAAATCCTCCCGCTCCCCGCCAGGCTCTCTGGGATCCTCACCTCCGCCACCCACCCACGCACACCACAAGTTCAAAGCGTGCCCCAAAAAATCAAACTTGTAAGTGGCCCCTGGGTGAGTCGGAGGAGGCTCAGAGACGATGGAGACGGCATAACTGCTGAGGATCGCGCAGTTTATAGACACCCTGTGGTGTACGCGTGGTTGATTTTTGACCCCTGCTGCGAGGATATTACAATTGGGCTGTCAGTTGAATTTTATTTCCCCCCCCTTCCTCGTAGCTCGGTTGCCTGGGCCTCCTTTTGCCCCATGGGTTCCCGGGTGCAGTTGCACAGCCTGCATCATCTAGAGCAGCGAGCGGTTCTTCACATTTACTGCAGACTGCACCCCTTTGGTTCTTAGAAAGGGCATCTCGCACGCCCAGGGAGGTGCGTGCATCCCAGGTTAAGAATCACTCTCTTGAGCCACAACACCGCAGGCAACGTGCGAATAAACTGGGTTCTCAGTTGAATGGAGTGAGTTGGGAATTTTACAAATTTAGTTTTTTTTTGCAATGGGATGGACTTTACCGTCTAATAAGGTCACAATTAAACAGGCGTGCACCTTGTGTGAATAACGATGCCTACTACTGAAGTGACTTCAGAGGTAGAAGTTCTACTGTGCTGTCATCTTCTGAGAACATTCTCTGACACATGCCGATGACACACTGGTCACTGCAGGGTTCCGAATCGAATTGTCTTCTGAATGATGCAAAGAGGGAAAATGAACCTTATGGCGGTACCCCGGGGTACCATAGTACCCCGGCTCTCGCATAATGTCCGTGATGCAGTCATTTTTAGTCTGGTGATAGTCGGCGATGCGGCAATCGACTCATCTCGACGAGCTGTACACGATGAATTATTAAAAGTAAAAATTTTCGATAATGGATTTTTGATGTTAATGTTTGGCGTTTCGACATCGCGGAGTAGCACTGATATCGGATTGATTGGTACCCCAGTCGCGGGGTTAAGTACACCCCTGGAAAAAAATGTGTCCTAGAAATAAAATATTTAATTGCTTCGGTCATTTTGTATTATTTGGTACCCCGGGGTACCGCCATAAGGATCAATTAGAAAACCCCCTTTAGCTTTAGCCACTCTCACCTTATTGGTGATTGGACAAGGCAAGTGGGGTGGGCGTGGTCACATTGCCTAGCCCTTTTCTTTGTAACTTTTTTCTACAATTATCCCCTTTGATCACGAACAGAAGTGGTTCTTAACCTTTACAGCAGCCTGGCACCCCTTTGGTTATCAATCGTTCAAACGTGTATGATGTTAATAGATGCATAGGTTTGATGAAACAAAGTATCGATTTCAAGCTTTCGGTAAAGTCACGTAGAAGGGAAATATTTTTATTTTATTATATTGAATTTTTATTATTTTATTATTTCCCTTCTACGTGTCTTTACCGAAAGAACCAAGAAGATGAAACAACGTGCCCGTGCTTAACTTGTGTTACCTTCTAAAAAAAAACATCCGGCACGTTTCGCACCCCCAGGGGGTGCACGCACCCCCAGGTTAAGAACCACTGACGCACAGCAATTAGGATAACGATATAGCCAAAACTAAACTTTTATTTCACCAGGTAAAGTCCACCGAACCGCGGGGCTCTGTTCAGCGCATCAAAGTGGCTTATCATGCGGGCATTTGGAGCAGGCAAATAATCAAGACCCGCGTTTTTTTTTACGTAAACGAGAAACCCGGAGGAGCGCGGGAAGCACATGTATACTCAACACTACTTACAGCCGTCAGGGTAGAGGTTGAACCAATGTCATCTAGCAACTCAGGCAAGGGCGATAACATTAATGATGTCACGGGGGCAACTGCATCGTTCTTCATGGTTGTGCTGTATAGCCCTGAAGTGTTCAACCCGAAAATGAATCGGTGCAATACCAGGGGCTGTAAACAATACTATTTACTCCAGCTCTCGGTCAACGCACCGGTGGATGAAGGTCTCCCTATGCTGTTGGTCATGGGGGTTGTTTGACCATATTTCACCGCGCCGGTCAGTGCAGGTTGGCGAAAGGGGACACGGGGGTAAGGGCCGGTGCTGATGTCACTTGCCACTGATGTTAGCCGTGGTGGCTAACATCAGTGGGTTTATAGTGCAGCGCGCCAACTGCTGTGCCACCACTCCTCCAAAAACGTTTTTTGATTCATGTTTATTTTGTTGTAGTACGGAGTTAGACTGATAGCCTTAATCTAAGTTTTCTTGTTGTTGTTGTTTGACTTGCATCCCACTGGGATTTTTTGCACACAGCGTTGGTGTACGGTGCTTTTTTCAGGAATATTTTGCTGTTTTTTCATGGATTTTCTGTTTGCACAGTCACATAGTCACTTTAAGATGTTTTTCTTGTTCGTGTTTTTGTTTTTTGTTTGTTGTGGTTGCACCCGATTCAAGAGCCGAATGGCTCACAGGGCTATACCAAAAGAAATCAACTGAAACTGAAGCACATAACGAAATGCAATGCAAATTCAGTAGCCAGAGCAGAGCGATGCCATTTACGGGGGTATAATTTCAAATATTTGGGAATTAGTTTTTAATTTGCAGCTTTTTAGGTACAGTATGTTAGAACAAAAACACAGGCAAATTTAAAACATGGTTGCATAAAATTAATACATTGTATCGTGTCAATTTTCTACAGCTGCAAATGCGTACTAACGTGTCATATCCTGGGTGTGTTTGTGTGCACGTGCGTGTGTGCTTCGTGATGAATCACAGGTGCGAGAGGCCCAGATGATCATTCCCTCCATCTGCGCCTCACTCTCTCTCCACCACAATTTATAAATATATTTAAGCTGCCAGAGAGAGCAGGAGAGGGTGGAAGACTGCCCGAGAAGGCATATTTATTGCAAGGGCAAAAATAACTTTGATATGATGAGACTGGATCATCAGGCACCTCCTGAGCCCTGACAAAAGTTGTTAAATCTCACTACTTTGCAATTGAAGATATTGTGCTTCTGGGGCAAAGGGACAAGAGGGCCTGGATGGTACACGGGACCTCTATGACCCATGGGACCTGGATGAGAATTGGGGTGTGGATGAGCATTGGGGGCTAAAAATGACCCATGGAGCCTGAGAATTTTCGCCTGAATGACAATCAAGGCATGAGAGCCATGGGGCCTGAATGAGACTTGAATCCGGAGAATTGGGGCCCCGATGCGGCCTAATTAACAATGGCATCTGAACAATAAGGCATGGATGAGAATTGGAGCTTGTAATAAGCCATGAAGAATCTCCCCCCACCCGCCCCTGATAAACAATGGCATCTGGATGAAGAATGGCGTCTGGATCAAAATTGGCATCTGGACGAACAATGGGGTTTGGATGACAATCGGCATCTGGATGAACAATGAAGAACTGGATTAACGAAATTCAGAGAGGCCAGCATGTGAGATGCGGTGTGGAGCACCCGGCCCATGCCATCCATTGAGTGAAAGATCATAATATGGACTTCGAGACTTTCAGAGGGGTCTGAGGGTCTGGCACAAGCATGTATGTGGCTGAACATTGATTATGGGACTTTGCGAACGATGGACAAATGGAAGGCTACGGTTTTTTTTTATATCTGACATGCGTCCTGTCCTTCTCGACTGGAACATGGAGTTCCGGGAGGGCTTTGTAACAGCTGGGTGTGGGGTCACGGGAGGACACTGGGACTCGTGTTGTCCTCTCCAATTATCCCACTTATGTCTGTTACGATTCCTTTACCCCTCACACCACATCGGCATCCCACTTCCCTCCCTGATTAAAATATATATACATTCAGGAGCTTACGATGTGCAGCTTTATTTAAAATTTACGTCACCAAAATAATTATTATTTTCTCCTTAAAAAAAGAAATGATGATTGTTATTCCACAGAATTATTCCACTCCCACACATCTCCCAGCACGTCCACCCACACACTTCCGCACATCAGCATTGTAAATAATCACGAATAAAAAAAACGTGTCTCCTGAAACGTGAACCCTTGCGTCTTGTTAAATGGTGCCTATGTGGGTTAATCACCGTGACTGCCATCATCATCAAGACCGTTAGTTATCAACTTCCTCCATTGTCATCTTCATCACCACCATCATCACCACAAAACACATTCATCATCATTGTAGTCACCCACTACTGCCATCATGACAATCACCATCATCATCAGCATAACCATCACCACCAGCTTCATTGACCTTTATCTTAAGCAGCGGTAGTAGCAAAACCATCAGCCTTTCTGTACTTTCAATAACTGAATATTGTTATCATTAGCATCATCATATCCCAATTGAATACGAGATGAATGTTCCAATCACCGTTTTCAATATTCTGACCTCACTGCTCCCTGCCACGCACTCTCCGACCTCTCTCTCCCCTCTCATTTCACTCCTGTGTTCTCCACTCATTATCTTACCTCCCCCGCTCTCATATCACCCATCTCTTCTGTCAAAGCCTCCAAGTTGACCTTTGCTCAGTGGGAGTTCGCTCATTCTCCTTTGCTGGCCCCACAGTCTGGCATCCCCTTCACAAGCCATCTGTGATGTCGACTCCCCTGTCCTTGTTCAATTCCAGGCTCAATATCTTTTTCTTCTGGCCATGGCTGCCTATATCAGAGGCCGGCGACCAAAATAAGAAGAGCCATTTTTTTCGAATTAGGTAAAAAGAACTCTAAACGTCAAGAGCCTCAATGCCACGTGGTGAATACGAGACGGTGGTCCTTAATAGACGTCACGAAGCAGCCTTTAAAGAGCCGCATGCGGCTACGGAGTCGCAGGTTGACAACCCCTGGCCTATATATTAAAAAAAAAACTCCCAGTTTCTCTGCAGCGTCTTGAGACGTGGTCGCATTTAGACGCCATACATCTCGATGTGCAGCACCTTTCTCAATCAACCGCTGGATGAGGGGCTTCCTGCGCAATGCCGGTCATGGGGCTTTAATTGACCATAGTCCACCGTGCTGATCAGAGCGAGTTAATAATAAAGGTGGACTTCTCCACAAATCTGGTTGTCGCCTGATGAAGGTAGTTGTAACTACTGGGGAAACGTCGTACTCAGATTGTAAATGTCGTGGCTTGGCTCTCGAACACACCGGTGTCGCTGTACTAGTGACGAATTGGCACGTTCTGTTTACGTGACAAACCTTACTAATTGGCTGTCGGGTGGTGGCGGGTTTAACGACACATGTACATATTAACGGAATCTAACCCCAAAAAAACCTCTATTATGAATCATATTGGTCGCGAAAGCCCTACTCCGTGTTAAAGGTGGGGATCATAGGCGTAGCCGCCTAGCACAGTATCCTGAAAGGTGCGACGAATCTCTACACGACGTACATCAAAGAAACGAACAGGGTAGGATGGTGGAGGCGAAGGCTGAGGCGGCGAAGGATACGATTAGAGGATGGACGATGCCTTCAGCGACGTAAGCGTGGGTTGAGGCGACGCAAATCAAGTCGTGGTATTCATAAAGTGACGACGTACTGTCAAAACGACGTAAAGGGGAGAGACTCTACATCGGGGTATAACTGTAGAACATCTTCTTTGGTTCTTTCGGTAAAGTCACGTAGAATGAGAATAAAATAATAAATTGATAAAATAAAATAACACTAATATTCTCACGACGTTTCGGCCACAACACAAGCGGCCTTCATCAGGTGAAGGGGACGAGACTGTCTGGAGGACAGCGCTGGGGTGAGAAAGCCACGCTGAGATCAGCGCTGTCCTCCAGACAGTCTCGTCCCCTTCACCTGATGAAGGCCGCTTGTGTTGTGGCCGAAACGTCGTGATAATATTATTGTGTTATTTTATTTTATCAATTTATTATTTTATTCTCATTCTACGTGACTTTACCGAAAGAACCAAAGAGGATGAATCCTTGCAGTCACGAAAGCTTTAAATCGAAACTGTAGAACAATTGGCTGTTTCTGTAACTGCCCTCTGCTGCCCACCACGTAGCCGCTCAGCTGCCTACAGCGCCTGCTTGTGCACGGCTTGGTCGCCTGTGTAAGCACTTTGAAGCTCTGTCGTCCCGACAGGTCTGTTACCTTTCACCTGAAGACGGCCGCTTGCGTTGTGGCCGAAACGTCGTGAGAATTGTATCGTGTTATTTTATTATTTTATTCTCATTCTACGTGACCTTACCGAAAGAACCAAAGAAGACACTTTCCATGGCTTAGCTTTTGAGATCCGAAGAGATCGGACGCACACCCTGTGATTTGGTCATCGACGAAGAAATGTTTGAACAGAGTTGCCAAGCAAATAAATGCATTTATTTTTTTAAAAAATTCCATGCAGCATAAGCCAAATTTAGACAAAAATAAATCAACGCACAGGTAGTCCTCGTTTAACGCGGTAGATGGGTTCCTGAAACAGTGCCGAGTTAGGCGAAAACAATTTCCCCATAACTAACATAAAGATACACTTTAGCGAGATGCGATGCACGCACACACAACAGCGAGCTGTTGGGAAAATCAACCGAGGGTACGCCGACGCGTCACTGTATCATTCCGCGTTTCTGTATCATGCCGCTCAGCCACGCAGCTCAAAAAAGTAGTTCATCATCGACCGCTCAGAAACCACGTTATAACAGTGTGCGCGTTCCACGTTATAACAGTGTGCTCGTTCTGCGTTATAACAGTGTGCTCGTTCCACGTTATAACAGTGTGCGCGTTCCACGTTATAACAGTGTGCGCGTTCCACGTTATAACAGTGTACTCGTTCCACGTTATAACAGTGTGCGCGTTCCGCGTTATAACAGTGTGCGTGTTCCACGTTATAACGGTGTACTCGTTCCACGTTATAACAGTGTGCGTGTTCCACGTTATAACAGTGTCCGCGTTCTGCGTTATAACAGTGTGCGCGTTCCACGTTATAACAGTGTGCGTGTTCCACGTTATAACAGTGTGAGCGTTCCGCGTTATAACGGTGTGAGCGTTCCGCGTTATAACAGTGTGCGCGTTCCACGTTATAACAGTGTGAGCGTTCCGCGTTATAACAGTGTGCGCGTTCCACGTTATAACAGTGTGAGCGTTCCGCGTTATAACAGTGTGCGCGTTCCGCGTTATAACAGTGTGCGTGTTCCACGTTATAACGGTGTACTCGTTCCACGTTATAACAGTGTGCGTGTTCCACGTTATAACAGTATGCTCGTTCCGCGTTATAACGGTGTACTCGTTCCACGTTATAACAGTGTGCGTGTTCCACGTTATAACGGTGCGCGTTCTGCGTTATAACAGTGTGCTCGTTCCACGTTATAACAGTGTGCGCGTTCCACGTTATAACGGTGTGCGTGTTCCACGTTATAACAGTGTGCGTGTTCCACGTTATAACAGTGTACTCGTTCCGCGTTATAACAGTGTGCGTGTTCCACGTTATAACAGTGTGCGCGTTCCACGTTATAACAGTGTACTCGTTCCGCGTTATAACAGTGTGCGTGTTCCACGTTATAACAGTGTGCGTGTTCCACGTTATAACAGTGTGCTCGTTCCACGTTATAAGTGTGCTCGTTCCGCGTTATAACAGTGTGCGCGTTCCACGTTATAACAGTGTGTTCGTTCTGTCTTATAACGGTGTGCGCATTCCACGTTATAACAATGTGCGCATTCCACGTTATAACGGTGTGCTCGTTCCACGTTATAACAGTGTGCGCGTTCTGCGTTATAACAGTGTGCGTGTTCCACGTTGTGCGAAGTGTTCCCGAATGGAAGAACCCGCGTTATAACGAAAACGCGTTGTGTGAACACCACGTGTTTAAGAGATCACTTGCCGTATACGATACATGCGTTGTACGGGAGAACTCATCGAATGCGCAGTGCTATTGAGGACCATTCTTGTGGATCCTATTATTGTCCGTGATTTTACTCGTCATTCGTGGGATAGAAAAAGTGCAGATAATATCCAGTTATCGGAATCTTTATTTATCCTGGAGAAATACAATGAGCTATGAAGCTTTTTTTGCACAGATTTCCAGTAGGGGAGGGTCAGAATGGGGTGGCGTTCCGCTAAGAATTATGGAAAAAGTCGCTGATATTCTTGAATAAAAGAAAGGATAGAACCCGCAGATGAGAGTTCTCTGCAGTATGTTAATGATAAGTATTTTTAAATCAATACAGTAAATCTTTTGAAATTTTTTAACAAATGATGTTAAGTGTAATATCACTTTATTTATATATTGAATAGACCAATTCTTCAACAAGGTCTTATGCTGAAAATAAATTACCAATGAAAATAGCTCAACTAGAAATATTTATTTATTAACATTTCATTATACACATTACACGTGGTTATTACGTCTGAAATAGAAAATTCCTTTGTCTCTTTGTGAAAACACAGCCTTCGGTCGCGGCAACAAGCCACTGTCCGTAGCCACTCCAACAACCTCTGTCAGCTCTTACCCCCCCTCATTCCTCCCGTGGGGCGGGGCTAACTCCTCGTGCGCATGCGTACAGACGCGGGAGAACAGAGACTCCCCCCCCGACACCATCCCCTACACCCCCCGCGGCCCCTCCCCCATCACTCATGCTAAATATGGACCCCGCTGCTACGGATCCCACGTGACTGTGCTAGCGGGCGAGGGGGTGAGACGGGGTCCGTATTTGGCATGGCCGTGCGTGTGGAGCCGCGTGACTAGGGCGTGTGTGTTCGCGAGTGTGTGTTGCTGGTCCGCCTGCATGTGTGTGTGTAAATCTGTGGCAGTGTGCTAAAACCACTATTACGTCTAATTCTGTCCGGTTTAGAAAGGTTAAAACATCGCGTACGGGAAGGTTAAAATGTTTATATAAAAGGCAGGTGACGTGGGGAGAGCGACGCAGACACTATTGAAAGGTGAGTGTACACACACACACATGTCCAACTGACCACACTATAGTGACAATACGGTGCTCTGTGTAATGCTACACAATTGTGCTCAACGATGTTAAGTATGCGTCACACATAATTTTGTATAACAAACGCACGTGTTTTTTTTATAATGTATATATTCGCTACGGTAGTTTACTGTTCCACAATGCGTGTATTAAATATATATTGTAAATACGTATCATTTATACCACGGACTTCCTATGTTACAGGGTACAGTAATGATTAAGCTAAGATTGAATAGTGATTTGATTGGTGACCGTCGTGCACCACAAGTTCTAGGACGCGCGGGGAATAACGTGGTTGCCAGCGAGGCCAAATCCAACGTTGTACGGTACTTCTGTGCTCCATGTCTTTCACCCAACGCCGCCCGGTGTGAGTGGTTGGGAGGGGAGACCGGTCCATCTAGCAGTGGAGTGCGTGAACTCAGAGGGACCCAGGGTTAACTTACCAGAGTTCCATTTAGTTCCATTTATGTTGGTACGGCCCTGTGAGCCATTCGGCTCTTGAATCGGGTGCAAGCGCAACAAACAAAAAAACAAAAACACGAACAATAAAACATCTTAAAGTGATTGTGTGTGACTGTGCAAAACAGAAAATCCAGGAAAAAAAATACATCAAAATATTCCTGAAATAGCACCGTACACCAGAGTAACTCTACAATGTAAAATCCACATGATCATTCGTGTCTTTAAATCTTGACTTAAAGCTTTCGCGACTGCAGGAATTCATATAATGTTGGGTCTTTCGGTAAAGCCACGTGGATAGTTTAAAAGAAAATAGCAAAAAAAACCTACGACCGCTTGTGTTGCGATCGTCGTAGGTTTTGTGTTATTCTTTCGTAATTTTCTTTGAAACTATCAATCTACGTGACTTTACCGAAAGACCCAAAGAATATTCACGTCGTTCTCCATCCGCTATCCGAGTCGCGGTTTTGCGTAAAGTGCATTGTGCAATGTGCGACGTGCACGTGTCTACACGCAGCGTTATTGTCCTTATTAACGCGTCGTCACAATCGGCCGTGGTCAATCCACTGCTGGATGATGCTTCTCCAAGCTGCTGCTGCTGCTGCTTGCCGTCTGTCTCTTAACTCGCAACCTACAACTGCACCTGCCTCCACTCTCCAGCCTGGTTCAGATGTCTTGTGACAACCGCCCCCCCCCCCCAAAAAAAAAATGAATTGACCCCGAATTTTTCCCCTCCTTTGCATATTCATTCCAGTTTTAAATAAACACTCTAACAAAAAAAACAGTTAAGTTTTTAGAGAATTAAATGGGTTACACGAGGCATAATTTCATGGCTCCATCCATCTCCGTTAGCGAGACGTTGCGTTATTAACCTTTGACCCATCGTCTGCCCTCTCTCGGCGGGCCACGGCCAACCAAGCCCAACTTTGCCAAAGCCCAACTTTGCCCAAGTCCACTTTTGTGAACAGAATGTGGTACGCAATTAACCCGCCGTGCATGTTCTCCGGTCCGTTTGTTCATCTCTCCGCTGCTACTCAATTTAATTAAAAGCACGCCCGCTCCTGCCGTGCTCCGTTTTGTTCACTCGATGACCCCGTTTCTCTGAAGCGTGTCGTGGCAGGTTAGTGGGAAATGATTTGCACGTGGTTATCATACATGTGCACAGTCATACGTGTCAAACATGCTAAATTGTGTAGAACACACAACATATTCTTGGTTCTTTCGGTAAAGTCACGTAGAAGGGAAACAATACAATAATAAAAATATAAAACAATGAAATTCTCACGACGTTTCACACCTGATGATGCTTGTGTTGCAGTCGAATTCATTATTGTTATTGTTTTTATTTTTATTATTTTATTGTTTCCCTTCTACGCGACTTTACCGAAAGAACCAAGAATATGAATCCCTGCAGTCACGAAAGCTTTAAATCAAAACATATAACATACTACACTTGCACCTCCGATTAGCACGGTTGGCTACGTACGGTGCGAAAGAAGTTCAACACACGTGTAAAATAAGCGAACTGTGTCACCTTCACGTACTCTTCTCCGTCTCTCCACATAAAACACAAGTATTACACAAACCATCAGCGGCACCGTCTTCTGCGAGTTCGGCAGCATTGATTCAAGACACGCAAACTCCCGTTTCACCACGCGGTGTGTCATCAGCAGTCAGGCTTTGCTTGAACTGCCGAGCATATGGCAAGGATCTCCCCCTCCCCTTAAGATATGGGGTCCCAGGTCGAGGCAAAATTATATAATACATAAAATCAAAGAAATAATTTGCTTCGTCGTGGATAATATAAATATCACTGTAATGGGAATGTGTAATCTGATGTATATTGTGTGCGTGTTAAATCGTGTTTTTGTTGTTGCTGTGTGGTAGTAATGCTCTGTGTGGTGTAGAGGAACAGTTATTTGTGATGGTATCAGTCCGTGTGATGTGCAGTCTCTTTTTAATGCGGGGGGGGAGGCAGGTGATGGCATTCGCAGCATGGTCAATGTGAACGAGACGCTTCGAGAGGCGTTATTGGCTCCTAGTGTGCGTGTGTCGTTAGGGCTTGTATTTTCCTCATCCCACACTCACAAATGTGACGTCAAATTGAACAAAAATAACTTCACGACGCAAGGTCTTCGCTGAAATCTAATCTCCGAGCAAAATTGGCTGTGGGTAGAAGGTTTCAGTTTGTGCGTGTGGGTGTTTATATTTTTCTGGTTGTTTAAACTAGGTTTTTTTTGGTCATAACTGGTTAACTGCAATGAAATAAAAAGGTAAAAATTGGTTTTCTGCACGTACATAAAATGTTTTTTGGCAACAAAAACGTAAAAAAAAATGTTACCACCAAAGTACAACGCAGTTACTTGGCGCGTGTCAATGGGCGCATTCATTACGAATATTACAATGGCAACGGATTATTGGTTCCTGACTTCGGCAGCAACAAGTAATCGATTCTGAATGCGGTTCGCAGTTGACCAGTTTACCGTTTTAACCAATCCTCTGTCCGCAGCGCGGTTGTCACCGTGACGATGGAGGCGGCTAGGCTGGAGGAGCGCCGGCACCGGGAGAGCAACGATGGCTCGTACCGGGATGACGAGGCGCACAAGCAGCAGCGTCGGCGGTGGGCTGCCGCCGACGCGGAGAAGGATTCTGGGTTCTCGGGTAACGACCGACGGCGGTTGTGGCGGCGGTCGTTAGTTGGCAGTGGCAGCTGGAGAGATGGGCAGACTACTTCAAATGACAAATTACTGTGGAGTAATGCCGTAAAGATACAGATTATCAATTAACCGTGTCCCATGCAAGTTAGATACAAATTAATTTGAGTTGTGTAGATACCAGGAACAAAATGCAAACGTAATTAAATTACTTATTTAAAATACATGTTATTTAGATACTGCCCCATCTCTGCCAGGCCGGTGCTACGAACGGTGATGTGATGGTAATAAGTGGCCACCAAGATACAAATTACCGTCTGTGCCGGATGTGGTGACGCTTCTAATTTGGCACTTCAGAGGCAGTGTTGGTGGATCACACGCAGATTATCGCCTGACAACGTAAAATTCTCAGGGTTACAAAGTGTCCTGCCGATAGTAGTACAGCAAGTAGGCCGTTGAGTTACTTGTATGGGTTTCCCTGGTAGTAGTGGAGGAATCTGCTGAGCTATAACGCTTTTTTCCACAGTTGTCTATTATGTTGGTGTCTCATAAATATAGAAAACAGTCTTTTTAACATTTCCCATCGGTCGGTGTGTGGTATATGCTGCTCTTTACAGACACGAGCTCCGATTGCAGGAGTGTGGTGCGCCGGGTCATCCCGGACAGCGCCACCGACCCCACCGTCGCCCCATCACCGGCCCCACCGCCTGCTCCACCACCCACTACCCAGGAGGGTCCCTTTCAGCCGGCAACTCCTACCCAGGCCTTCCCTGGCTTTATCCAGCCCTTCTACATTGTGGGCTATGGGCAGGTGCGTCTAACGAGACTGATAAAAAAAAACAAGAATTACCCGCATTCATACGTTGCTTGAAATGCTATTTAGTGGCCAACTATTATGGCTGACACTCCACTCAACTGCCTTTTGTCTCCCTAGTAATGATATTTTCACACTGCACACAGTAACGCTTGTGAGACTCAAGCAAAATTTGTGGTTAGTGGATAGCACTGTTCTTTTGCCGGATGTTTCTTAAAGTCACGGCCTTGTGTTTCCAACCCACGGGTGTGTGCGAGTCTCGGCCCTCCCTTTGCCCATGTGCATGCATAAATCTAACCTGGTCTGAGCTAGATGGCCGCACTGAAACGCTTGCTCAGTCCAGCTAATTAAATCCCCTGAGGTCATCCCTTTCCCGGTGTTTTGGGGAGTAAGCAATCGGTTAATTGCTCGTCATCCTCCATCCTGTTATTCATTACTTCTTAGCAAGAAAGTTCTATGCTTATTAATTACATTTAAAAACATATTTTTTTCCATGGCAAAAGTGAACAATAGTGGTGGTTAAGTGGGTTAAATTTCAGTTGGTTGCAACCTTTTCTAACCATGTGGACCAGAGCAGGTCAAATGCCACATTCCCTTGACCACTGGAGAAGCTGGACTACTCGGCCGCAGATTCTCATTAACAGCCTTCGGAGTACCAAATGGGCCATGTGGCTCGCTTTTGATGTGCTACGTGGCTCCATTTCCCAAGGGAACTCAGCAATTTTATCCAAACCACCCTGAAGGGAAAATTTTAAAAAATGAGGTTTTATGACGCAACCCAATTGTCTGTTAAACCTTGTTATAAAAAAATATACAATTTCCACCCTGTGGTCACAGAGGGAAGGGAATGGGATGAAGGGAATATGGGATGGGAGGGACTGAGACAACAGAGCTGTCACATACGCCTGCTTTCCCCATGGTCATGGAAACGCAGTGCGAATGCCTCTGTCCTCGGCGCAGCAAGCGCTGACTTCGTGGCATGCGTGTGCCTGCGTGTTCAGGGTTTGATGGGGACGCAGTTGATTTCGGCACCACTGCAGTCCTGTTGGCCCCAGCCCCTGGGCATTGCGGCTGCACCGCCCGCACCCCAGTTCCTCTTCATCCAGCCGCAGCTGGCTGCCACCCCTTCAGCGGGAAGCTGCGCGGCCGAGCCCACTGCTGCCGGTATCAACGGAGGTGACTGCAGCGGCAAGCGTGCCGGCGCAGCCCGTCCCCTCCGCCCACCGACAATCTACCCCAAGATCGCGCCGTACCCGCAGAGGAGGATCGAGGACGCGGCACCGACGGGCGGGGGCCAGCTCCCCTCCGGTCCGGCGGTCGAGAGGGATGACGTCAGCGCGGCCGCGTCGTCGCCGCTCGCCTTCAGTGGCTGCGCGGTGCCGTCGAGGAGAGTGGCGCGCAGCAGCTGCGAGCAGACGCTGTCGCCGGCGCTGGGGGTGGCGCCCTCATCGGAGCAGCCTAACGCCACTGCCGTTGCCCATGTGCCAACGGCACAGGCCTCTCCCATACATGCCGTACCCGTGGGCTCCCCGACGCCAACCCAGACCGCGGGCGTCGGCGCCCTGCTGCTGCCCTCGCCACTCCGGCTTCCTCCGTCACCGTCAGCAGCTGGCGACAGCTACGACCACACCGATGATGTTGACGACGACGATGACGCCGGTGATCACGAGTGGCCAGGCCGCGCTGCCGCTTCGCCAAAGGCGCGGAACGGGCAGAGCCAGCGGCGGCACCGCCACTCGGCGCCCAACTGGCGGCAACACGATTTGCGCTTCCGTAACACAGTGGAGATCCTGAACAGCTCTGGGCTCATGGAGGCTACACTGCGCTTCAAGACCCTGCTGCAGCAGAGCGCGGCCACGCGGCGCGACATCCAGCAGCTGAGAGAGCACGCGCGCCTCTTCTGCGAGGCGGCCAGGGTGGGCGATCCAGGGGCGTGCTTGCGCGTGCAGGAGGCCATGCTGCGCTCGGGAGCCTACCCGGGGCTCAGCTCGCTCGTTCAGACCTAGAGCGTGGTGGCGGCGGTGGTGGTGGGTAGTGGGCACGCTGAAAGACGGTGTTTAGTTGGGGAAGGCGCTCGCCGTCGCGTCATGAACAAAGAAGGGTCACTTAAACGCGATGTATCTCTGTTGAAATTTGCGGTTGTGAAATGTGAAGACTGACTTTTTTTTTGGCGACGTCGCCAATTGATGAAGATCCGATTCATGTTGAGCGATTAACGGTAAATTGAACAAGGAACGTAAATCGCGTTTTTAGGCAGAGAGAAGGCTGATGTGGGTTTCAGAGCTCAGTTGTGCGGGTTATAAAGGGGCGATGATGGGCATGGCGTATGGCATCGTCACAATGAAATTCAATTCTCATGGCGAGATGAAGCGAGGAGGGTGGGTAACATGAGTGGGTGTTGATGGGAAATGGAGACATTTAGGCAGGGCAAGCTGCCTATCTCGGTTTAAACGATCGCTCGCAAATTATACACGCGACAGTGGGGGGTCTGTGACAGCGGCATTGAATGGGACGTCCCGTAAAAGACAAAGGTGATTGAAAAGCACGTAGCCTCTACGAAGGCTATAATCCTTTTGGTGTGCTGTGGAAATTTCTAATAGGGTAAGGCTCGACAATTAGCCGAGCAGTAGCTCACCTGTAGTGGGATAAGATAGCACTGCTCCCACCATACCCGAGCCACTTTGCCAGCGTGGAAGTGTGGGCCCCATTACCCTCTAGAGGGAGGGGCGCCTCTAGAGTTATCCTGGTAGTTTGAGGGTCTTCCGCCAACAGTGGCATGAGCACAGCACAAAAAAATCGCAGGGCTTTGCCTTTTTACCGATGGCTCGAAAAAGCCATTGACGCTTCCTGGGAATCTATTGGGGTTTTTCTTCCCCCCCCCCCCCCCCCATACGTTTTAAATATCATCAGCTGACAGAAAACTCAAAGGCGTAGACATTGTGCCATACAGGGATGGTCGCTGAAATGGCAGATGGATCGGACGTTCAAAGGCGAATAATAAACACGATAACCATCCGATCCTTAACATAAAGGTGTTTGTTTTTTTCAATTTGCTAAATGTTTAGCTTGAAAGTTTCCGCGTGTGCAGTTCAGTTTTTCACGTTGTTAAAGGCGGGGTAGAATATTCTGTGCTGATTACTCTGACGGTTCGTCGTGTGAATTGAGGAGACGTTTGAAATCAAAGCGGAGGAAGATTGACGCTACTATGGGCAGGCGTCAGGTGCGAATATTTAATGTCGCTTTAAACGCAGTGGCTGTCGCAGCGATGGGCTGCAGTCTCAGAGGAAAATCTTAGTGGCTTCGGGGGGTGGGTGGAGGTGGAGAGGGCAGAGGTAGGCTGACATGGCTTAGTTTCTCGCTGAATGTCTCAGGTCAATAGTAGACCTGGAGTAGACACGTGACTAGTATCCACAGCCAGAGCGAGAGGTACACTGGATGTAGAATGCCAGGTGCAGAGATTTTCCAGGTCGATGACCGGACCCAGCTGATATTAAACCTTGGAGGCCGGAATTAACCCAATTGCAATTCCAGTCATGCCAGCAACCCTGGCACTTATTCAGTTCCCCCCCCCCCCCAATCAGGTCTGATACGCTGAATGTCAGAGCCTAAAATGTTAATGTTGTTTTCTCCCCCCCCCCACCCCACGTGCTTGAGCCAATCGGTTTCATTGAACACGAACGTACGTGTGTGGGGGATACTCGTGATCGTCATTTAGAGATAACAAAAAAAACGATGAATTTTCATCACAGGGCATTCAGTCGCGCTAAGCACTTAGAGGCTTTTGAAGTGAAAAGGCCACGAACAAGTCGCCATGGTATATTATTGTGGGGACCGGACCGCCGAAGACACCATGCTCTATGACAGCGGAAGCCGCACAGCATTCCTCTTGTGGTATTCTAAAAACATCTCCACCGTAGGGGGGGTGGTGGTGAGCCCCCCCCCCCCCCCACGGGTGTTTTTAATCTGAAGGTTTGGGCGACATGAGCAGCGTTACACGCTGGGAGAAGGCTTTAAGGGGGGGGATGAATCGCCGTTCCGTCGCAGAAAATGAACCATTGTAAGCCTTCAAGCGGAACGGTGCCTTCCTTTCCCAGTCCGGAGGGAGAGAAGGGATATTAGAGTGCATGAGGCTTAGCCAATGCGAGCTAGTGAGGTGGGTCTTGCAAGAAACTTGGACGGCCGGGAACGCATCCAGACGGCGCTGTGTTTCGATATCTTTTACCCTTGGGGAAACCAGAACAGAACAGACCTCCTTCCCCTCTTCCTGCCCTTACAAAGACAAAGACCTTCCGAAATGGCCTGCACACACTGGTAGAGTAAGTGCCCTCAGCGGGCACACACGCACGAAATGGTCAACCCTTGCGGCAGGGCCGCACTCCAATGCAAACAAAGGATACGTAGGTTACCATAAAAAAGTATGCCCTGAGCAACGGTTTGATTCATGCTACCGTAATAATCCACATAAATGCCTATTACACTTAAACATATAAACAAAGTATTATAAATAATGAAACTAAACGATAATGTGAATAAACAGTCCTATTTTTAATGATAAAACTCATTTATATATTTTTTCCCCGTATGTCCACTGGAGCTTTGGGCCCTGGATAATTGTTCCTTGAGTTACCCCACAGCCCCCTCCGCCCCCACCGCCCTCACCACCCCCAACCCTAAATCCGACCCTGCGTTTCAGGATTATGATTGTCCTGCATTTAATATTCCTTACATTTTACTTAAGCCGGACTGCGAGGGGGGGGGCAAGGTGAATTGCTCGTTTATAACGAGTTTTTTTCTTCATTTAAAAGGCTGCCGTGCGACGTCGCTTTTAAAAATCGGTAGCCGTTATCGATGCGTAGAAATGCACACGTGTCAGCAGGTCATGCGTAGAAAGGAGGCTCTGGCAACTTCACTTATTCTTTAAATAAGCATTTATTACTCGCGCAATGCGGTGTATGCATCAAGTCAAACACACGTTTACCTATCGATGAGAACTTGACGCGCGCGCGCGCACACACACACACACGTGTGCAGAACACGTATGTAACCGGGCCAGAGGTGAACTGTGGAGTAAGTACTGGTGAATTCAGTCGCAATGTGAAAAGAATAACTAGTAATAAGCAAACACCACAATCTTGTGCCAGTGCTGTCACCATGTTCATGTTAGGCCACATCATACTTGGCATATTGTGTGTGTTGTGAAAACTTTGACTTATGCCCATTAATTAAAGGCATTGCAATGGTCAGCTATCCATGGTTTTTTTTGTGTGCACGTGCATTCTACCAAACGGTCAGTGGTCAATGACGAGCTGATCCGTGGACAGTGGCGCATAGTGAGTGCTCTATGCACCCGGCAAGAGAATATAAATGTAAAAAAATAATTAACAAACTTTTAACCCACAGTTGTATGAACGCTTCCCCATGTTGGTCACGGGGGTGGGTGGGGAGAGGGGGTGTTGTAGGGGGGCTTGCTGGGTTGTACAGTGAGGGGGGAAAAAGTATTTGATCCCCTGCTGATTTTGTACGTTTGCCCACTGACAAAAAAATGATCAGTCTATAATTTTAATGGTAGGTTTATTTGAACAGTGAGAGAGAATAACAAGAAAATCCAGAAAAACGCATGCAAAAAATGTTATAACTTGATTAGCATTTTAATGAGGGAAATAAGCATTTGACCCCCTCTCAATCAGAAAGATTTCTGGCTGCCAGGTGTTTTTTTATACAGGTAAGGAGCTGAGATTAGGAGCACACTCTTAAAGGGAGTGCTCCTAATCTCAGCTTGTTATCTGTATAGAAGTCACCTGTCCACAGAAGCAATCAATCAGATTCCAAACTCTCCACCATGGCCAAGACCAAAGAGCTCTCCAAGGATGTCAGGGACAAGATTGTAGACCTACACAAGGCTGGAATGGGCTACAAGACCATTGCCAAGCAGCTTGGTGAGAAGGTGACAACAGTTGGTGCGATTATTCGCAAATGGAAGAAACACAAGAACTGTCAATCTCCCGCGGCCTGGGGCTCCATGCAAGATCTCACCTCGTGGAGTTGCAATGATCATGAGAACGGTGAGGAATCAGCCCAGAACTACACGGGAGGATCTTGTCAATGATCTCAAGGCAGCTGGGATCATAGTCACCAAGAAAACAATTGTTAACACTACGCTGTGAAGGACATGCTTTGGAGGTGTTTTTTTGCTAAGGGGACAGGACAAATTCACCGCATCAAAGGGACGATGGACGGGGCCATGTACCGTCAAATCTTGGGTGAGAACCTCCTTCCCTCAGGGCATTTAAAATGGGTCGTGGATGGGTATTCCAGCATGACAATGACCCAAAACACACGGCCAAGGCAACAAAGGAGTGGCTCAAGAAGAAGCACATTAAGGTCCTGGAGTGGCCTAGCCAGTCTCCAGACCTTAATCCCATAGAAAATCTGTGGAGGGAGCTGAAGGTTCGTGTTGCCAAACGTCAGCCTCGAAACCTTAATGACTTGGAGACGATTCCTGCTGAGATGTGTGCAAACCTGGTGGCCAACTACAAGAAACGTCTGACCTCTGTTATTGCCAACAGGGGTTTTGCAACCAAGTACTAAGTCATGTTTTGCAGAGGGGTCAAATACTTATTTCCCTCATTAAAATGCAAATCAATTTATAACATTTTGACATACGTCTTTCTGGATTTTTGTTGTTATTCTGTCTCTCACTGTTCAAATAAACCAACCATTAAAATTATAGACTGATGATTTCTTTGTCAGTGGGCAAACGTACAAAATCAGGGGATCAAATACTTTTTTTCCCTCACTGTACCTTCACCACGCGGTTCTGTAGTGCGGTAGCACTGTTTCGGGTGTCACTCGACACTTGTTATTAGCCATGGCAGAGAATCTAAGTCCTAACCTCTGGGGTTTGTAGTGCAGTGTGCTTACGTGTGTTGGAACGTCTTTCGCACCGTACGTAGCCAGCCGTGTTAATCGGAGGTGCGGGCGAAGGACCGATATTGACTTGGTATGCTGTCGCTGCCCACAGCGGCAGCATACCAAGTCACTATCAAAACTGATTATAATAAACGCGTGTGTAAAAACCACGGAAGCACATCTTCCTATTTCTTTACGCGTGTTATCCACCACTGACTAAAACAATACAAGAACCGGCTGACTACCTATGTGAAAGTAGGTGTGTGTGTGTGAACGCTTAACTCTAGATGTCTTTTAAAACCACAACGATTCATCACGGCAGCCATCCCCCCCATCTGAAATTAAACTGTTTGCTCCTTAAAACCTCTGCTCGCCCTCTTCCCTCAATCCAAATCCTGCCCTCTTCCCTCAATCCAAATCCTCCCCCCTACCCTTGTGTTCGCTACCCCTCCATAGTTATAACCCCTCCAAATCATCTCCCCCTCACTCCCTTATTACAAACCCGTGCCTCCACCCCCGTATCACCACCCAATCAACCCTTCACAGTTACCCACGCCTTCCCAATCACCCACCCGTACCAGCCAAACAACAGGAATCACTCATTTACACAACACAAACATGGGACCTTTATTGCCAGTATCAAAGTGGAAGAATGTTTTACCATTTCTGGCGATAAAACACGTGTTAAGATGTTAAAACGCCAAACTGAAACCTTTTACAAGGAATTATGTCTGCATTAACCACACGTACTTGCGAACATGCAAACAAAAACATGCTCTGGTAGTATATGATGCATCGTCTTTGAAAATGATTGGTCCACACCAGAGACATCCTTGTTTTCGGGCCTAGTCTCGAACAGTGTTAGACCACAGAACGCCCAAAGGCGAACAGCACAAAGACAATGCCACTATCAGGGCATTCATAGCTCGGGGTTGAGCAGCTACATCATGGGACCTCTCTTGCCACGATCAAAATATAAGCATAGGTTTTACCATTTAGGGCAATAAAACAGTTGTGATAAGATGTTCAAACACCAAATAGAAAATGTTGCATTAACTACACAGTACTTGTGGTGAACATGCAAACAAAAAGACAACAGCACACGCCCACCTTCCTTATACGTGAAATAAAGATACCGTGCAATGCACGCGGCTCTTATTTTGTGGATTTTTTTTACCTCGGCTGCGGGTCCCAGAATGTGTGGCGAGGGTTTGAAGCTTCGTTCATGAGATAGGTGGGGATGGGGGGGAAGATACGTTCAAGGTGGGTGCTGCGATATTCATGACTGCAATGTTACTCCCCATGCATACAATCAAATCTGTCGCTGCAGTGACGTCACTCGGATGCCACAATGACACTTGTCCATAACTTAAAAATGTATTTTTTCTTCTCATGAATGAAATATCACAAATCGCGTCCTAAATCATGGTGCCGACTGCTTTGGTACGTATCTACAAGACAGTTCTTGTCTTGTAGACGAATTACAACCCATAGTTTTAAATTTCTATCATAAATTAACGGAACAACTAAATAGCATTATGCCTCGGGCCACAAGCGTTCCCGAACTCCAATCGTTGCGTTTCGCCGCAGTCACCTGGGCGGTGGGCCATCATTACCGGTGTGTGGGCCACCTTTACCGGTGTCCAATAAAATTAAAGTCGCCACGTAATCGCGCACGGACTTGCGGGACGGTGGCAGGGCCGATCGATTGCGCGTCTCCCGCTTGTTACGGAGAGGTTTGCGGTACGAGCGGCGTGGCCGCCCTGGTGAATACTGCGGGTGTATTGACCATAAATGCTATGCTTTCCCGCTTTGCAGTGGACGTTAAAGATTCCGTGAAGTTATAAAAAAAATATAGTGGGCCATCCGTGCTTGCGTGGTCACAGTTCACAGTTGGAAAATTTGAAAAATTACCCGCACGAAATTTGATAACATAGCAACATCGCCCGCTCCACCCCCGACTGCGAAACTCCTACAGAGTGTGCCTGTGAAACGTAGCACACCCTTCGTGATACCCTTCGCGATAGCCTTGCACTCTTAAGAACGGCGCGAACATCGCATGTACGCATGTTTTGATGAAGGTTATAACCGCCCCCGCCCCCGTCTCTTCTACAGCCCCTTGTCGTACTTCGAGAGCCTCTCCCAGCTGCGCCCGTCGCCCGGTATCGCCGTGGGCATCGGCAGCAGGTAGTTGAGCGCCCAGTAGTTGCCGAACACTTGGCGGAGGTTGACAAACAGCCCGCAGTCGTAGTCGCGCATCTCGTGAATCGCCTCGTACGACGTCTGCCCCTCTCCCGCGATCGTGAAGTGCCACGCGTACATTGCCGCGCAGCCCAGGCACTTTCCCAGCGAGAGGTGCGCGGCCAGCGTGAGTGCGTAGGCCGCCAGGTCCATGTCACCCGTGGCCGCCTGCACCGTGGCCAGGGGCAGCAGGTAGCGCAGGCCCTGCCGGGACAGCAGCGGACCCGGCAGCACGTCGCTCATGTAGGCCAGGAGGTTGGCCAGGATGAACGCGTTGCCCCACGCGGTCCAGAAGAGCAGGACGATGAAATTGCGCTGGTTGCTGTGGCCCACGCAGCGGCCCACGAAGAAGCAGTGGTGGTCGCGCTTGAGGATGCACGCGTTGCACACGGAGCAGTGGTGGGCCCGCGGGGGCACGGGGCGGCCGCACGGCACGCACATCGGGCGGGCCTCGTCCCCTCCGTCGTGGTCCCCGGTGATCTCAAGGAGGTGGTCGCGGCGGTCGTGCTGGTCGTGCTGCTGGTGGTGGTGACCTCTCTCTGATGCTGGAGGTGCTGTGGTCATTAGAAATAATCATAATTTAAAAAAAGGTTGCGTTGAGACGTGAGCCAATGACCAATTTACCTGGAATACCCCCCAACCTCGACAGATTGTTGCTAGTTCAATGCCTCTGCCCGGTTACAAACCACTTTAAAAAGATTATAATTGGCTGTTAACTAACATGACGAGTATTTCCATTTTAGTTTTTGTCATGCGGCGAACACTCTTTGCAGGTCATATAAAATCATACTATTTTTGTTGATACAGATCCCTTTTGGCAAGACATGAGAACTAACCCCCCCAAAAACCTGTATTATGGATAATATTGGTCGCGAAAGCCTACGTGTTAAACTGAGAACTAGTTCTGCAGTGTCATATTGCAGGGTTGCTCTCTGTGACACGTACACTGTGGCGATTAGAGTGTAAAAAGCCGTGTTGATGTAGAGGTGTCAATGTCAATGAGTTACAAAGTCATTGTCGATAGAGCAATGGGTTTAAACGGCGATCTCAGTGATGGTGCTGCTGCTGCTTCATTATTCTATGGCCACGCATTCTGAGTTCCTAAACGCGATCCAGCCAGCAACCCTAGAGAGCTTGAAGCCAGATTATTGCACCTCGTGTCAGCTGTCGTAATTCCAGCTCCCTTCAGCTCCATCTAATACCCCCAGCAACCTCCTACACCTCCACCAGTTTCTAACTATACAGTTCGAACCAACTTACAATTTTTATTTTACCAAGTAAGGCCCACTGTGCTATATCCCTCTTTTTCAGAAACGACCCGGCCACAAATGATAGCTCAACGAAGTGGCTTATCATCACGTGGAAATGTATAGCAGTCAAATACTCCAAAATAATTTATTCTAAATGTGGAGGGAAAACCCGGAGGACCCAAAGAAAAATCCACGCCACCACGGGAGAACGTGCAAAACTCCAAATATACAGGCGTCAGGGTCGGGATCGGGATCGAACCCACGCCCTCCTGTATACCAGGCGAGGTAGTTAACATCGCACCACCGCGGGGCCTCCAGGTTCGAGCAACCTCTAGCGATGAATTTCTCCAGACACTTCCAGCGCCTCCCAGATAACTCCTGTTTCTCACATCCACCATATCTTCTCAGCTCCCACAATACCATCTGTCCAGCTCCATCGCTGATCAGCTCCCTCCAGGTGTCCCCCAGTTCCTTCTTGTTCCCATCATCTCAAAGCTTTCTGTATCATCTCTGGCTCACTTCATATTTTTCCACCGCTCTCCATCTCCTTCATCCCATATTTTTTCCTCCACCCTCACCCTTTATCTCCCTCGACCGTTCTCCATTTTCCTCCATCTCCACCTCTCTGCATCTCCACCTCCCTCCACCTCCGTCCAGGTACCCTCCATCTATGTCCACATTCAATGATCTCCCTCGATCTCATCCGTCTACCCCAGTTCCTTCTGGCTGCCTCCAGCTCCCTCCATATCCATCTCCTCAACCTCCATCCTGGAACTCCTCCATCATCTCTACCTCCTTCCCATCGCTCTCCAAGTAATCCCTTATCCAATCAATTATCCCTCGCCATCCTTTCCCTTCTCCCCACCCAATCACGCTGTGCTTACACACAACGACAAAATAAAGATCCCTCCCATATAGCCATAACACACTTGTGGCCAGTGCTGTTTGCGACACGGCACACGGGGGGGGGGGGGTGAGGGGCATCACCACGGCCGGCCGCCTTTGTCTCGCTCTTTGGCGATGTTTACACACCGCACCAGGTACTCGTTTGAGGCTGAGTCGACCTAGGGGAGGGCCAATTCGAGATAATCGCCATCTGGTGTTAGCCGTGAGCGGGAATCGAACTCTGTGTCGCCGGGTTCACAGCGCAGCGCGCTAACCGCTACGCCACCGCTCCCCACCACCACACACTCCACACACACACAGACAGACGCACGACACGCGCGCACGCAAACGCGCACGTGCGCAGCAGCACACCTGCGGGCGCCCCCCTCAATGCGCAGAGCGCGTAATTGGCGACCACGTTGAGCCACATGTAGAGGCCGGCGGCGGTGAGAGCCACTCGGAGGGGCCCGCTCGAGTTGTGCGGCACCGTGAGCAGGAGCGTGAGCAGCGCCAGCGCCGAGGACGAGGTCACGAAGTAGGCGGACGCGCACGTGTTGGCGAGACGGCGCGCACGTGGGGACGCCGCGGAGCCGAGCATCGTCCCGACCCAGCTCCGCTTCGACATAACTCGAGCTGCAATTGCGTTGTGTGCGTGTGTGTTTGGTTGTTTGTGTGTGTGTGTCACGGGGGGGGGGGGGGGGGGGGGAGCACAGGTGGTGCATTGGCCAGTCATCTCAGTCACGCGACCCGTGACACCTTGCTGGGTCTGCCCCGTGACCTCCTGCCGGCGGGCGGTCGACACTTCACGTGGCCTCAACGTGCACCTAGCCTGGCACAATCGCCGTGGTGACGTCACCGCCACTTAGTGACGAATGGCGGTTGTTGTTGTCACAGGTGGAGTAGCGGTAGTGTTGCGGTTAGCGCGCCTCGCTACGAACCCGGCGGCTCGAGTTCGGCTCCCGCTCATGGCCAACACCGGTGACGAGTACCTGAACCGGTCCTGGGCCTCCCCTAGGTCGACTCAGCCTCAAATATGAACCTGGTGCGGTGTGTAAACATCGCCACTGGGGGAGACAAAGGCGGCCGGGCGTGGTGCTGGCCACCCACCCCCTCGTGTGCTGTCCCGGCCTTCATAGGTGCTCGCTAACAGCACTTGCCCCTACAGTCTGTTACAGGCTATACGGAGGGTCTTTATTTTGTGTGTCACATCAAGACAAAGATCTGTGTCTCCGTGGCACATTTGTACAAAGCAGTGTATTATGCACGATTCCGTTGTGTATATCCACAGTATACTTATAATAGTAATGATGTAAGCCCAGTCAAACATAATATAGTAATGTAATGTATCCAGGAAAGCCACGCTGGGTCGTGGGACTCGATTTCAGGAGGGTCCTGCCACATTGTGTGTATATTTGACGATGTTTTTCAGCCATTTAATGGCGAGTTGTTTATTTTACAAGTGGGAGGAAACCCGGAGATACCCCACGCACGCGAGAGGGGGCAACACTCTATCCCCCCGTACTGATGGCAACATACGGCGATACATCCACTTGCCGCACCTCCTCGACACCCACGGGAAGGGATTTTCACAATCTTTATGCGATGCACCGACAATCATCTCCACAGTGCTGGATGGTTACAGGCCACGTACATGTCGACAGCATCGCTAGGCATGTAAATAATCAACCTATTATGCGCCTATTCTCTCTCCAGCTGACCAGGATGAATCCAGAAGCAATTGTTCAAGCAAAGCAATATCGGAACCGGTTTCGACATTCTGGGTCTCATCAGCAGGGTCAAGCTTGTTAAACAGACTACTGCTGGGTTTACCTTGTCGATTGAGCATCAGCCAGACTGCTTTTCTCTGATTGGGTTCCACGTTGCTATGACGCAATCCCCACGTCGTGGAAACTCACTTTGTCCTGTTCAATTGTTGAGTGTTTTCTTAAGTAGCAAATGCAAAAAGACGAAGATGCATTCGCACAAAGTTGTGGAAATTCCACATTGCTATGACGGCAGGGATCAGTATATCCTTAAATAACACGACCACACACGTTCTAGATTTTCCCCGCTCACTCGGTAGTTTTCATTTTACCCATGTATGGTAGTGATGATGACGATGAATTAAACTAAAACGAAACTAGTTTTTTTTATCTTACCAGGTAAGGCCCACTGAGCTATGTAGCTCTTTTTCACAAGCGACCTGGCCACAAATGGTAGCTCAAGGAAGTGGCTCATCATGTGGAAATGTAGAGCAGCCATCTACTCTAAAATCATGTTTCGAAATGTGGAGGGAAAAACCGGAAAACCCTGACTAATAAAAACAAGCGACCACGGGAAGAACCTGCAAACTCCAAATATACCGGCGTCGGGGCAGGGTTCGAACCCGCGACCCCCTTATACCAGGCGAAGTCGATAACATAATCATGGTGATGATGATGATACAGTGTATCATGATGATTGCTCCCGCTTCCGATAGTTCTAATTGCTTTTGCTGATTAATTAATAATGACGATTGCTGCTTCTCCTGCTGCTGATATTGAATTAATAATGATGATCATTGCTTCTGCTAACGCGACGCTACTACTGCTGCTGCTGCTGCTCCGGATAACATAAGACCGCTGTTGCTGATGAGAAACTAAATGATGATGATGATTTCCGCCGCCGCTGCTGTCGAGGTGGCTGCCCTACTGATGACCGCAAAAAAATAACGACGAGGAATGAATGAATGAACCGAGGCTTGTGTACGACTTCGTTTTTCATCGATTAACTCTACCTGCACTCACCTTGCCACAGGAGTCGTCTGGAAGGTGTCTCTTCCTCCCGGGTTTGACTCCCGACCCGCGGTTAAGAGCTGGTGGAGTGAGATATATCGCGAGACAGGAGTGGATGGCTGATGTGGCGATGTGTCTATATGCGGCCGCCCGTTCAGTTGTCATGTGAAGAACTCGTGTAACACACACTGGCGTGCCAACACCACGCCGTTGTCATGGGTGCTGTGTCGCTCGCTCTGCCCTGGCTTTTTGTTTCTGGAGTTCGAGCAAGGGCGTTGGTGGTGTTGGTTGACGTTACGAACAATGGCCAAACGCGCCTGTCGATCCAGCGCGCTTGTGAGAGGTAAGGGGTTGGTGGACCGCGCTCAGAGAGCCACGCTGCACAACGTGACCTTGTTTGTATGTGTGTTAAACTTCTTTCGCACCGCACGAAGCCAGGGGCGCATGACAAAGTTAATATTAAACTTTTAACAAATGCTAAGAATTTAAACGGGGGGGGGGGGGGGGGGCTGGGGGGGGGGGGGAGCTGAGTTGGGGGGCTCAGCTCCCCCCTCCAGCCCCCCACCGTGATGCTACCCAGCTAGAGGAGCGGTGTGAAATTTGACATTTTGCGAGGGAGCCAGTAGACGACAGCACGGCGAGTGGGTTCTTGCATCTGTATTTGCGGAGCTTTGGCTGTTATCACCACCACCGTCCCCCTCCTGGTATGGGTGTTGGGTTTTCACCAAGCACTCCGGTTTCCTCCCACGAGAAGCCAGACGCTCGTTGATGGAATTGGCCAAATATCACAAAAGAAGTGGGATCCTCCAAAATCAATATTGAGTCTCAGTGAGGCTCTCCTGATTAGGCAACGCAGAGATTGCAGGTTCAATTGCATCTCACCGTGTAGCAGTTGAAACACATTTTTGTTTACATATGAGTAAAACAGAAAACATATATCTGTTTAATGTTTATTTCGTTTTTATTTGTGCGGTGATAAATCTGGAGGAAATTCGCCTCGGAAATTGTATCTTTAGGTTTGATTTAACATCAGTTTGCATTAATTGGGATTCCTTATGTGATAAGAGTTTTTGTATTTGTTCTGATTTCGATTTGATTGCTGGACTGTCAAAGCTGTACTTTATTTTATTTATTTTGCTATTGTCATTTTGGCTGCCCAGGTCACTCTTGCAAATAAGACTAATACTGGTCTAAGCAAAATAAACATGAAACTCTGTTCTATTTCCACATTCATTCGTTAAATATTATCTTAGTCCATCAGCCTATCGGCTTTCCAGACTCTTATCAATAAGCAATAAATGTTAAAGGTAAGGAAACAGCAGTCAGACTTATTAAGCACAGTGGATGCATATTCCAAATCATAAATAAGGCCCCGGTCCAGAGATTTCTTGTTTAAACAAATACTGTATCATAATATTCGTCTGCAAAACTATAATGCAATCGGCTGAAACATATTTTATTTATATATGGAGACAAACAGCAGAGTTCTGCTAATATCCAAAACAAAAAACTCAACACATTCGTCAATAACACTGCCTTATAAGCCTGTGTATATAATAGGCGACGTTGCAGGCAATTGCCCTTTTTCAGAGCACAATATTGAGTTTACCCAGGGATTTATTGGTGGGCAGGGAGAGTACGCAGCCTGTCAGTTATATGATGTGCTGTCAATAAGGGCCAATGCCCGAAACCTCGTCTATTATTGTTCTTATATCATGGGACCTCCTTTGCCAGTACCAAAATATGAGAATAGGTTTTCCCCTTTTTTCTGGCAACAAAACAGTTGTGTTAAGCTGTTAAAACACTAAACTGAAACCTTTTACAAGGAATCATGTCTGGATTAACCACAAGACTTGTAGTCAGAATTCAAACAAAAACCTGATAATATATGCATTGTCTTTGAAACTGATTGGCCCACACCAGAGACAGCTTTCTTTTGAGCCTCGTCTCAAACGGTGTTAGACCAGAAGACGCCAAAAGGCGTACAGCACAAAGGCAAGCACGATCAGAGTAATGAGAGTTTGGGATGAGCAGCTACATCATGGGACCTCCTTTGCCAGGACCAAAATATGAGAATAGGTTTTCCCCTTTTTTCTGGCAACAAAACAGGTGTTAAGATCTTAAAACACCAAACTGAAACCTTTTACTGTGCAATAAATCATGTCTGCATTAACCACAATGCTTGTCGTCAGTTTGGTGTTTTAACATCTTAACACTTGTTATCTTGCCAGAAAAAAGGGGAAAACCTATTTTAATTTTCTGGTACTGGCAAAGGAGGTCCCATGATGTAGCTGCTCACCCCGAACTCTCATTACTCTGATAGCGGCATTGTCTTTGTGCTGTTCGCCTTTTGGCGTCCTCTGGTCTAACACCGTTTGGGACTAGGCTCAGAAGAAAGCTGTCTCTGGTGTGGACCAATCAGTTGCAAAGACAATGCATCATATATTATCAGAGTATTTTTTTTTGTTTGCATTCTGACCACAAGTATTGTGGTTAATACAGACATGATTCCTTGTAAAAGGTTTCAGTTTGGTGTTTTAACATCTTCACACCTGTTTTGTTGCCAGAAAATAGTGGAAACCCCATTCTCATACTATTGTTCTTGACGAACGTGTTGACGATGCGTGTTAGTGTTGTTGTACATTCCGACTTGTGCAACAATGCCAACGTGGCATCACCAAATAACTTATCTGTGGCTGGGTGACTCAAGGGGGGTCGGGTTGGGGGGTATCCCGACGTACAACCGCTCAACGTTGTCGCTTTGTCAACAGTAGCACGCGCTCGGCTTGGTGGGGGGCGTCAGCCCGTGGGCGTAGCGTGGAGTGTGCGCAGCGGCAGCGGCAAGGTGGTGGTGGGGGGGGATTGGGAGGAGGTTGCGAGGCTGCGTGGTGATTGACGGTGGGACCCAAAGGGGGTACTCTGGACGTACGCACGGAAGGCGGCAGCGCCCGGAGAGCCACGTGGTTGAAGTGACGCAGGGCGTATTGCGGCTGAGTCCTGCGGTTCGGTCACAAGCGAGAGAGAGGGAGAGAGAGAGAGAGATCCGAGGAAAGATCGCAGTGCCCGGCTATTGTATTGTTAATCAAAGGTACGGTTCCACACCAGACACGCGCACACACACGCACAGCTCACGCAGCTAAACGTTTAATTAATACCCGGTAACGCACGCACGCTCCGCAGACATTCACGGGGCTGAGCGAAGCCCTTCACAGAGCTCTCCTCTCTTGCTCCGTGGCATTCGCGGCGGTTGTGTTTTTTTTGTGTCTGTGTGTCTCCCATTGGCACGCACAGACGCCAACAAAGTGGCCACCTCTCTCCACCCCCCCCCCGCCTCTGTGTGGTGCCGGAAACTCATAAACATCGCGACGAAATGTCCATCTAGTGCGCTGATTTAATTCAAATTATTCTACATATGTTTTTTTTGTTAAATGTATTCACTTTTTCAAAGTTACTCAACAGACCGCGCCGGTAGTTTTTTTTCCTCCCGTTTCTTGTTTTTTTTTTGGAGCGTCCCTTTAAATGTCAGTGCCGGGGGGGGGGGGTGTGGCGCGCATTGTGGGGGGGTGGGTGGGTTTGAATTCTGGTCCGTGGCTTCTCGTACCCTTGCTGGGGGGTTAAAGTTACGCGGTTTGGGTCACGGTATTTTGTCGTGCCACGTGAATACTGCCGCGAGGTGTGTCCAGAGTAGACGACCGAGAGAGACCGAGATACAGACAGACACACACACAGCGAGGGGGGGGGAAGGACGTCTCGCGTGGAGATGGAGCGATGAATGAATCGATATTGCCCGCGTTGCGTGTGCCGGGGTCGTGGGTTGTCAATTCGCGTTGCGTGTCCGGCGTGGTCGTGAGACGTGTGGGGTGATTTCATCCAGCGGTGGATTGCCCACAGCTGGATTATGCTGCTGCTGATGAGTTAATTACGATGATTTGGTTTTAATTGTGGCACAGTCCGTTGAGAGAGAGAGGCCACGGTGTTTATATTAAAGCGGCTTAGACGTAGAGCCGGGATCAGCAACTTTACATTTTTTTTCCACCTCCCCCCGAGACCGACCACAGATTTACGGTTTGATTTATTGTCACAAACGCGGTTATTTGCCTCTGTGAATGTTCGAGACCAGCGGTGTACCCCGAAGTGTGTGCTCCTGATTATAAGACGCAGCAACCCCCCCCCCCCGAAAATTTGCCACGCGTGTCAAAGTTACCCTTCACTCATTTAAACACCCGACAACACGCGCACAACTACCGAATTATTATAAGACGCACCCCCGAAAACTTTAGATTGTAAAATACAGAGGGGGGGGGGATGGGGGGCGGGGTGTTGAAACAAGTGCGTTTTATAATCTGTAAAGTGTGTTCAGAGTGATTGAGTGTGGGTGGAGAGGTTGGTTGGAGTGGAGATGGCGAAGTGGCTCAACGCATTTGCTGAGAATTAATCCTCCCAGACGCCGTCATCGTTGATCGAATACTGTACTGCTCATAGCTGGCATTAAAATATCGATTTACAGTATTTTCCTGTAAAATTTGTAGGTCTTTAACATCCACTTTTGCACCGTTGGCTTTGGTAAGGGCCTGCTGAAATTCCCATGGTTGTCCGAATTACAATAACTTTTAGGTGAAATATCAACAAACACATTTTACCGTGAACTATGATGATAACAAAGGTAGATTGATGAGCGTTGTGTTCGGGTAAGAAGAGCTCATTGAGAGCAGTGGTGTCCTTTTTCAAGGGGGATTCTGGCAGATAAGGTTTAACCAGGCTTTAGAGAGGCCTGCATTTGAGAATGGGGGTTTCCCCCTTTTTCTAGCAACAAAACAGGTATGAAGATGTTAAAACGCCAAACTGAAACCTTTTACAAGGATTCATGGTCAGAATGCAAACAAAAAACGTACTCTGATAATATATGCATTGTCTTTGTAAGTGATTGGTCCACACCAGAAACAGCTTTCTTTAGAGCCTCGTCTCAAACGGTGTTAGACCAGAGAACGCCAAAAGGCGAATAGCACAAATACAATGCCACTATCAGAGTAATGAGAGTTCGGGGTGAGCAGCTACATCATGGGACCTCTCTTGCCACGATCAAAATACATCATGCCAGTACCAAAATATGAGAATAGGTTTTCCTAGTCTCTGGTGTGCACCAATCAGTTTCAAAGACAGTGCATATATTATCAGAGTATGTTTTTTGTTTGCATTCTGACCACAAGTATTGTGGTTAATGCAGACATGATTTCTTGTAAAAGGGTTCAGTTTGGTGTTTTAACATTTTAACACCTGTTTTGTTGCAATAAAAAAGGGGAAAACCGATTCTCATTTTTTGGTACTGGCAAAGGAGGTCCCTTGATGTAGCTGCTCACCCCGAACTCTCATTACTCTGATAGTGGCATTGTCTTTGTGCTGTACGCCTTTTGGCGTCCTCTGGTCTAACACCGTTTGAGACGAGGCTCTAAAGAAAGCTGTCTCTGGTGTGGACCAATCAGTTGCAAAGATAATGCATACAGTGAGGGAAAAAAGTGTTTGATCCCCTGTTGATTTTGTACGTTTGCCCACTGACAAAGAAATGATCAGTCTATAATTTATTTGACCAGTGAGAGACAGAATAACAACAAGAAAATCCAGAAAAATGTTATAAATTGATTTGCATTTTAATGAGGGAAATAAGTATTTGACCCCTCTGCAAAACATGACTTAGTACTTGGTGGCAAAACCCTTGTTGGCAATCACAGAGGTCAGACGTTTCTTGTAGTTGGCCACCAGATTTGCACACATCTCAGGAGGGATTTTGTCCCACTCCTCTTTGCAGATCTTCTCCAAGTCATTAATGTGTCGAGGCTGACGTTTGGCAACTCGAACCTTCAGCTCCCTCCACAGATTTTCTATGGGATTAAGGTCTGGAGACTGGCTAGGCCACTCCAGGACCTTAATGTGCTTCTTCTTGAGGCACTCCCTTGTTGCCTTGGCCGTGTGTTTTGGGTCATTGTCATGCTGAAATACCCATCCACGACCCATTTTCAATGCCCTGGCTGAGGAAAGGAGGTTCTCACCCAAGATTTGATGGTACATGGCCCCGTCCATCGTCGCTTTGATGCGGTGAAGTTGTCCTGTCCCCTTAGAAAAACACCCGCAAAGCATAATGTTTCCACCTCCATGTTTGACGGTGGGGATGATGTTCTTGGGGTCATAGGCAGCATTCCTCCTCCTCCAAACACGGCGAGTTGAGTTGATGCCAAAGAGCTCCATTTTGGTCTCATCTGACCACAACACTTTCACCCAGTTGTCCTCTGAATCATTCAGATGTTCATTGGCAAACTTCAGACGGGTATGTATATGTGCTTTCTTGAGCAGGGGGACCTTGCGGGCGCTGCAGGATTTCCCTCCTTCACGGCGTAGTGTGTTACCAATTGTTTTCTTGGTGACTATGGTCCCAGCTGCCTTGATCATTGACAAGATCCTCCCGTGTAGTTCTGGGCTGATTCCTCACCGTTCTCATGATCATTGTAACTCCACGAGGTGAGATCTTGCATGGAGCCCCAGGCCGAGGGAGATTGACAGTTCTTTTGTGTTTCTTCCATTTGTGAATAATCACACTAACTGTTGTCACCTTCTCTCCAAGCTGCTTGGCAATGGTCTTGTAGCCCATTCCAGCCTTGTGTAGGTCTACAATCTTGTCCCTGACATCCGTGGAGAGCTCTTTGGTCTTGGCCATGGTGGAGAGTTTGGAATCTGATTGATTGATTGCTTCTGTGGACAGGTGTCTTTTATACAGGTAACAAGCTAAGATTGGGAGCACTCCATTTAAGAGTGTGCTCCTAATCTCAGCTCGTTACCTGTATAAAAGACACCTGGGAGCCAGAAATCTTTCTGATTGAGAGGGGGTCAAATACTTATTTCCCTCATTGAAATGCAAATCAATTTATAACATTTTTGATATGCGTTTTCTGGATTATGTTGTTGTTATTCTGTCTCTCACTGTTCAAATAAACCTACCATTAAAATTATAGACTGATCATTTCTTTGTCAGTGGGCAAACGTACAAAATCAGCAGGGGATCAAATACTTTTTTCCCTCACTATATTATCAGAGCGTTTTTTTTAAAACTCTGATCACAAGTATTGTGGTTAATGCAGACATGATTTCTTATAAAAGGTTTCAGTTTGGTGTTTTAACATCTTAACACCTGTTTTGTTGCCAGAAAAAAGGGGTAAAACCTGTTCTCATATTTTGGTACTGGCAAAGAGAGGTTTCATGATAGACCTGTATTTGTTTAATCAATCGTTGGTAATCTGCAGGAGTGTAATCATGTGAGAGCCCATTAAGAGTGACTATCAATTTCTTAAGGATGACCTGATTGACAGTTCAATGGCAGTCGTTTTTCTTTTTTTACAAAAGTGTACATTAAAATAGACGCGTCATTTGAACTCTACGTGCATACTTGCGTGATCTTTTTACATGTTTTGCGGAGTTTTCTGGGGAAAAAACGATGTTCCACAAAATGTAATTGTCCACATCTAGCAGGAGAGTTATTTTGAGAGTAGGTGGATTATTACTAAGTGGATGAAGTGAGTGAATTATTAACGTTATTGTTTTCCATAGAACGCCCCGCTTTTATAGTCGGGCAAGAGGCTATTAAGATGGATTTAACTTCAAGAGAACCCTGCACACAATGGTCGGTACTATAGTTTGCAGTTCACTGAATCTTTAACAAAATCTCATTTGTAGTAGATAAGCTTTGGTAAATTCCTGCTGAAATTAGTGTAGGAATAAATACTTGTTCTCAGTGCACAGCCAACTGGGTTCAACTAAAGATAGTTGGGCATTTAATGTCCCCCTTTCAGGAGCTGGGTTTTGGTAATTCATGACTAAAATTACAAAGTGGTCGCAGGAATAACGTTCTATTATGTCGTTTCCATGAAAAGGCAATTTCAATTGTTACGTTTATTTAACCAGGCGAGAACTCGAGAGACGAGGTTAGTCTCATTTGCGAGAGGGACCTGGGTCATTAGTCTGCCAGTAGAGGGGCAAATATTGCCTTGTGTAACCCCAATTGAGTAATTGTGCAGGCAATTTTCGAATTTGGCACATTTGGAC